ACTCTCCCCAGATGCCCATGTGTGATATGAAGCGGGGCCTCAGGGGCATTGGGCCTCATGAAGTCTGCTTTTTCAAAGAGAACAGTGTACTCTCTGCAAAGTCGAATCATAGCTTTGTCCATGGGAAAAGGCATGATCAAGAGGATATGGTTCCATTGGACAGCAATTCCCCCCACCACCTTTGACCTGTCCCGCAACTGGGAATCTGTGAGGAGAGTTAAAAGGGTGGTCCCCTGAGAGGTTTGGGTGATGGATTCATTGTCGTGCCTGTTGAGTTGGAGGTTGAATACCATATACCGTGTCGTAGGTCCTCAGTCAAAACAGGAGCCCTCTTAAGTGCTTTCTAGAGCGATTCAGGCCTCATGGGAAAGTTGTCATATACCAGTCCTCACGCCCCCTTAGGGGTCTCCTACGCCCCTTTCGGATACTCGGACCTTCGGAGTCAGGTGTATATACACTTCCGTACTCTGTTCTCCTAAGGACTAGGAGAGCAACATTATTAACAGTAGAGAGGGGCTATGTCTGCCATACCCACCTGCTTTCCATTCTGCTTTGACTTCTTTGCAACCGGGATAGCAGCATCATCTTCACTCCTTCGTTTACTTGCAGACAAGCCAGTGTTTCGTTTTTTAACCATGACTGTCTGGAGTCAACACATAATATTGAGAGTTTTGTGGTGATTGATTGTTAAGGACCATGTCGAGGGGCCTCCTAACTCGTCCACACAGGGCGCGGGAGCGCAGACGCGTGAACGAGCAGAGCACATGGGATTGGCTTCAGCTTTGATGCTGCACCCTTCTAGCCCTGCGGTGTCCTGATTTTGGAGAGAGCAAGGTGAGAGGCGGGCTCCGCGGAGGAGCCCGCAGCGAAGACTGAGAAGGCAAGATGACCAGATAGGAACTAAGATTCAGAGTAGAGAATACATGTCTACTAATGCTACTATAAATACTAACTAACACATGTATGTAGTGAGGCTAGTATGTAAGTACACATGTACATGAAACATGTAACAGATGAATCCCAGTGCTGCGCACCATGCATAGGCCGCAAGGGCGGAGCCTGAGGGGCTCCGAGGGTCCGAGTATCCAAAAAGGGGCGTAGAGGGGGACCCCTAAGGGGGCGTGAGGACTGGTATATGACATTGATCAAGAACAAAGATAAGCAACCCTTAGAACCAGCCTCCTTCCTGATATAGAGGTTGGTCCACAGCCTAATGCGGGAATACCGATTAGGCCACAGGATGAAGTCCAATTCCTCCAAATACGAACAAAGAGACATGAGATCATGATCTCTCCTGGTGCGCTTGGTAGACCTTTCTGGTGAAAATCTACGCTGACGCAATGACGATCTTAGATGATAAACATCTACCAGCAGTTCTGCATGATCCAACTCAAAACTTTCTCGCGGCATCCATCCTCCCCTCAACCTCAACCATTCTTCCCACTCCATCCCACCCCATCACCCCCCAGGCCATAATATTTCCACCCCCATGGTTGACAGTTCCTTCAACCTTCTAATCCTGCAAAGGTGCCCCCTTCTGTTTCTGTACCCATTTCCTACCATCTGACCCAAATCTGTTGATTTTAGTTTTATCTGACCATGACACCCTCTTGAAGTCCTCCACTGTCCAATTCCTATACTTCAAAGCCCAAGCAAGACATGTTTTGTGGTGTTTGACTGATAGGAAGGGTTTTTTCTTCTTTACCACAGCCTTCATATTGTTCTTCTTAAGGATATTGCACACAGTTTGCGTGGAGACAGGGTTACTGAGAACTTTGTTCAAGTTTTTGGTGACCTGAACAGCATTCTCAGCTTTTCCAGAGTTGATTTGGCTGATGATTGCCCTCTCATCAGCCATAGTGAGCTTCTTAGGACGTCCACCCACCAGGTTTTCCTTGTTAGGGATTACCTGGCGAGCTACCCTAGAGACAGTAGCTGCACTACAACCCAACTTGAGAGCAATCTTGGCCTGAGAATGGCTGGTATTAAGAAGGGCAGAGGTGATATCGGTGCGAAGGGAGTTGGGAATGGACTTCATTGTTGTAGGGAAGATGAACAACTGACAGAGCTTATATATAGTGCTGGTTGTGCCTGGATGAGTAATAGATGACATCATATGTGTCATCCTGATGATACTGAGACTTTATGATGAGTAATAGCCAGGAACAAGGCATTCAGGAACCACACTCAAAAAACCCTTTCAATGCATCCCTTGATTAGAAATTCTGTAGAATATTCTAGACTTATCCGATTGACTTGAATCAAGATTTGTCATTTAGCTGAGAAGGGGCACTACAAACGCTACACTGACCCTGAGCTACCATTTTCAATAGTTCCCCCGTTATTTAGTGTTTTGTGCAAAAGTGACCAACATAGAAAGGGTTTTTTGAGTCACTGTAGGAATCTGAAGCGGAATAGACATGGTAGTGTACTGGGGTCATGCCGAAGTTCCTCGATGCAAGCACCACTCTCTGTATTGAATACATATACCTTGCCGTGGAGACTCCCACAGATGACAAACTCGTCATTATCTCCAGCGAATGTACCTTGCTTGATCTTGTGTCGGATCGTTTTCTCCGGGATCGTGAAAGTTCGCATGAACGTGTTTTCAGGAAAGGCATAAAGGTCGAAGTTATTGGTTGATAGGTTGTTGACCAGCAGCTTGGTGGAGTCCCGAGAGAGTGTCGCATAACCACTAAAAGTGATCAGTGAGGGTAAGTAAGGCAAATGTTGACCAAACATACACTGCCCCCAAGAGCTTCTTGCGCCACTGTACGATTCCTGTTGCTGCACTCAAACAAACCCTGTGGGAATCATAAATGATCAAGTCGAAGAGTTTTGAGGAGCACTTACATTTCGCCAGTCTGCAATAAGAAAGCAGCAACCTTGTCATCGCCAAAGCAACTGAGATCCTTTGGCATTGAGTTTAAAGAAGGTGTCTGCCAGAGGAGCTGAGCGGTACCTAGAAAGAGTTAGTGATTACAACTCATCGTCATAAGATACTCACTGGAGCTTGTGAGCGTGTACACCTTGACAAGACCAAACTGACTCACAGCGATCAGCCACTGGTGTTGTCTATCGTAAATCATGCTTTCGACAAGGTGATCAAAAGCAAAGGCCGCAGTGGTGGTAAGTGCAGTGGTAGATATCATACCCTGACGATATCAGTGGGGATAAGTAGCGACCCACAATCTCAAAGGCGCCTCACCGTCTCCTTCAAAAATGGAACCATGCTAATAGCTCCTCGAGCAGAACTGATACATAAAGCTAGAGTGCTTGCTCCGTGTGCAGGTGGGGGGAGATAGGCCCAGATAAGGGAGGTGATCTGACCCCATTTCTCCTGGGGGTGTCGGATCGTTTGAATGCATACCACGGAGGCCTTGAAGGTATCCCAGACTCTGACACATTCATCGTTACCTAGTGTGGCTCGTAATCAGTAAATAGTACTGCGAGAAATAAGGCAAAGCGATGACTTACTCCCAGTAATCAGAAACTGGCCCCCCTCAGAGAAGAGCAAAGCATGTGTTGGGCTCTTACACGCCTTGAGCTCCTTGAGCGGCTGAGCGTGAGACATCTTCAATTATATCCACACATAAATGATTGAACGTCAAACATACATTGCATCCAAATACATGCATGGTGTTGAGCGTTGAGGTGAGAACATGACACTGACCCACGGGTTAAGGATGGACTCTAGTTGGAGTCCAGTCAGAGTTCTGGACTCAGATGAGAGTCAAGTCCGAGTCAGGTCAGAGTCAGGTCAGAGTTGACATGTTTCACAGGCCAAAACCATCTGGAGTGGAATGGACTCTATATAGACTCTACCTGGAGTTTCAGAGTTGATCCAGACTCAGACTGTACTCAAGTTGGACTCCATCCAAATCCAGGTTCACTCTGATAGGTTTAAGCTACCAGAGTTACTCAGAGTGGAGCTAGAGTGGAGCTGGAGTCTAACCATAGTCTAGTGAGAGCCAGGTCAGAGTTCAGCCATATAAAATGTGGCAATCTTGGCAAGTTGGGCTAAGAGTCTGAGTTGAATTTATACTGATTTTGATTCTCATATTACTCGGCAATGGAGCCTTCTAATATCAAATCAATCACAGATATTGTTATTTTTTTTCTATGGAGTAAGTTAGAGGTTATTACACAACTGTTGACTCTCTTCTGAAGCATGTGTACATTAGTAGATTCCTATTGTTCAAATCACAAGTTCAATTGCATTTGTAATGACTCTTATCTGAGTCTATCTGAGTCTCAGTGTTCTTTGGAATGGGTGCATAATATTATCAGATTATAAGATTAAGAGTTTATATAACTTACTCCCATGTGACTAATGCAATCTGAGTCTATTTAGTGTACTACTCTGAGTAGCATTTAAATTGTTTGATAATTTACCAGAACTTCAAATCACCACTTCATACATGACTTATTGAACTATTTGATTGTGAATTAACACACAGAGTCATTCAGGACAAGTGTAATCTATCTGAAATCTTGATGGAGTTTTGGGTTCAATCTAGATAGAGTCTAAACTGACTCTGGATGAGTGGAGACCAACCGTAGTCTGAGTGGACTCTCACTCAACTCAGATAGACTCTGCTTGGAGTGTAGTCAGAGTCCCAGAGTCCAGTCAGAGTCCAGTCAGACTCATACAGACTCTACTTAGACTCTACTCAGACTCTCAGAGTTCAGTCAGAGTTGAGTCAGACTCAACCTAGACTCAGCTCAGACCCGTGGGTCAGTGTCATGTACACGTTGAGGTGAGCGTGTTGACTATGAGCAGGAAAATGTGGTAGTGATTTGTGATGACACTCACAGTTGCACAGTTGCGTGGAATATAAAGGACACTAGAACAAAGCAACATGAGGTTGTAAGGGCAACCTCAAGATGGCCAACAGCGCAGGCCTAGCAGAGGGAGAATCCAAAGATAATGAATAAGGCTAACTACAATACATGAGAGGGCTGCTCACCTAGCAGAGGGAGAATCCAAAGAGAACAGGATAAGGATTCTCCATGCTAGGAAGCGAAGTATATACTGTAGTAGCGTGAGAGGAATGCAGGATAACTGTACAGTACACCAGCCACAAGTCCGAACAAATATCACAAGGTACAAGGAAACATGTGATAATGAAGTGGAGGGTAAATGCACAGGAGTCGTGCCAGCGACTTGGGGAAGTAAGGGCAAAGAGTAATGAAGTGGGGGAAAAGGATAGAGGTAACCCGGACGAGCCCCGAAGAGTATAGATGAGTCCGAGCGAGTCCGAAGTGTCCGAGACGAGTCCGAGGTGTCCGAGACGAGTCCGAGCGAGTCCGAAGTGTCCGAAGTGCGGGAAGACTCCGGAGTCACCGGACGCGGCTCGGATGCGAAAGGAGTGGGTGGAAAGGAAGTGGAAAGGAAAGGGAGCGAAAAGGAATGAAGGGGAATGAAGGGAATGTAGGTAAGAGTCCATGGGATGAAGGAAAGGAGAGAAAATAGAAGTGTCCCCTTACAGAGGTGATGTCATCGACCTGCTGAACAACACATTGCAGAATCAGCGTGTACTCACCTCTAGGCCGATACAATGCTTTGTTGTAATGCACCGACTGTCAAGCTGATGATGTAGGTCGTCAGTATCTTGATTATTGGGACAAAGGGGATTGATAGAGTCTAACATATAAAACAGGGCAGGAAGTTGGCAGGAAGTGACCACAAGTCGACTTCTTTCATCGGTCATCAGAATGTCCTCCGTATATGTTCCCACTCCCTGCCCCATTCTCTCTACTGATATGTCCTTTACGCTTGCCCACGCACCTGTTCCCGTCATCTCCGCCCAGATGGAGTTCACCCATGACATCCTAGAGGCCTGGAAGCGGGAGAACGATGCTGGGGGTGAAAGGATTCACCGGAGGAGTCAACGGCACCAGCCTAAGGCAAACAACGACCATGGAGAAACCTCTTCCAATGATGGCAACGATTGAAGCTTCCCAGGCAATCAAGGCAAGATCCCAAAGCCTGTTGGCGAGCCTGGACACTGTCCTGAGACTGGTGGGTTCCCGTTGAAGGAGCGCCTTCTGAGGGTTGAGATGTGGGATGAGGAAACATACAACGACGTCACGGTAAGTTACTTCTTCTAATACATATTCAATACTAACCTCCAACAACCTCAGAGTGCCGTCCGTAAAGCAGCCCAGGTCGCTCTGAACCTTTCTGTCAGCTTCAAGTTTCAGGAGAAAGCTAAAGTCGATATTATTTGTGCCAAGGTTGGTCTACAATGTTGTCTCGGACACCAAGCTCATATATTTCTATAGATGGCCCACAAGTGGAGCTTTTTGAACGAATACGAGGATCACTGGCCTGCAAAGAGTATGCTCAAGGCATATCTCAAGTATACGTCGGAGTGTGCTTGAAAGGATACCAAGGATGCTGCGGAAGAGTTAGAGAGGGATGTATGATGACCTTACTTGTATAGCATGCTACTAGCAATTCATTCACACGTTTCGGTCGATGTTCAATGGCAATAACACTTTGTTAAGTAAGGTGCGTTATTGATTAAACAATTATACAGATTACGCAGTGGACAGCGTGTTGTTGAACCCAATTTTGAACCTGATTCGGGTCAAACACCGTCACTAATGTCCATCATATCGTCCTCTTCCTGAGCATCATCCGTAATGGGGAGTAGAAGGGTCTGAAGGCAGATGAGGAAATGGAATGGAATTGATGATCTTAAAACTTACTCGATTCAACGAAACAACAACCGATACTTCTCTCCCAGCCCACAGTATCCCACACACCACTGCATGACTTTGGATGGCTGACGAGTGCAGAAGCTTGGGGATAGTGTCGATGGTAGACTCAACTATCATGGCGCATACATGAGGCCAATCAGAGAAGGGGTCCTTTTGAATGGCAGCCTTGTTGTACCGGCGCACGATGATCCATGCTTCATCTCTTTGCTGACCTTCGGCCTTGAGGATGTGGTCAATCCTGGCGGCGAATTCGGTAGCATGTTGGTCACAGACTAGGACTATTCCATTGCCATTGTGCTTTGCAAATGTAGTATACCGTAAGTTGACAATTGTTAAAACATTGATGAAGTCGACTTTGGGCGGGGGACAACAATCCGTAAAAAGGTGCCGAAGCTCAGGGGAAAGCGCCTTGGCGTGTTGGCTGAGTGTGTGGCAAGACTCGGTCTGAATCCCAGCTCCATCAGAGGCCAGAGACCCATGAGTGACAGTCAAAACAAGTGATCCAAAGATTTCGGCACAGTATTGGATTGTTTGTGATGATGCATTGATCGACTTTAATAACAGCGCTGTAAGGTTGTTACGTTGGTGCCAGGTCCTTCCGATTGTGAGTTCATATTCCCCTAGATAATCTGTATGAATCGAGTCTGATGGTACATGAAGGCCAAGCTTACCCTCCTTGTAGTTGGTTGATATCCACTGTAGCTTTCCGATAACTCTCTCCATGGGAAATGTCCACCACCCATGGACTGGTCCATAGAGTAAAAGGTACTTGGCGAGATGCATGGATTGATGATGATTGGGATGGCAAACATACTCTGGAAACAGATCTTTGAGGCCCTTGTAATATGCCGTCATATGGCGTAAGTATTCGTGTGCGTGCAATTGAGACGTCTCGTGGGATGTCGCAATATTGATAGCAGAAATAAGAGACAGTGTGAGGGATAAGAGTTCGGTGTAACAGTTTCTTGTCTGGGGTGAGTGCGGCACATGAGAATGCTTCGACCAGAGTCGTGTCAGTGTGATGGGATAGTAGATGGTTGCTGCTGTCCGCCACTGGTCCGCTTTCAGTTTGCCCGTGTGATCGCCAAGGTTGTATGGGACGTTCGTAAGCCACGATGGCGTAACAGTGTTCCTGATATCCCGCCATAGCTCCTCCATATCACTTTTGGACATAATCTTGCCATGGTCGAACCCACTTAGATTCTCTGAGCTGTCATCTCTATCGTCTTCGTCTCCACCATCCCCGTTATCCTGAGGAGGTATTTCATTGTTTGCTTCACTTCGACTCTGACGCTAGTTCACAGTGCATGTAAATTCAGAATAGGTAGCAAAGTGATATGCGAGTGTACGTACCCAAGTGACCAATAATGCTGCATAATTTGCACGACTGGGCTTTCTAGGATGTGGAGTGCTGGGGAATGATAGGTCCAGCACCTTGCAAACATACTTGAGAGCCGCAAGGTGATAGCCGGCATAATGACCCTGCCACCACTCTACCAGGTGAGCGTCCATTGGGCGCTGGAGCACAGTCAGCATCTTCTCCATGCTCGATCTTTCCATCTCTTTGGCTGGAAGAGGATTTGAATCTGTCAGTTCGATCGGATATGGTAGTATACCGTCTAACTGCTTGTGAGCGCGATCATTGGATTTGGCGTCATAACCAAGGATATTTGTAAAGTGCTCCTTGAGAAGTCCCAAGAATAGGTTGTGCATGGAGTCAACAACAATGAAGCAGCTGGGGTCAAAGTAAGGAAGCCTTAGAAGCTCACTGTATCGCACTCCAGTCTGATCGAAAGAACTCTGCGCTGTGTCATCGGTGGGTGCGGATTGAAATGCCTCTGCATGTGCACGACACTGGTAGTTTTCACGCCGTGGCCACGCGGTGAGATTCCAACATCCGAAGGCGTGTTGCAGTATAATACACTTGCAGGAAGGACAGGTCGTGATGTCAGGGCCGTCATCCAAAGACGGTGGAATAGATCCAGGGAGGCGACACAGGCAAACAGCACAGTAGAACATATGAGTGCAAGCGGAGAAGCCTCCAAACTTGCGAGCAGCAGGCAGGTCGCAAACAACACAGACGAGGGCGCTGTAAGGGGACACTCCTATTTTCTCCTATTCCCCTGTCCCTCTCCCTTCCTCCTTCGTTTCCTTTCTCCCTTCCTTCATCCCATGGACTATTATCTACATTCCCTTCATTCCCTTTCCTTCCCTCTCGCCCCCTTACCTTTCCGCTTCCCTTCCGTTCACTCCCTTCGCATCCGAGGCCCGTCCGGTGACTCCGAAGTCTTCCCGCGCTTCGGACTCGCCTCGGACTCGCTCGGACTTGTAGATACACTTCGGGGCTCGTCCGGGCTACCTCTATCCTCCTTTCCCACTTCATTACTCCTTGTCCCCACTTCCCCAGGTCGCTGGCACGACTCCTGTACATTCCCCTTCCACTTCATTATCACATGCCCCCTCATATCTTGTGATATTCGTTCATACCTGTGGCTGGTGTACTGTACAGTTACCCTTCATTCCTCCCACGCTACTACAGTATATACTTCGCTTCCTAGCAAGGAGAATCCTTATCCTGTTCTCTTTGGATTCTCCCTCTGCTAGGTGAGCAGCTCTCTCATGTATTGCAGTTAGTCTTATTCATCTCTTTGGATTCTCCCTCTGCTAGGCCTGCGCTGTCGGCCATCTTGAGGTTGCCCTTACAGCAGAACAGGATCTCCCATCCTGGCACCAGAGCCCTATGGAAAACGTCCTGCGCCACTCCGGACTCGTTCTCAACGTCTCTCCGGTTTTGCGGACATTCCGGACGCTCTCCTGCTACTCCCACCCACCTCTGAGGACCCAAGGAACTCCATCCCTCGCTCCCTTGACGACTCCGAAATGCCGGGTGCTCCCAGCCAGATCCCGCCATCCGAGCCAGTCGCTTCAGGACCGGACTCCGAGACTTTGCAGACCTTGTGGGCTCAGACGTACGAACACCAAACCCAAATCAGCTCCATTCAGGATACACTTGCCCGAATTGAAGGACTCCTCCTAACACCCTGTCCGACTACTCCGAAAACAACTCCGGACTCCAAGCTGAGGGGCACTGAAGCCTCCCAGCATGCCCCGAGTCGATCCGAAATCACCCCGCGTTCCCGTTTGAAGCCCGCCTCTCCCCCGATCTTTGACAGAAACCGCAAGGATGGTCGCACGTTCTACAACGTGTGCTCCATCTACTTCCAGCTCTGTCCGGACCACTTCCCGACCGAGCAGGCCAAAATCCTCTGGTGTCTCTCCTTCTTCCAGAAGGATCGCGCCAAGGAGTACGCGGACATGGTGCTCCGGAGTCCGAAGGATCCGTACTTCGAATCCTGGGCCGCCTTCGCGACCAAATTCCGGACTCGCTTCCTTCCGGATCGGGAACGCGAAGCCGCCATGCTCAAGCTGGAGTCCACCCGGTACCACCAAGGGTGTCGGACTTTCCAGGAGTACCTCGACGAGTTCCGAGACCTTGTAGACCAGTCCGGATACTCCGAGGGCTCCAACATCACGATGAAGTTCCGTCGCGGATTGGACTCAATCATCCAGAGCCGCGTTGCCGAATCCGCAGACTGTCCGGACGAGGATGACTTCGAGGAATGGTACAGGGCAGCGCAGCAGGTTGCTGACAACCGTGCTGCTAACCAATCCTTCCACTTTGGCATGCACTCCGGAAACTCCGGACACTCCGGATCCCTCGTCCGACCAGCAGCCAGCTCCGGAGTCACTCGGACTCCTGCGGGTGTACTCCCCGCACCTCGGACTCAGCTCCCGCCTCTGCAACCCCGCTTCCAACTTCCGCCTCCTCCAAAGGCTCTCTCACCCGGCGTCCCCATGGACGTCAACCACACCCGCTCCCGGCCCGCCGCTTCACAGCTCTGCTACCGATGCGGCAAGCCCGGCCACATGTCCCGCGAGTGCCCACTTTGGTACGACGTCCGGTTCATGACCACCGAGGAGTGGATGTCCGCCATCGAAGATCTCCTGACCGCGGCCGATGTTGTAGAAAGTGCGGGGACCTCGGAAGGAATAGACGATGAGGGAACAGCCCCGGTTGAGGAATCGGACACAGCGGATTTTGTCCGGACCAACGAGTGATCAGTGCGACCTCGTTGGTAAATAACCGATTTGCTTGTCTTAGCGTAGACGAAATAGACGATTCCGATCACTCCGATGATTCGTCCGACGCTAAGCAAACGACTCCGGTTACAATCCGCACACTCCGAAGGTTTTGCCCGCAGTGGGAACGGCGGCTACCCAGTAGCTATAAGATCTCCGCGCTGCCCGGCAAGCTTTCGCTAGATATACCCGTTGAAGTGCAGAGCACGGATACACAACACCAATGCACCCTGCAGGCTCTGGTGGACTGCGGAGCCACCGGAGTCTTCATGCATCCGCGCTTCGCTGATGCCCATGGTTTCACCCGGCGCCAGCTGTCCGCCCCGATTCCGGTCTTCAATGTCGACAGATCACCAAATGAAAACGGATCCATCTCCGAAGTCGTGGACCTTGTACTCCGGTTCAAGGATCACACGGAACGGATGCTGTTCGCGGTCACTAACATCGGACGCCAGGACATCATCCTCGGATACACCTGGCTTCGGAAGCACAACCCCGAGATCGACTGGCAGATGAAGGAGGTGACCATGAGCCGCTGTCCGTCCGGATGCAATACCTGTCGGAAGGAGTTCCACCATGACAAGCTGACCCGACGCAAGGAGTCCGTACGACTCCGGGAGTGTCATACGGGTCCGATGCCAATGGTCGAGGAACTGCACTCGGACGATCTCCCACAGCTTCAGGACTGCGAGGTCGACAACGAGGACGATGAGGCCACAACTCCGGATGACTCCGGACTTGAGAAGGGCGACCGTATCTTCGCAGCCATTCCTCCTCCGACTCCGGAGTACCTTCGGAGTCTTCGGGAAGAACACGTCCGAGCTTCGAAGACGGTCTCGCAGCGCCTCGCATTGGCTTTCCAGCGCAACAAGCCCCACAATCCTCGGAACAGCGCAGTCCCGGACTTCCTCCAAGAATTCGAGGACGTCTTCGCCAAGGAGTCCTTTGATGAACTGCCCATGCCGCGTCTGTGGGATCACGCCATTGAGCTAATGGACGGAGCGGAACCGACCTCTACCAAATGCTACCCGCTGTCCCCCGCGGAGCAGAAACAGCTGGACGAGTTTCTGGAAGAAAATCTCCGGACTGGTCGGATCCGCCCCGGCAAGTCGCCCATGGCTGCCCCAGTGTTCTTTGTTAAGAAGAAGGACGGATCGCTCCGCTTGGTCCAGGACTACCGGAAGCTCAACAGCATGACGGTCAAGAATCGGTACCCACTTCCGCTCATCTCGGACTTGGTGGATAAACTCCGGAACACTCGCTACTTCTCCAAGCTCAACGTCCGGTGGGGTTTCAACAACGTCCGGATCAAGGAGGGCGACGAGTGGAAGGCCGTGTTCCGGACTACGCACGGACTCTTCGAACCATTGGTAATGTTCTTCGGACTGACGAATAGCCCATCCACCTTCCAGACCATGATGAACGACCTCTTCCGGGAGCTCATTACGGAAGGTGTGGTCATTATCTATCTGGATGACATTCTGATCTACACCAAGACGCGCAAAGAGCATCGCCGGGTTCTCAAGCGAGTCCTAGAGATCCTCCAGCGGAACAAGCTCTTCCTCCGAGCGGACAAGTGCAACTTCGAGCAGACCAAGGTGGAGTATCTCGGAGTTGTCATCTCTGAGGGTAAGATCAAGATGGATCCCGTGAAGGTTTCCGGAGTCGCGGACTGGCCGACCCCCCAGACTCGGACTGAACTCCAATCCTTCCTCGGGTTCGTCAACTTCTACCACCGCTGCATCAAGGACTACTTGCATATCGCCCGGCCTCTCTTTGACCTCACTTGCGCAAAGGAATGGCAGTGGAACGACTCCGCTCAATCCGCATTTCTTCGGATCAAGGAGCTGATCACTTCGGAGCCCGTTCTGGTCTTTCCAAAGGAGGATCGGCCATACCGGGTTGAAGCGGACTCGTCGGATTACGCTACGGGTGCGGTCTTGTTGCAGCTGGATCCGGATGATGGTAAATGGCATCCTGTCGCATTCTACTCTAAAAGTCTACAGGCTGCAGAGCGGAACTACGAAATACACGACAAGGAGATGCTTTCAATCATCCGGGCACTCGAAGAATGGCGACACTACTTGGAAGGCGCAGAGACTCCGTTCGAGATCTGGACGGACCACAAGAACCTGGAGTACTTCATCAAGGCCCAGAAACTCAATCGTCATCAAGCCCGCTGGTCGCTATACCTCTCCCGCTTCGACTTCACTCTCCAGCACCGTCCGGGTCGGACAATGGGTAAGCCGGATGCTCTCTCGCGCCGCTCGGATCACTCGGATGGTAAGGATGACAACAAGGATGTGGTTTTACTTAAGCCGTCCTACTTTGCCGTCCGTGCCACGGGTGTCACTCTTGAAGGGGAGGAGAAGGATATCCTCATGGCTATCCGGACTGGAGTGCGGAATGCGAAGTTTGAAGATGCAGTGGCAAAGGCGGCAGAGGAGCTGAAGAAGACCCAGGGCAGTCGCAAGACAGTCCGGAGCGCGGAATGGTCTCAATCGGGCGGACTCCTGATGTTCCGGGGTAAGATCTACGTTCCGGACTCACCGGACTTGCGTCGGACCATTGTAGCTCAGCACCACGACACCAAGGTCGCAGGACACGCTGGCAGATGGAAGACCCTAGAGCTCGTTTCACGCAGCTACTGGTGGCCCAACATGTCCCGGTACGTCGGATCCTACACCCGCCATTGCGACCTCTGTCTCCGGACGAAGGCCCAAAGGCATCCGCCCATGGGTGAACTCCATCCGCTTCCCATTCCGGATGAACGCTGGGATCGTCTGAGTGTCGACTTCATCGTCGAGCTTCCGGAGTCCGACGGGTTTGATGCTGTCATGAACGTGGTCGACTCCGTAAGCAAACGTGCCCACTTCATTCCCACTCACACCACAGTGTCTGCCCTCGGATCCGCAAACTTGTACCTGCAGAACGTCTGGAAGCTGCACGGACTCCCTCGGTCCGTTGTGTCCAACCAGGGTCCGCAATTCGTCGCAGAGTTCACCCGAGAAGTCTACCGGATGCTCGGAATCAAGCTGGCTGCCTCCACTGCGTACCACCCTCAGTCCGACGGACAGACGGAACAGACCAACCAGAAACTCGAGTCCTATCTCCGGATCTTTGTCGGAGAGCGTCAGGACGACTGGGCTTGCCTCCTACCTATGGCGGAGTTTGCGTACAACAACCGGGTCCATGCGTCCACTCAGCAGTCACCCTTCCTCCTGGATACCGGCCGTCATCCTCGTCTCAGGTTCGAACCTCATCAGCCACCGTCTCGGATGGAGTCCGCAAACGAGTTTGTAGACCGGATGAAATCCGCAGTCAACGAGGCTCAGTCCGCATTGGTCAAGGCTCAGGACGACATGAAGCGCTACTACGATCAGTGTCGGACTCCCGCTCCGGAGTACCAACCGGGTGACAAGGTCTGGCTGGACTCGTCGGACATCAACCTTGCCCGACCCTCCCGGAAACTCGGACACGCACGACTCGGTCCTTATAAGGTCGTCCGGAAGGTTGGCAAGGCAGCGTACCGGCTCCAGCTCCCTCCGGGCTTATCCCGTCTCCATCCCGTCTTCCCCGTGGTCAAACTCTCTCCCTTCGTTCCGGACCCCATCCCGGGTAGACGCCCTGTCACTCTGCCACCTCCGCAGCTCGTTGACGGAGAAGAGGAGCATGAGGTAGAAGAGGTCCGAAATAGCAGACGGTTCGGTCGGGTCCTGAAGTATCTGGTGCGCTGGCAAGGCTATGGTATCGAGCACGACTCCTGGGAGCCCGCGAGCAACCTCCAGCATGCCGCCCGGAAGGTCAAGGACTTCCATGATCGTCACCCGGACGCAGTACGCGTACTCCGGATGAGTCCGATGAATCCGACGACTGCTCTACCTCTCCGGATGACTCCTGCAGCACTGGACCAGTCCTGGGAGCGTTGGCACAGTCGGAAGGCTCCGGGCTCCGCGCAGTCGTACTTCGACATCTTCTCGCAGCAATCCGGAGTTTCAGGGTTGGTGAATTCATGGCGCGGCAGGCAGGAATCTTCGCGTCGGGTCGCCGCAACCTTGAAGGGGGGGTGATGTAAGGGGACACTCCTATTTTCTCCTATTCCCCTGTCCCTCTCCCTTCCTCCTTCGTTTCCTTTCTCCCTTCCTTCATCCCATGGACTATTATCTACATTCCCTTCATTCCCTTTCCTTCCCTCTCGCCCCCTTACCTTTCCGCTTCCCTTCCGTTCACTCCCTTCGCATCCGAGGCCCGTCCGGTGACTCCGAAGTCTTCCCGCGCTTCGGACTCGCCTCGGACTCGCTCGGACTCGTAGATACACTTCGGGGCTCGTCTGGGCTACCTCCGTCCTCCTCTCCCACTTCGTTATTCCTTGTTCCCACTTCCCCAGGTCGCCGGCACGACTCCTGTACATTCCCCTTCCACTTCATTATCACATGCCCCCTCGTACCTTGTGATATTTGTTCGGACCTGTGGCTGGTGTACTGTACAGTTACCCTTCATTCCTCCCACGCTACTACAGTATATACTTCGCTTCCTAGCATGGAGAATCCTTATCCTGTTCTCTTTGGATTCTCCCTCTGCTAGGTGAGCAGCTCTCTCATGTATTGTAGTTAGTCTTATTCATTACTTTGGATTCTCCCTCTGCTAGGCTTGCACTGTGCGGCCATCTTGAGGTTGCCCTTACAAAGTCCTCTCAATAACTTCCTTCAGTACTGCAACTCATTGACGGAGATCAGGCACCCCATTTGACTGTATTCTCGCTACAGAAGCCGTGCGATACCCAAGGACTCCTCTCTGTTTCTGGTTAGTTACAGGTGTTGTTGTTTCGACATGCGGTTTCATCTCCTTGTCGAGGTATTCCAGGCCAATTGGATGGCCACCCGTCAGCTATCAAGTGCTGCCTCCATGCCCTCTTGATGTTTGAGCTTCAGCCGTCAATGACCAAGCGCCTGTCGCGGATCATGTCGAATGTGGTCCACATCCTAGGATTCCTCTCTGTCGTCAGCTCGCCAAACGCGCTGGATGCTATCTTCACTGAAGCATGCTTCAAGATGGTGTTTGGCGCGGCGCTCCAATACCTTCAAACATCACGATCAAAACAAGATTTTGCCAATGATTTCGTGGGCACTCAAAATGACAAAACAAAATGAGACGACGGAGCGAACCACCCACGTAGCTACACACCTAAATCGGCGTCAATTTTGAACACAACTTTGAGCCTTTGCCCCTCCTTCTATGCAGGCTATGGACGGACTTACCAATAGCGAAGGCGCCAATGGGTGCTCTGCTTCTTTAACTTAACTCGTGTCATGTCTCATAATTACACGCAGTAATGGATACTCATTCGGACTGATAACACACAACATTGTAAATACAAGTAAGGAAATAGATATCAAAGAAGGTCACGGTATTCGGCGTGGGCACCAACCATCTTCGAGATGACCTCAGATAATCCAAGAATGGGTCTGCCTTCAGTTGGGCTCATGATCCCTCGGCACAGAGGACAAGTAGCATGCGTGTCAAACCAAGTGTCGAGGCAAGTTGAGCAAAAAACATGCCCACACTCAATCCTAAATTGCGAGTCAGCTAGCTCAAACTCAATCCGTAGCTGTGGCAACTCACACACATGGCCGGGTCATGAAGGAGGTGCAAACAACGCATCGACAAAACTCTGCAAGAGCTTCAATTACCTGTATGGATAGGAGAGTTAGAAAAGTTCAGTATAGTTGATCACTGTACTTACACCTCGTTTACTTTCCACTTCCTGAGACACCAGACATGAGTAAGAGTAATCATATACATATATATGAAAGAATTCACCTGGGTCAGGCTGTCGCGAAGATTCTCAAGCACGGTGCAAGTGGCTTGCAACTCGTTGCAGTTGGCTCTGAGCCGGTCACAGTCAGACTGAACACCTTGATTGAGCCGTCTGAGGGCCTGGTGCTCAACACGTGTAGCAGTGTGCATCTGTGGAACAGTCAATCTGACGAACTAATACCCGGTCAAGCATATCACTCACCTTGAGAAGCGAGCGGTATGAGTTCTGTAGGTGAGTGTTGGTCAATCTAAGATCATTGATTGTTGCCTTCATATTGTCAAAATGGCGACTAGGATCGCCCTCAAGGCAAACGAGTTTATCCTTCAAAGCTTGAAGCTCCTAGCAAAAGTGATCGTCAGATTTATACAAGTATCAAGGTTGGAAAGTCAACAAACCATATGATACACCTCTTCCCGATTCTGAACGTCATTCACTGTAGCCTGGTGGGCAACCAAAGCCGCATCAGCTTGGTCAATTAGGCAAGACAAAGTCCAGTCATTAGCCTAGATAAAGAGAGCGAGGTCAGTACATAGACACAACAAGAACAACATGATTAAACTTACAGCCTTCGTGGCTTTCAGTTGCCCGGCTAGTTGCCCAAGCTCGGCAGCATAAGCTTCATCGCTAGCACCAGCAGGTCACAACACGATTGGGGCAGAGCCCTCATGGTCGCCGGCGGTATTGTCCATGATGAAGTTGCGAAGTCGATCGAAGGATTGTATCAAGAGAAGGATTGTAGACAACTGTTGATAGGACAGAATAGAGGCCGTTTATATAGATTCCGTGCAAAGGAGTCCGAATTCAGAGATAAAGTGGTCGTCCACATACCGATTGATCTTCCAGCCTCTTTCCAACCTCTTTCAGCCACAAACATGACGCACTGTGAAACACCAGAACCACCTCATTCTCAGGGTTACACTCATGCATATGTGGAGTCAGTGACAGATATTCACAATCAGTTTCTCGCTTTGTTTTTGGGTGACACTTTGGAAAGATCCCTGATTGCCGATTGGGATGGCCAACTACAATTGGTAGGCACCATATATAGCTCTTTGTTCCTCGATCTTGGTTTGATCGCCAAGAATGGAACTGTCCAATAGTAGCCGGCTCTACTATGGGGACTCGCTACGCGCTTACCACACGCAGCACAACTCGCACACGTGCAACACAACTCGCACCACGTACTCACTCCCCACACTCATTTCCACCACACCAACTTGCATTTATTAGTTGCTGCTAGTTTGACAAGCCTACGCTAGATCATGGTGAATCTCGCTAACTCATATCAGTACTATGTGTCATAATCTGCCAGTGAGTGAAATGAGTGCCCATCCAACAAGAAGGCCCTGACGTCAAATTAGAACCTGCGTGTTGATCATGTTGGTGGCTGAAAGACTGCCATTCAACAGCTATATGCACATCATGAATTATCTCGGAAAGTCAACCCGCTGTTACTTTCTTCTAGCTGTAACCTCACCCTGGTGGCTGAAAGGCCGCTGGAGTCGCCACTTCCACATGTAGTGATCACCGAATGTTTCAGGGAGTAAAGCTGCCGCTGCTTTCTTCATCTCTTCTGTTGCGTCATGTAACTTACACCCTGGAGAAAGATGGACTCTTCCTTACAGTATGGATTCCTTTGAAGCCTTTGAATATCCTCAATGTCATCGTCATCCTCGATTTACCGCCCCTACTAAGATCAACAACAGTATTTAAACCGCAGTCCGCAATGTCCAAAATCCCAGCTTTCTCTACAATCAGCTACCCCCAACCGTTATACGCCATTGATCATGCACAACTCACCTCGCAACTCTGTCTCTGCCATGTCAACATCTTCCTCTGACTTCTATACTGATGCGGCGAGCAATTTCACAGACAACCCGCCTGATTGTTCTGGTTCTGCTACTCCTACGCTCATCCCCCTCGCAGTTCCTCAGCCGACGTCACCATGCGCTCCAACCGAACATGCTCATCGATGGACACTTCCCCCCTTGTGGATGCAGCCCCTGGCCTGCCCATCGCCCCATACCCCAATCATTCGTTTACGTCTTTTTCCTTTCCGCCTCCTCCCCATATGCCCAACCCCCAATCCCTGTCACTTTTTGATATGCCACTTATGCCGCCGCCTATGATGCCCCCATCTACACATAATTCTTCTATGCCATCTTTGACATATATGCCTACCACATCCTATAATCCTACTCCCTCACATATGCCTTCCAATTTTGTTGCAGCAAACAATTTCCCCCAATTTTCTGACTCATTTAATTTTTCCATCAACAACTTTTTCCCTTTACATGCTCCCATGAGCAACGGCGCTCGCTCTTATGACCATAGTTCTAGTAGGTGGTAATGCTTCATATTGATGATCCTTTTTGCTGACAACCTGTACCAGATATGACACTCAGGCTGATCCCTACATCGCTTGCCCCAACAACGTCCAATACTTCTACTGCCACGAACTCTGTGCCTATTATATCAGGTAAGATAAATTGACAATCCATGACTATCTTTTCACTCATATAAATATCTATTTAGCTTTGAGCTTCCCTGTCCCATTCAGTTCCGACTTCCAACCCCAGTTGCCACCCAATGTGTACAGCATTTGTCTCCAGTCTCAGCCGTCCGTTACACCTTCCCTTAATCCACACAGTGCCTCAATATCTGCACCGACACCAAGATACCCCAGCCTCGTCCATTCCCCCCCCTCCCCTCTCTGGCTTAAAGCGCCAATGTTCTACTGACAACAAAGGCACTGTAGATGGCAAAAAGTGTCGGCGCCTTTTCCTCGGTATCTCTCAGTCTCAACCAGATTTTACATCAACAACTATTGACGACGCCATGGAAGGCTCGTCTGAGCCGGCTCCAAAGGGGAAGCACAAGAGAGGTTCACAAGCAAGGGGGGTTAGGATGGCCTGAACCGAATCACTCTTGTCCTTGCGGCTCGAGGTTTTGGAGCTGAAGAAGGCCCGTGTCGAAAGCCAGAAGTTTGAACAGGCTCGCAACTCCTCTCATACTGAGGCCTTGCAACGTGAAAACAATCTGCGTAACCTTCTCTTCTTCAAAGACAAACAACTCGCCGATCTTCGAAATCAGCGCTCGTCCCCCTCCCAAGATCTCCTAGATCTACAGTCACAGTTGCACGCTCTTGAGCAAGCCAAACAAGATGATGCAGAGGCTGCAGAAGTACAATACCGGGAGCTCAAGGAGCGCTACGATACTCAGCTAGAGGAACTTCAGCGAGGTATTGATGTAGCAACCAGACAGCAACTACACGAGGCGTCCACCAGTGAGCGACATCTTCAGACGATCAAAAGCCTAGGTCAGCAATTGCAGAAGATCGAAGCCAAAGCATCTGAGAAGTATCAGGAGCTGGAGAAGCAGTTTGCCGATGTGTCACGACAGTGGAGGCTAGATGAAGCTCGGCATCAAGAGGACCACGAAGGAGTTGTGGCGAGCCTATGCACTCGCATTGAGGAGGTGGAGGATGAGTATGCCAAGCTTGGATCTGAGGCTCAAGCCCAACGCCGCACACTTGAAGATCAGTATAAAGATCAGTTGCAAGCCGCAACACAGCAGTGGGAACAAGATCGTAGGGAGGACCATCAGCGTGTGGTGGAAGAGTTAAATGGTCGAATTGTTGAACTGGAGAGCGTGTATGCCAAGCTTGGATCCGACGCTCAGGACCAACGCCAACAACTTGAAGCCCAGTATAGGAATCAGAGCGCCATGGGCGATGGGAACGACTCTCAGTGTCAGCAGATTGAAGATCTCGAGTGTCAACTATCCGATCTTCGGCAGCAACATCTCCATGATATGGAGGAGGCCAAACAGCGCTACGACTTGTTGCAAGACTCGACTTCAAGGGATCGACAGATGCTTGAAGACGACTGGCAGAAGCGGCTCGCCAGTTTGGAAAACACCCGTCATCAGGATGTGGATCATGAAGCTGGAATCGCTGCAGGCTTTCAGGCGCAACTGCGGCTTCAACAAGATGTCTTGGATGATCTTCAATCTCGGATCTCCGCCATGCAGGATCAGCACAAAAAAGAAAGACAAGATGCCGAGACCCACCAAAACGAAATACACCAGCAACTGCAGCAAGCATGCCAGAACTTAGAAGAAGCAGAGGGACAAATCACACAGTATCAAGAATTAGAAAATGCCCAGCAGCAAACTCCAACAAGCACGGCAGACATGGCTAGAGCCTTGGAGACTGCGATATCAGACGCCCAGCGGGACGCAGAAGCCAACTTCAATGCTTGGAAAGCAGCCCACGAACAAGAACTTCAGGTATGTGCTAACATCAATTCTGGTCTACTTTTCTATAACTAAGACTACGTAGGCTGAATGTGATGCATTGCGTGGAGAGCTACATGATCTCTGCGCCCACTGTCAATCGCTTCAACAGGTATCTATGGCGGGTTATCTCCATCTGTCCACCATCTAACAGTTATTGTCAGGGTACGGTGACAAACGATGTTGAGATGGACAGAAGTAGCTTCGCATCCGGGAGACGACATGGCAAGCAGTGTGAAGTTCTTGATGTACGTACCTCGCTTGACGCTCACCTTAGAATGCTGACTCACCTCACGCCATCAGGTCCGTTCATTTTCCCGTCGTCCTGTTTACCCACCTGTGGCAACATCACGAAGTGGCTTGGGATTTTCTTCGCTGCGGAGGGTCAACCTCCAAATGCCAGTATCTAATATTCGCTCTACTACATTGCAGTCCTCCAACCCTGTTTGCAATGCCACCCCTGGTCCAAGTTCACGTCCCACTATCCCATCGCGCCCATTGGCTGGTTTTGCGATGCCTCCAACGATGCGAGCACCTATCAACCCCACAGCAACTCCCTCAACTATGGCAAATGCTTCAACTTCTGCTCACCCTTGAACCATTGCTCCGCCATTACTCACCCCAGTAGGCGGGCGTTCTGGCACCCATACACCCATTTCCTCTCACCAACCAACCCCAACCCCCCATTCTCGTCAGGCTACACCCCCTGTATTCACAACACCAATCCCAGATGGACCACCCACAACTACGCTGCAGCGTGCAGGGTCGCATCCCCAGCCAGTCAACTTCGAAACCGCAATGTCTGGCCTAGAGAATCAACTTATGACTGCCCTAGGAAACATGGTTACAGGTCTAGCTGCAAATCTCATGCAAAACAACAATTGTTCTGCTTCGCACCCCCGAGCCTCGAGGGTTAATCCATCAAGTGCATACTCACAAACACATGAGCCAAAGACGCGGGATCCAGGCAGAACTAGAATGATGGTGCGAGATTTTGCTCCAACTCGTGACTTAAACACATCTTAATTGCAATTATAGAACCTTGTTCGAAGCAAGATGCGTACTATGCTTCATATCGACCAGGACTCCGAGATCATCGCAGCAATTGGCCGCCACAATGTCACCGCTTCTGTAGAAGAGGTAACTACTTGGGAAGAAGGGGATCGTAATCCTCCACCTCTGCATCCCCTCCGACCGTTTTGGCCAAAACTAAATCACAAATGGAACCACGAGCTTGCTTTACAGTTTGCGGAGGAATTCTGCAATGAAGAGTGTGAATTCGATACGGAAGACGTGAGGGAGCACTTCACATCTCGGCTTAAAACCCTCCATACCTACATTTCCCACAACTCTATGTACACGGATGGTGGGGAGGCACTCCTTCAGGTTGAGCGTGGTCGCTCTCGGCGTGCACGAAGGCAAGGAACAGTCAGTCACAACATCAATTTGACGCCTGGATTTCTGCTGACATCCAGATAGCTCTACGACAATCGGATAAGGATCATCGAAGGCAACATTCAAGCGGGTGAGAGCGCTGTGTGGATGCTGCTCCATGACATGGTTAGGGGGCTCGGGCTTCTCGGGATGAGCACAGACGAAAGTGACCCCGAGGACAATACCTCGGTTTCCATCATCCACAAGGACTGGTGCTCACCCGAAGTTATTCGCCTTCTGCAAGTCATCGATCGTCACCGCCAGGTTATCAATTGTTATGGAAATGCCAGGGCCGGTGCTCCACCTCAGAGCAGGCGCCGTCATCTTGGTGGTCCAGTCAGCACACGCAAACCAATTGCTGGGCTTCCCAGAAACTGGTATAATACAATTTGGTATAACTCCCTCTCGCAATCGCAACTCACCGGCCTAGGTGCTCTCGCAGAATTCCCTTTGCCAATTATTAATGACGACGACTAATCTCATCTTTAATTATATCAAGTACATTTATCTACCGTTTGTTTCCTACTTTATCTATCAACATTGAATGACAGCAACTAATATTCCCAGCGAGAGCGTGTCACTAATCGCAAGAGCGCGCGCTGGAAGCGACATCCACTGCGGATCACCATTACTTTGTCGCAAGAAAAACCAACTGACATAAATGTACCCTATTACTCCTATATTTGTCCCCTGATATTCCTTTTCTTCGCCTTCATGTAAAGTTGCAGTGAAATTATTTATCCAACAAATGGAACATCTTCTGGAATGTAAAAAATATGTCTGTGGTCAAAGTAGACATACAAATCATCATTTTGTCAATCTCTTTAGATTTAAGCAAAGAGATGCTTTGTCAATTGGTTCTTCCAAAGTCAAACTTTTCTATTGTTTGAACAAAGGGATTGCTTTGTCCAGAGATAAAACATGGCCTATAGGAAAGGTTTACCAGCAGGTAAAGCAATGGCCAAATGTTATCTTTGTTGTTCACTTTATCTTTGCTTTCATTTTTCATTTGTCACAGGAAAAATATGCTGTTAAATAATTTAGCCATCCAACACTTTGTTAACAGTTGAATAATAAATATATTCATGGATGAATCAATTGGAAAATTGTACATTTGAATTAATTACTTTATCTACGGAAATACTGATGGCTTCCTGCAGTGATCAGTCGCGTAGGTGAGTAGGTGAGTGAGGGAGCCAGTGACACAATAGGGAGTTGCTGAGTGAGTCATTGATCGCCTCGCTCAGCGAGTCACTATGTTTTCCTTTGGAGAAAAGGTGAAAGAAAAGAACATATTTTAAGCTCACCAAAACATATTGCAAAACATTAAATTTTCTACAGGATATAAGCTAATAAAAATGAGAAGTTTTCTATGACTTTTATGAATTCAAAAAATATACATTACAATAGTCCGGAAACCTATTAGGAAAAGTTACGCTGTCGAGGAGGAGAAAACCTTGGAGAAAATAAGCCCCTTTGTTTCAGGGGGAAGTTGAAGAAAGGGGGAGCTTTTCTCCAAGTTTGGTGCACGGTGAAACATAGATCAAAAGCCGATGTTTTGCGGAGGCAAAGACTCAGGTAAAAGGCAAGATTCTGCAGAGTTTTTGACTCTTAAATTACAGGTTATTTCTACTCTACGAAAACACTTGGAAAGTACGGCGACATTTTTACCCCCCCTTTTCACCTGGGGAAAAGGGGTCGCTGCATGCCGTGATTGCTGGGCCGGGTACGGGTGAAGGTTGGTGCTGATGCTCCCTATGAGGGGACCCTCCACCATATTGGTCCTTGCTCCGCTTGTAACTGTTTGGTCTTCATACCTTGTGATATGACTATTACACCCTCCGACTCTGTGAAGGCCAAGTTACTGCATACCGCTTCATGCTCTAGATCCCTCTGACACAGTGAGTATCTTGCTACCCTCCACTCTCCTTTCTTACCCTGCCTTCCCTTAGAACATATTCTATCTCTGTCCCAATAGTTTTGTTAAAGTTCCAGAGGATGTCACAGAGGATGTCGCAGAGACTTTTAGGGAGTGCTCTCAGTTTCAAGGAAGCTGAGAATAGACCCATCTTATTGATGGCAGTTTCTTTGGACTACATCTTATCCATGTACAACTCAGCCTCTCGTTCTCACGCCGGATATGTACTTGTGGATGTCTATATGTGCTATGTATTCAAAACTTAGCTAGAATTATGATTTGGAAGTACGTAGGAAGAATAGTAAAGCAAAACTGTCACTACACAACTTGAACGAAAACATGATTACATTATGACACACTCCTTATCCTCCACCTTTGCACCCTGGAAGCCCATCTCTGCGAAGGTCGACGCTCCCGTTTGTTTGTTGGGCCGTGTACTTGCTTGGGAAGTTCCTCCACCTCCAAAACCAGGGCCACCACCCATACCGCTGGCATCCTCACCATAGCCTCCTCCAGAAGGTATACGTGCGGGGGAGGGCCGGGGGGAGTGTGAAGGCGCACGACCACCACTGCTTGTGGGTCTCTGTCCCGGTGGGGGTGACCCGGAGGCAGCGCCGGGATCCGTCAACGTATACCTTTGCGCAGCGGGGTACTGCCTTCCCCCAGCCGGCTGAGGTCTCAATCCGACGCCCGGACCTGCGGCAGGGGGCGGTCGTTGCCCGGGACCACCGCCTGGAAGCGGGCTCTGCATGGGCGGTGGCGAATGCTGGAGCCCATACGTATTGTTCTCTGGAACGGAAGGCATACGCCCGTGTTGCGGCTGACTGAGCGAGGGGGGATGGTATCCTTCGGGCATTGACAGCGAGTTCTTCCTGATGTTCTCAATCACTGATTGTCCGTTTCCGTAGTCCCCGCTCGGGCGGGAGTAGGAGTCAAGGAAGGAGTCGTTGGAAGTGGGGCGAGCTTCGGACCGCTGCTTGGCTTGAGTACGCTTGCGGACGAGCTTGACCTCCGTGATTGAGTCATGCTCCTGTCGAGAGAGAGGTTGGGCTGTTGGGCCGGTGAGCGCGTTGAGGCGTTCCTTGGCATCGTCATTGCCCTGGTCGGCAGCCTGCAATTCGTCCATGAGAGAGAAACTCGCGTGGATGCACGATCTCTTACTCACCTTCCTATACCACTTAGTCGCAGTCTCAATATCCTTGGGTCCACCGACTCCGACCTCTGCGTAATAACCCATCGCAAACATCGCGCTAGGAAGCCCTTTCCTCGCGGCCTTGTCAGCGAACGTCCAGGCCAATGCTTCGTCTTTCTCGAACGCCCCCTCGGCTCCGCACAGGAACCACTTACTCAATGCCATATCGGCCTCGACCTCTCCCTGCTGACTTGCCAACGAATAGTACTGCACGCTCAGCAGCGCATCAAAGGGGAAGGGGGGCTGGGCAAATTCGTAGGCGTGCCCGAGTTTATATTGGGCAGGTGGAAAGTGAAGGTAGGCCGCTCGTTCGAGGTGCTTGCGGGCGTCGAGCGCAGGGGATGACGATTGGGGGATGACCGACGCGAAAGCGGAAGCGGGCACGGTGATGTGGGAGAATTCACCAAGGAGAAGGAGGGCATAGACGTAGGCGGGTTGAGGAACATCGAGAGAAGCTAGCGTGGCAGCTCTATGGAGGAGTGGAATAGCCAGATCGACATTGGCTGGTAGACCGAGTTGACCCATAAGATGCGCCATTCCCAATCGCTGCGTGAAACTTAATGAACTACTCAAACGGGAATAGAATAAAAGACTCACGTAGAGGCAGCTTTCTACTCCATACTTCACACCTCTCTCAAAACAATCCTTCGCGTGCGAGACATCGTTGAAATTCTCGTAATCTCTGCCCAATCTAAACCACGCGGCGTGGTACCCCGATCTTGCCGCCGACTCGAAGTCTCGGAACGCAGAACGTGGGTCGTGACGAACGTGGTCTGGGAAGGCGCCTGACGCTTCGAAAGTGGCGCGCCAGTAGATGGCCTCGGCGACGTACGCAGGGACTGGTGTCTGGGGTGACCTGGGCGACGCGAGCTCGACGACGAGCGGAACGGCAGTCTGTACAAGACGCGCGAGCTGAGGGTCAGAGATGGTAGCCGGCCCCACGGGTATATCGTTTGACTGGGAATTCTGGCTGCGGTTGACGAGGAAGATGACATCACGCGCCCACGCCAGCCTGAGCGTCGGGTCGTGCGAAGGTGATTGAACGGTCGGTAGCGCCTGGAGCAAGGTCGCGATGGTGGGAAGGGTGGCTGTCAGAGATGGAGCCGCCGCCGTACTCCGTGGGGGCGAAGGAGCTTTTGGTGGAGGCCCGTACGTCGACATGATGGAGGGGGTCCGATGGAAGTTGGATTGCTGCGGTTGCTGGGGTGAAAAGGAAAGATTTGCCATGCCGTGTTCGATCGAGCTGGAATGGGGGATTGGAGGTGATTGTGCGTAGTGCGGAGGTTGTTGCGGTGGTGGAGGCGCAGCGTATGGTTGCGGGGGGTAAGGTGCTTGCTGGGGCGGGTATGGTGCTTGCTGAGGTGGATATGGTGCTTGCTGAGGTACGTAGGGTGCTTGAGGTGGTGGGGGGGAACTGTAAGCGTTCCAGGGCTGCCAGTTCGTACCCTGGGGTGGAGGCAGCGGCGAGGCGCCTCGCTGAGGGTATCCCCCCTGCGGCGGCAATGGTGACGGGCCTCTATTAGGTACAACAAAGCCAGGGCTGTAGTTGACACTCGACGCCTCAAGCGATTGGGCCATCTGTGACATCGATGAGGTGTTGCGAGGGTAGGCTACCATATTACGTGGTAGGGAGAAGCGGTTTACTCACATTCGCCGGTATTGAAGGATCTGCTCTGTACGGTCTCGGTGCAGCGAGGGGATTGTCGAAATGAGGAGGAGAACTGTAGTTTCCTCGATAGTCTGGTGGTAGCGGGGGAACAGGTGGTGGTAGTGAATTCTGCCTCTGGTTCTGGAGATACAGCGGTGAGAAAATCGCGTGAGACACGCAAGTGGACGGCCTGGTACTCACCGAATCGTAGGGCCGTGGTGGAACTGGGGGAAGTGAAGGTGCGCTCATTGTGGTTCGTTTCAACTTCGTCTCGGCTTCAAGAGCATGAAGAGCTCATCGATGGCGATGCCCTCACGTGATTGGCAACCGAGACTACCTGAACTCACCATCAATGATCAGACTTCCTGATCAAAGTTTCAGAAAGCTGCAGGCGTCAGCGCCGTCGCTCACCAAGTCACGGCAAGTCATCTGCGACGCGGAGGCTATGAACGACACACTCGTTCTTGACGCCTGTAGAGCCCATGAACAGCTCCGAGCGACCCCAGGCTTGGCCGATATCGCTAATCAGCCCAAGGAATTCATATCCAGAAGTGAAAGCTGCGCCCAAGTCGACTAGACGAGTACGCTACGCTAAACCACTGCAATCATTGATGGTTGACTCGCGTCTGTTTGGTAGTTTCATTGTTCGACCGACGTGCGCGAGTTCGTGGACACTGCACCATCAAGGGCACTGTGCCGGAGAATCCAGGTATGCAGGTGCCAATTGAATTCCGGTGCTCGCGCTCGACAGCACTGCAATTCTCAATCAAGCGATCGCAGCTTAGGCGTTGGCAGACTGGGCGTTCACAACGTGCGTAATCCCTGACTTTTGTACCAGACCCACCACTGATGTTTGGGATACTCAGCCAGCATCTGTTTCTACCATACCGGTGCGAGAGAATCATTATACGCAACGCGGTACTTGCACGACAATGGCAAACATCAGATTGCAAGGTAACGAAACCATTAACAAGATCGTTCAAATGTCCCAACTAAATAACCAACACAAGCCAACGAAGTGAATTACTCTTTCATGGTCCATGCATCCACTGAAGGCCTTACAGAACCATAGCGGCGCCAAGGATAGCGCCCACAAGCCCCACGCTGGCACCGACCAATCCTGCCTGCTCGCCAACGCGCATCATACCCTTGGCTGCGTTGGAGGTGTTTGCCGGAGCTGGCGTTCCCGACCCGCTGCTCGTAGCGGGCGCAGAAGTGGAAGCAGGCCTGGTTACTGAGGGAGAAGAGAGAGGTGCAGTGGTTGCGATGGAGGCGGAGGAGAGGGGAGTGGTGACGGAGGCGGAAGAGGATACGGCCTCGGTGGTGGCGGACCCTGTGACAGAGACAGAGTCCGAGAAGGCGCCGCTGGATGCTGTTGCGAATTCGGGGCGTCAGTACACATGGGTGTGGATCGGGTAAACGTAAAGGGTTCAAACATTCAACCTCAGGGGCGGCTGCGGGTGGAATCAAATCCAAAATAGAGTTCCCCCAACAAAGGAGAAGCGCGCGTCCTTACGAAAGGAAGAGGGGAAATAGAGGTTACCCACCAGCACCACAGAGAGCCGCCTGCAAGCCGAGGGCAGCTTGTTGCTCTTCCGCTGTGCATGCTTGTAGGCATGCTGTTGCGGCATCTTGGAAGCCGTTCGTGGTAGAGCATGCGCATGCAGGGTCCGAGCTACAATAGGTAGTGAATTTGGGAGTCCAGCGGACACAAGGTGTGTGAAACGCACAAGGCACACCCAGCGGTGGCCGCAGCCTGAATCGAGCATTGTAAGACGCAGCTCGGGATGCCGGCGGTCGAAGTAGGGGCTGCGACACCTGAGGTTGTCGCGCTAGCGGAGGATTCCTGGGCGGAGACCGACACCGAGACCGAGAGGAGAGCAACGAGGACGAGGAGTCTTTGGAACATCGTTAATGGCTTGCGTTAAGGGGAGGCTGGGAAGAGCAACGAAACGAACCACTGTGCAATATAAATCAGTGGGAAGCGCGCGCAGGTGTTTCGTTGCAGGGATGATGGTAAACAATCCGCAAGACACTCATGTTTCGCCTGTCAAAATGTCACCGATTCCCTCGCCACTAGCCGTCTAAAATTAGATAGAATGGAAATGCCGAATCAGGTGAAAGTGAACAATTCACAAGATACATACGCTTCCAACATCGTGCACCAATAACGATGATGATACACATGGAAGACTGCTTCCTGTGCGACACCGAGAATCGAAAACTTCCCACAGCGAAATATTTATTCCCAACACCCCAAGGTCTCCGTTTCCGTGTAGACCGAAGGTCACAGGCGATGAAGGCCCGACAGCGCGTAAATGGACTTCAAGTTCTCGACGATCAGATGTCGGCTCCCGCGGCGAGAGGAAGCTTGCAAGAGTGCAGCACATTGAATGTGTGCTATGAAGGCTGAATATCAATGCATCAGCGAAAAGGCCAAAGTCTGACCTGATCAAGACATGGTTATTGGCTGATGTTTCTATCCAACTCTTTTCTACTTCGACAACGGAGGTAACAAGATGGGTGTCCGCCATTGTGATGTGGAATTGTTCCCGTAGACATAGACGTCGTGAAGTAGTCTACACGCTTGTTTCTGATGCATATAGCGATCAAGTAATAGAGAATCAGTCCGCCCTTTACCCTGTTACACTCAGCCCGAATTCACAGCATATGATTGTCAGCAAATGATTAATGGAGGATGTATGAGATTTTGAGAACAATGAGTTACGGCACAAAGCAAAGGAGTTGAAGCATGACAAATTTGTTAAGAGACATTACGCTTGACACCAACAACCTGGATAATGTGGCTATTGAGCTGCGCGGCAGCAGGGACCTCTTCACCACAGTAATAATTGGTGAAATAGGCAACCTTGTCTTCATATGCCAGCGTAGAAATCATCCCTGCAGACGTGATTGCCTGGAGGTTGTGCTGAATAGTCAAATGACAAAGATGAGAATTCCAGCAATGAGCCCTATATAGGAGGAGAACATACAGGTTCTCTCGTAGGATCTGTTCCATCAGCAAAGGGTACCACCTCAAGGCGAGCATCGGATGCAACTCCGTGTGTGCGATTCCACAACTAGAGGACACTCAATGATTAAGAGCAGTGAATTAAATATTTACTTACAAGAGCAGCTGTACGCCTCCCTGTCCTTGTCTCTCCCACAAGTGAGTCGATTCTGGCGTCCATTTGAGCTAGGCGTTGATCCACTTGAGTCAGGCGTTGATCCATTTGTGTCAATCGCTGTGTGACTCTGGGCTGCAGTAGTTGGGGTCATGGCAGCTGCGAACCAAGGCGGCTGGCCCTCTGCATCGGGGACACATCAAAACAGAGAAACCAACCAAGTGGCTGGTTGTACTCACCTTCAACTCCGGCCATGACCTGTGCCTGATATTGCGCTGTGCATACAATATCTTCGTTGGTGACAGGCTGGTTGGTATGAACTAATGCACAAAGGCAACACAAACACGTTAGATAGTACAGGATATTAGAGACAAATGATTAACGTACGGCGCGCATCAATTGCCTGGAATGCTATTATACACGATACAGCAGCATCGTCAATGGTAGGGGGATTCGAAGGTTGGTTAGGCCTTGTAACGATTTTGCGGAGACCTGGGCTCAGCGCTGGCACCGCTATCGCAGGCATTGCTGAAGGTTAGATCGCAAACCAATAGGGGAACAGCTCACAAACTGCTGCGAAGATGGCACCCCAGGAGCCGCAAATCCTTGCACAAAACCCATCGAATGCAAAGTTCGACCAGCGGCGAGTCGATTTCCTGTATAGCTTTTCCAGAAGGTCGCCTTCTATCGCGCGGAGGGAATATTTATATCGAAACAAACAAATTTCGTATTTATCTAGGCGGTATAACAAAAGCACACAGGAACAACTATCAACACATTTGATCGCCATTTGTTCAATTGAAAGGGCGCGACATGAAGTCGGGAATTAAAGCAGTCACAACATAGGGAGGATGTCAATTACCTGCTGCCATGATTGATATTGTTCCTCAGGGTATGCGTAGCTAGCACGAGTGAGGGTGCACGCTTTCGGGAGAACCGTGCTCAGAAACACAGCAACGTCATGAGCGGGTGAGTCCAGAGGTGACATCCCGACGTTCAAAGTCTCCAGGCGCACAAAGTGCGCGCCCTGGGGACCCGAGCAGGAAACCCCCTTCGTGTCCATATATAAGGTCAAGGTCTTCATAAGAGGACATAACGGGGCTAGTATCGGGAGGGCAGATAGACGGAGGGTTGGTGGTCCAGTCGATTCATTGAATTGGAGGGTTTTCAAGTAAGGGAGACTCTTGAGAAGGTCGGTCATAATTTCGATGCCGAGGTGGAGAGGAGGAGGATTTTGTAGCGATAGCGACGTGAGGTTGAAACAGTGGTAGTCTATGGAGAGAAAGAGCATTGCTGACGAATGATCTAACTCGGGGTCGTTGATGTCCCACTGTTCCTTGCTACGCAGCCTGATCGACCGAATATTAGGGGAAACAGAAGTGACGGCTGCGACTAAGAGGCTATACGCAGAGATATTCTCCTTATGGCGAGAAGTGATATCGAGATCGCTCAGGCTACGGGGCCTATATGCATTGAGCACATCCGTGACAGTCCCGAAACTGAACATGTCGTAGCTTGAGAGCGTCTTCAACGAAGGGAAGGATTCGGTTGGTGCCGCCATCGGCACGGCAAGTTTCTTGTACGTAGTTTCCGAAGACACTGTTAACGACTTCAAATGAGGGAGACGCGCGATGGCGTTGAGAGTCAATGCGGAGAGTAACGTAGGGGAGACTAAGAGGATCTGGAGTCGCGTAAGGGAAGACAGCAGCGAATGAATTGCGAACTCTGTGTTGGTGTCTAGTGGACTCCAGGAAGTAAGGGAAAGGCGTTCCAAGTTCGGAGCCTTGTCGGAGACGTACAACAGGGTTCTCCTATAGACTGGAAGAGGTAACCCTCCGGCGTCTTGGTTCATGAAACAGAGGTGGAAAGTAGTGAGAGTGCTGTGGATGAAAAGCGGGATGAACTTCACAAGTGCTCCCCAACGATCGTACTTCCATCGTCGTAAATTGGGAAGAAGTTCGCTACTCAGGGGAGGACTGCTTGCCACGATATCGATAAAAACGGATTCGCAGTAATCCGCCGTCATCGTATCATCGATTGCGCGCACTCTCCACGAATATTTTCGAAAGACAGCCCAATCGTGAGGGCGAATGTGGTGGCGAAATCTCTAGATGTAAAACATGAGGAACCAAAGCAATAGTAACACCGCCCATGGTACAGGGGCACGCACATAGAGAGGGGGCATTCCTTCTTCCGCACACAAGGCCAAGGGAGCCAGCAGGCTCAGCAGCGGCAGCAACGACTTGAGTTCACACCAAACATCGCTCAGCGCTTCGTCGCACCACGTCTTGCAAACAAGGGCATTGCGATAATTCTGTGAAACGGAACAATGATAGAAAATGTGGCCAAGAAGCTCTGTGGTAGCCAATGCTGAGTCTGTCGCTGTGGATGACATTGTTGGCGTAACCAAGGCGCAGCACAAAGAGTCACGGCAAGCATTGTTGATCAACTCCCGGTCCGCCAAAACAACCATCACTCCATGGGGATACAGATCGTTCGGGCTCACAGTCACGGTAGGGGGCTATTTGGAAACGCATGCTATAGCACAAATGCATAATCAGGCCTAGGATGGATAACTCCAAGCTGCAGCCCTAGTGCCACTGATGCAAAATCACTTTCTAAAACTGCCTTATGATGAGGAACATCCTACTCCAAAGTCAAGTTAATCTCTCCCTTTCAACATCTTTTCCGTGGAGGTTCTTCGAGTCATCCTCCTTGTCACCCTGCGATCCGAGTTGTACTTGGTAGCGTTCAACGGAGGATGACTGATCACAAACTCGGATATCCGTGAGTCTATATCGGTGTCGTTCTTGACGTAATGCTGTCGCCAGCTTTGCCAGGTATGGCGCCGTGCCCACTGCATCTCCTTGTGTGGGTTCTCCTACCATCCAATAGACGCAGACACGTATGCTGTTAGCATCAGAACATAGTTGTCAAGTCATTCATGACTCACTGAGAGCTCCTCGTATACCTTGTTGCCATATCGTCCTCCGGCGGCCTTATCAGGAATCTTGCGCGAGAGATAGAAGGCAAGATTGTTCTTGTCGGCTTGCGAGAATGGTGTACGGCTGTGATATAGCATCAACCCAATGTCTCGAATGCACGTACGAAACGTAGAGGTGAACTCACTAGAAGCCCGTCTTGCTGCCCCCCATTGGCACCTTGGTCGTGGGTTCATTGGGTTGTAAAATGATTTCCCGTTGGACGTGCCGCCAGATCGTTTGCTCATCCAGAACGATGAGGTTCTGGAGGCTGGGATCAGGAGAGTGAGCGTAAGCGATTTGTAGGTGGGGTATCGAGCGCGAGGGAAGCTTCTGCTCGTCGACGAGCAAGATATCAGCGCCATCTAACTTCCACGAAACCGTCCCACCGTGAACCTGTCCAAGTTTCAGTGGTCTGTGATTGACCAGTGCTGCAGATGACATACAATCAGATTATATGAGAGGTACGCTCGCCGATCTAGATCATGAATCGAAGAGTCGACGAAGAAAGAACGTCCTTTGAAGATAGGCTATGGGGATTCTTATCAGCGTCATGGTAGGAAGAGGGGGGGACTCAGGAGGAAGTAACCTACCCTGCAGTCGACCCTCTCCTTCCAAACCTTCTTCAGCCCTGTGAAAGGCAAGCGCTTGGAGGGGGTCTTCCGGATGCGGGCCATTGGACGGCTGGATTGAACTCCAAGTCGAGAGAAGATATGTGCACTTGGATGCGACGCGTCGAGAGGACGGCGGCGATTATTCGAACTATCGAATTGAGACGCCTTATATATCCCTACGCCTTCACCATTATGTACCATGCCCGCAAATTTTCAAGTTTGGGACGCCCTGTTCGCATTTGTCTTTAAGCGGTGATCCGGACTGTGATCGTGAGGCGCAGACAACTGAATGTGGTTATCTACTGGACTGATGCTAGCACGGCGATCGCTAAGAACACACCCCTTACGAAGGCAAAGCACTAAACTGATCTTGTCAGCTCTCCGTAATCGATCTACGAGAACCTTGGGCATGGTAGGTCAAATTTTCTATGCAGTCGCGGAGGCGACGCTGAGGAAGTACTGAGGTAGTGGGTGGGTGGTGATTATCAAGATGGCGTACGGAGGGGACTGCGACCAAATCCAAGCGTCATGCTCACTTTGGGCGCTGAGAAGAGGCGTTGAGTGCTGGAGCACTACAGACTCTAGTGTACCTCCCCGTCACCTAACGGGTCGGCGGCGGCCTTCTTTGACCCGCCGTGCTATCTGTTCGGCCATGATCGAAGAAAAATATGCAAAGAACGGCGACGGCTAGATATAGAAGCTTTGAATAGAGGAGCGGCGAACATGAAAATGTTTGTACGTATATCCATGCTATATTTCACCGGACCATTTCTCTGGGTTGATCTTGCCGGGGCGGGGACGTCGTACATGTGCGAATAGAAGCAGCCCGTGTAATTCTTCGGCAACGGCGTCATTGTGAGTGCACGCAACTAGTTTGGATAGGTTCGATCGAATCTTGGAGGGAAGGAAATTTTGGACGCCGCGAGCTGTTGTGCCGCTTCGTCGCCTAGGGCGTGAAACTTTACTGAGTTCCGCTCCTTCAGAAGCTCCAGTTAATGGTTGTTGTGCGAACTCTAACTGGCGATCCTCAACGTACCTGAACTACGGTCACAGGCAAATGTACAGGTTTGGTGTAAACAGGTAACTAGCAATCTTACAACGGAATATAGAACGACATGCATGTGGGGATGATAGGGCATAGGATCGACACGGCGGTATGATTACCTGTGATCAGCCTGCTGGAATACGAGATGAGCGGGGGGCGATGAAGCGGCGGAAGAAAGAGCTACGGGATTTGGTATCAGGATTTTTGTCTGATGCATTCCTCTTCTCGTTTATGACTCGGAGAACCACGCGAGCGGGTATAGTCTTGCCGTCATGCGCACTCGTGCTATTTGTCCGAAACTCAGGCCTGTCCATGAAGAGGACGTGCATGTGTAGATGTCCAACGCTAGTAGTTGGGTGCGGGTGGAACCCCATATAGTCGGAATATTCTTGGTCCATCTTCCTCAACAAATCCGCACACTGCGAAGCATATTGGCGGCACTTGACCATCACATCTTCGAGATGCTTCCGCCGCTCCTCTGACGGGTTGTTGTGGCCCTCCGTAGCATCGGATGTTTCTGCAGAGGCCTCAGCCTTGTCGTACGCTGTGAGAATTTCCTTGTATCTGCGGTCCATCGTCTCATTGATTGCGGCGATGATCTTCTCCTTGGAGTCGGGCTCTCTCCAGAACGTCTTGAAATGCTCCCTCATCTCCTCGATGCAATCGCCATCCTCTAACGCAACAGCGTTATACACTTACCGAGCACGTCAGTTATGGTCTACTAGGACGCGGCCAAGGCCACACACCTCTTGCAACGGGAATCACCAGCAGATGCATATATGACATCCCCGCAGCGGGGCTCTTATCGGTCCCCGTTGGGTCAATGTCCTCTTTGTACAGCCGAACATCGTGGGAAGCGTGGTTACAGATAATGAGTGACTTGTCCGTCTCATGCAAAATACGTTCGCTGGGGTAATGGGCTTTAAAGTCCTGTTAAGATATATTAGTTTCATGCACCAAACACACGTGAGGGCAGGACTAACTGTAAAAAACGTGTCGGAGCGCTTCCATGGTGGTCCATACCCCGTAGTAACCTTCCCTACCAGCGGTTTAGGAATGAAGCCTTGTCTATAGGCATAATGGTCTGAGAGCAAGGTCCAGGCTGAGTCAAGCCATCACTCACAATATCTCGTATCTGAAGTCATCGTCTGCTTTCGCGTACGCCTCGAGTTCTTTCCTGACATTGGGCCCGCTCCAAAATGTATCGTAATAACCTAGATACTTTTCTCTTCTCTCCTTGTCCTCGTCTCCTTTGAGCATTCTGTTTCAATGAGGTTAGATAATGGCAACCCCAGACTGTAGGCAACCGCACCTTGTCACAAATACAACCAAGCTCAGCTTCTTGAGAATCGCAAGGGCGCGATGGGAGGGGGCAAGACCAGGAGTCGATTGCCTGGACATCGGACTGGTAGTAACAGCCAAGTTGAGGGCTGTAAAACCATCATGCCTGTAGCACACACTACAACTTCTTTGAACGCTGCACAGCCTCTCAGCGGTACAAAGGTCATGTGATAGCTCCTGACTGTCAAGACCACTGGATGCCACCCGCTCAGGTGTTCTAAAGTAGGAGCCACAGGAGTACTAGTGTGGGCTGCATCGCACCACTGGCAGCGCTGTAGTTGAGGTCCAGCCTGCCAGCACGGCTAAAAGCAAGGAGGCATAATTACTCGAAAATCAGAATGTGCGTAGATTTCCGACTCGGTGAAGATCTTTATTCGTGTTCCCATGTAACGGTGAAATACTTTGAGGCAAGGCTGATATAAGCACGTTACTGGTTGCAGTAACATCAGAATCGACGATGTCCTCGAAAGAATCATCGAGTGATTTCCTAACTAATCCGTCGTACCTTCCCGCAAATTGCGATAGGACGTTCATGGTCCTCGTGTCCAAGGGCCTGCAGGACGCGTTACTCCTGAACTTCAACTGAAACTCCAACAAGGTTCGCTCGGTATCAAAAGAAGGACGACGGACCTGAGAGACTTCCGCCCTTTACTTATATTTCCCAGCTAGTAGTGAGTGAGCCCCAACACGTGCGGGAGAGGTAACGTACTCACAAGAACACATGAACCAGTCGACGAAGACCAGACCAAAGGCGGGCAAAGTGTCGGTACTTTGGCTGCAGGCGTGAACTGCAACTGTAATCTCCTCATTGGCTTGTCCGGTGCATCATAGTTACTCGGGACATCCATTAGTACCTCTATTCGCGCAGGCGAAGTTAGCCATTGAGAGACAGGTGGCTTTATGTTACTGATGTAGCGTATAACGTGATCCGCTATTAGTTCGCTGAACCGACTTCCGAGTTCGTTCCTGGGCAGCTCCCCTTCAGCCCATAGGTCTTGGGTTCTCCTTGACAATGTCAGGCGGTGTGAAGAGGGAGTTGCGTTCGATCAAACGCTGAAAGAACAGTCCACATGCGATAACGTGGGTTTATTCATTTTACATCAAAGCATACAGTGAAGGTTGCAGTTGGAGTGGTGGGCCGTAGCGATGCAGTGTCTTGATATCGCACATCGCATATTGGCTGAACATCGCTATTAGTTCGGCCTTCGATGCTCAGGAAGCTTGCAACTTACACTAGGAGGACCAGGTGCCCTCACCGCCGAACTGGCGAGGCATAGTGACAGGCGTGTCGAGGGGACCATTTATCTTGATGGGGGCACCTGGAGTGCCTGGTCCATGGATGGTGACGGAGATGGACGATTCTCCAAGCGTGGCATCGAACGACAGTTTTCCCTCCAAAACCTCGAGTGCGGGATAGTCGAGCGTAGCATTGCTGCAGACAAAAAGCTCGACATCCCGCGCAGGTGCGTGGAATTTGTAGGTTTTCCCGCCGATTGTGAACGAGGCTATCAAATCACTGAGGAAGCCTATGACTTCAATGGTACCCGTAGCGATAGGCATCTAGATGAGATATGAGCCGGTGCTTAAGGAGATAATATGTTGTCCGTACATTCAGTGCGCAAAAGATGTGTTTGATGCAAGATGGTGTGAGGGGCGAGAGATGGGTCTAGTTGAACCATTCGTTGTGTCTTTATAAGGCCACGAATGCACCCCAGTTCTACAAAGACAGCTACATGACAGGTCTTGTGGAAAGCCTAGTGAACATGCGGAGCAATGCTCAGACCCGCCGATTTGACACGCCGTGCCCCGTTTCACCACTGTGGAAAATCCGGCCCTCTGGTATGTCTCGTTTGCTGGAAAGAAGTCCTTCGCAGTGGCGCTGTGTGAGACAACTTCAATTCATTTCAGCGGACAATCAGACACACCAGACATCTTTGAACTTGGTCGCTAGGTGTTTCGATATCACCGGTGATATATCTACTCTAAATATCCTCAGGGATTTTCGTGCCTCCGGCATTCTCTTCCACGACTGTCAGCACTTGAGTTCTGTCAACTTCTCGTCGCTCTCAGCGTGTCATTATCTCCACAATTGAGACCACATTCCCTCTATTTTCCATTGACCGAAGTTGATTTCGGATCACCGGTGTTGAGTGTTTTGTTCCTTGCTGTAATCGCTGTTCATGTAAACCAAATAAAGCCAAACTCGTGGCTGATCGAAATCGGACTTTCACAACTACAGCTTACAGTACGACCCTTGTATCTATGTGGGTTCGTTCTCCGGCGAGGCTTGTATCTGTAGGTCACTTCTGAATTCTGTTTCGATTCGAACACGATTCATGTGCCTTCACCTTTCCCAGCCTTGAGGGGACGCCATGGCTTCCCGGCGGAAAAAAAAACCAACTCTCGCCCGAACCCCTTAAGCAACAAAGATTCAGACCTACATATAGACACAACAGCGCTCGCGGCGCTGCCATGAGGCAGGAAGGCCTGCATCCATATGTCTCCGCTAGAATGTAGAAGGGCACGAGACCATGAAGAGGAGAGCAAGAACGGGAGATTCTGGACGTGCGAAACCGATGTGTTCGACAGTGTGCGCTGATCGTGCATAATGGGAACAACTTGACTAACACTGTATTATATAGTCATTGCAAAGAGAACGGGGAGCCTGAGGCTGGAATATAGACGGCGACACTTTCGCGCTTCTCAAGCGTACATTCAACTCAAAGCCGTGTCATTATCCTACGGTGTAGAATCCTTCGAACATGTACATCAACTCATGGTGATGCCTAATGCCGGAAGAAGTTAAGCAGGATCATATGCTGGGATCTTGCCAGCCGCTCTATCACGAGTTGGAGCTCTTAGTTTGACTTTGTTCTTGTTTGTATTTAACATTGAGTGAGCTCCTTCTCGCGATACGATGCGTGCTGGTTCTAGGAGCCTGATGCTGGGACAGCATACTCTATGCATTAGGCATGGGTTGTATAATACATCTATCCCGTATGTGAGAATGAGGAAACTATCTATGATGTTCCACTAATCAAATTACGCGGGCCATCCACCGGGAATCGTTGGTTCGGCTTCTTCCTCGCCTAATACATGTTCGACCGCCTCGAAGGAAAGTGTCTTCCAGTCGTGCGCGAGTGTGCTGTATGTCCTGAACTGCGGGTCGGCAAGCAAGACGTGCATGTGCAGATGTCCAACGCTGTGGTGAGGATGCGAGTGGAACCCGAATACAACATCTGTGGCACTCGTGTTCGTTCGTAGCGTGTTTGCAAAGTTGACGGCAGAAATTCTGCACTCTTCAATCACGGCGTCCAGAAGGGCCAGACGTTGAGGAGCCGTTGAGCTGTTGCTTCGTTGATAGGCGCGAGCGACCTCTGCGTATCGCCTTTCCATCGCATCGTGGATTGCACGGTTAACCTTGTTGACCGAGTCGTCTCTATTCCAGAAGTCCAGGAAATGGGCCTTCATCTCTGTGATCAGCTTGTTATTTGAGAGTGAGACGGCGTTGTACACTGTGGGATGCAAAATTTGTCAGGATACCGCTTCGCGTCAAGGCATTCATGATGACAACTCGCCTTTTGAAGAGGGGATGACCAAGAGGTGCATATATGACATTCCAGCGGCTGCAGTCTTGTCCAACGATGAGGGGTCAATGTCGCTCGAGTACAGTCTTGTGTCGTGGCATGCAACATTGCAAATGATGTGAGAGTGCTCTGTGGACGATAACACGCGATTAGGATAGTTGTGCTCAGGAAAGTCCTGCAAGTGCTCAAAATTAGTTCTGCGAATTACAGTAGACAGTAGAAACGATTGAGCGTACCGTGAAAAAAGTGTCAGATGTTTGCCATGCTGGTCCAACATCGTTCGTCACCCTTCCGACCAGTGGCTTTGGTATCAGTCCTTTACTATCAATACGAATCAGAACCGTGAGGTAAGGATAGGGAAGGAGCTACTCACAGGATCTTGTACTCGTAGTCATCATTGCGGGCCTCATAGGCTTTCAGCTCTTCGATTATACCGGGGGTGCTCCAAAATTCGGTTCGGAGACGTCTGAATTCGTCGAGGTGGTCGGTGAACCGGATAGACATGTTGACGCTGAGTGAGGGACACATTCTGAGGAAATAATACTGTCTTATTCTGCCAAAGGCCTATTTTATACCCCAGTGCCCTAGGAGGTGTGGCGAATGGCGAGTGGCATTTCAAGATGAAGCGGGCCACAGCATTCCACGCAATACGAACTCAGCGAATACTCGCCTGTTGCGGGGGCGCACGAGGCACCAGCAACAAGAGAAAAGGAGACATAATAGTCACCGCTATTGTACGTAGAAACAAGGTCTACGCAGAGGCAAGCTGCCTGCTTGGTTATGCGGCAGCCCTGGGATTCGAGGGCCGATTATGAGTATACCGGCCTGACACAGGTTTCGGAGTTGCTGATAGTTTGGCCAAGGTGGTATGTCGTCCACTCCTCCACGAGGTAGCTGTTAAACTGCCTTTTGAGAAGGAAAGGGAGCGAGGAGTATCCAGCTCCTAAGTACTCATATTGAGTCTAGCGAAGTGGCTCGGTTTTCATCGCCCAATTTTCCGGCCGTCAGAGCAGGGGGCGTAGGTGGTGCACTGGCGATCGACGCATGTCATGAAATTTGGCGATGTGGAGCGAGCAAATATCTAGGTCATTAGTTAGAATAAAGATAGCTTTTTCACAGACATCAACACACCGTGTCACTCAGACAGACTTTTCTAGCGTTCCGCAAACCAACATACGAATTAGTCAGAGCCAGGGCCATCAGGGCTGCGAGGCGGTGCTGACAGCGAAAACTGGGCCATGCTTCTCCAATCGTAGTAATATTCGGATCGAGCTGTTGAGAGGAGGACAACTCGCAGGCAATGGACGAGGCGGTGTTGGGGGTGACGGTGAAGGGCGTGGCAATCCTTGGTGATGAGTTACCCTCTACATTGTTAGATTGATTGCGGTGCTTTAGTCGGTGCCGTCGGTTGTGCTGAGGCCACTGCTAGGGCGTAGGCTGCGAAGCTTGACGTTCCGTAAATCGATGGAAGTAATGAACCGCTGGAAAGTCCGCACACCTAGGCAAGCGGTATATGTTACAGTGCGAGGCTGTCTTTGGGACAGCGTGCAATGCCAAGTCGTTTGTGGGCCCGAATGCAGCTGGCGGCGCCGGAGTCTCTCGATGCCACGGCCACGGCAGTGGTTTACTTCTGAGATATTATCTTATCTAATCACTAAATTTGTCTTTCACAACTGAAAATGATACACTTCGCAGAGGAAAGATTTTTGCACTATAATATAGACTAGAAGGATGTTACAGAATGCTTAGAGGTTAAATACACACCTAGACGTTCCTCAGACACTCCACTGCATGGTCATTCCGTCCGAAAGCTCGACAACCAATTGAGCCGAAAATGTACCTGATTGCAACAACGGGGCGAACACCTCTTCCAACCTTGCGACCTCTCTCATTCGCATGCAATAGGTCTTGTTGGCCTCAGGATCTGGTGTCAAGGTTTCGGTGAGACGGCACAGTGCCTTGTAGTGTGCATATTCCGGCAAGAAAGATGGTCGGTCGCGGTCGCACTGGCTATAAACCTTGATGGTAAGATGTAGGAGGCGTTTGAGCAATGGCAAGCGATTGATCTGTTCGGATAACAGCACGATATCGGAACCTTTGCTTGACTCTAGCTGTGTCGATAGGCAGGTGGGATACGTGATTCTGTCATATGAGACACAAAATTGATCTCCTAGCAGAAAGTGTAATTTGATACTGACGGAATCAAAGTGAAACGTACCTCGCAGTGTAGCCCAGAGATACTCTCTGGGCTACATGGAGGCAGGTCCCGAAGTGTGTCGTGATGAGTAATAGTAAAACTTTCTAGGTTTGGGCATTCAAATACTCAAAGATGGTGCTTGGGGGTGGAAAACCGCTAAGCTCTACTTTTTGAAGAGCCTCAAAGCGCATGACCGAAGGGAACACTGTCCCGTGGACGGAGTTCCGAAAGAAATAGTCGATCCCAAGTTCCTCGAGCGTATTTGCGCAGGCTGAGAGTATAGGAAGCATGGCGTAGCCATCGTCTTGAGCATTACTGCCTAACGACAGTCGAGATATTCGTTGAAGGCTGATTAGAGAAAGCATAGATGTAATATCTCTCGCCCATAACTTTGCCGGATGCACCCGTCCTGATTCTACAGAAGCGACGCAGGTTTATGAACCGGTTGAGTCATATCCATATCGGAGGCGCTGAAACCGCAATATAACTGTCGAAGTCTAGGGAGAGCTCGAGTGGATATTGCAGAGATGGGGGGCGATAATGAACTGTGACTATCTCAAGGACAAGTTCGAGTGGGAGCGCTGGCAGAAAGCTCAGCCCGGGCCAACAGTCTCAACCATGTCGGGGCCGCCACTTGCGTGTCAGGATTCGGCATATGTTCTAAATTCTCGTCCCTTTACTGGGAGCCCTAAAGGTAATTCAAAGGCGTGATGCCACAAAGCAAACAATGCGGTTTGCAGAAAGAACAGTCAAAGTCTGGAAATACGAAAGAAACACATGAAGATGAATGGAATCACAGCTGCAGTATAACATCAATCATCACATCTCAACAACCCACTTCCGTGGGCAACGGCGGAAGCCACTTCCTATACAAATCCTTCCTCACCAACTTCCACACCTCTGACCATACAACGAATAACACAGTCATACCGACGACCAAACCCCATTCCCAGCCGATGCCGGTTTGATAGAAAATACGGGTGTTGAGTGTCGGGACATACAAGGCTACATGCGAAGTCATGATGAGTTGGAAGACGGTAGAAATATAACGAAATACGTACGAAGGACGACACTGATCATGCCAATGACAACGGACCAGAAGAGGACCTGGTTGGCCCACCAGTCCTTGTAGAAGGGTACACCAGGTGTCAAGGCGAATAGAGAACGTTCAACTATTGATGGCCGGATGGTCAGTAACATGTAAAGAATGTTGAAGACAGACCACTTACAAGATTTTAGAATCATCGCGTACAACAGGATCTCGAAGACTAGTGTAGCAAACACCGTAGAGCGGGCGCGGAAGACAGCGTCGCAAGCAAAAGTAACTTCGTCATTGCAGTTTTGACCCAAGAAGCCATGCTCTATTCCATAGATAACAATAACGAACTGCACACAGGGCGTTAATAGCTGAGGAGGATCAAGGAGATATACGTACGTTCAAGAGACACGTCGCACCCATGACAACACCGTAGGACAGGCAATCACAAATAACGGGCCACGTAAAGACGCCGTCTTTGACTGAATGAGGAGGACGTTTCATCAAATCCACAGGAGCGCGTTCAAGACCCAAGCCAAACGCGGCCGTCGAACCGGTTATCTGCATTGAGAGATGGAAGTCAGGATTGGCATTTCCAAGAGGATGTGAGAAAGAAGGCGCACCATGTTCAGCCAAAGAATACTTAACGGACTGAGTGGAAATACGCTCATACGGTTCTTATCCATGAACGCTAAACCAATCATCAACAGCAAAACCTGCGCGACATTGGTGGACAAGAGATGAGCAATGAAGCGCTGGATATTGGTAAATAGGCGTCGGCCTTCGCCAACCGCGGCAACGATGGAATCAAAGTTGCTTAGGAATCGTCAGAGCCTACACAGTTAAGGGTGGAAGGAGTCTACTCACTCGTCAGTGAGCACAAGGTCGGATGCATCCTTCGCAACATCTGAGCCTGCCATGCCCATCGCGATACCGACTGGGGCCAATTTGAGCGCAGGAGAATCGTTGACACCGTCGCCCGTCATAGCCATATGTTTGCCACGCCTGCGGCCAGCAAGGATCATCCGAACCTTGGTTTCGGGAGCGCATCGAGCAATAACGAGTGGAAGCTCTGGGAGCGCATCGATTTCTTTATCGGTGAGGCGATCAAATTCAGCAGCCTGATTTCTCTTATTAAAACCAGACCAAAGATAAAGTGAAGTCAATACGGACAGTCATGACAGCGTTCTTGGGCGAGTCGGGCGTGATGATCTCGACTGCTTTAGCGATTGCGCGCGCAGTCGTGACGTGATCACCAGTAAGCCTGTATTATCGGGCGCATGACATTAGCGAATGATTTCTTACAAGTCTTACGAACTCACATATGAACGACAATCCCGGCCTGCTTGCATGCCCTCACCGCACCTAACGTCTCCGGTCGAGGAGGGTCGAAAATACCAGCACATCCGAGGAAGGTAAAGTCCTGTTCGGCATCGGCACGTGTAACGTTGAGTTTATGAGAGCTACGGGGAACGTCAAGAGAGGATGACTTGGGATAGGGGAAGTAGCGTTGGGCGATGGCAATAACACGGAGGCCTTGAGATGCGAGCTCTTCAGCCTTCTGGAGAATCTGAGACTTGATCTCGTCGGAAAGCGGGGCCGTAACACCTGGGGCGGTGGAGGGAGATGGGACGTAGGAGGTAGACGCGTCAAGAATACGTTCGACAGCGCCCTTGGTGAAGCAGACCACTCGGCTAGAATCCTCCTTATCGGCGTAAATCGTCGTCATCCTCTTCAACTCGCTCGAGAAAGGGAACTCGGCAAGCAGTGAGTAGCGTCTGGGCTCGTCGTCTATTGTCGCGATCGATACCTTAGTGTCATTATCATTATCTTGCGAAGACGAATCTGACGATGAATCTGATTGGCTCTTCTCATCGTCATCATCTGTGGAACGTCCGTCGTTGCCGCTCCCATGATGCCCATGCCCTTTCTCGCCGATAGCGAGCGAACGCTTTCCCATTCCGAGTTTCGTCGCGAAGACCTGTAGCGCGACTTCGGTGGGATCGCCAACGGCTTTCCATTCGCCTTTGTGATCTTGATGAATCGATGCGACATTGCATAGTGCGGCCGCGCGAACGACTTGGGTCAGACCAGAATCGGAGGTGGAAGGATTGGGAGAGGGCAGGGCGGGGGTAACGACGGGGCCTGTAGGTGTTCCGTGGTGGACGGCTCCGGAGGGATCCAGTGCATCGCTGCTGCTCTCAGCTACGTACTCGGCGTCCATTTTAGCGGAGCCAGCAACCCATAACTTTCGAACAGACATTTTGCCTAGAGTCAATGTTCCCGTCTTATCACTGCAGATATCCGTAACACCCCCCAAGTTCTCCAGCGCGTCGAGCTTTCTGACGATGACGTGCTGCTTGGCCATCCGTTTCGTGCCTACGGCCATGGTGAGCGTCAACACGGAGATGAGTGACTCGGGGATGATGGCGACACCGCAGGCGATAGCGTACAGCGCGACTTCATCGGAAAGGTGGAACTTTGCAACGGAGAACACGATGATCACCAAAAGGAAGGCGGAGACGAAGAGGAAGTACGCAAGTTGGGTGAGCTTGCGCTGGAGGGGTGTGCCTGTACGGAGGCCACTATAATTCGGTAAGTTCATGGGGAATCGTAGACCGTAAATCAAAGTACTCACAGGAAGGTCTTAATGAGGTCTAAAGCACGTTTATACCAAGGTCGTTCATCTTTCTCATCTCCGTTCGTAAGATTCTTTCCGTTCATAACTTCAGCAATATGGCCGATCTGGGTTTTCATGCCAGTGCCGATGACGACGCCGGTACCACGACCCTTGGCGACAATCGTTGAAGAGTAACATAAGTTCGTGCGATCGCCGATAGGAATATCGACGTCGGTAGTGGGGAATGCATCTGTGACCTTTGGGACTATGGGCGAGTTGAAATGAGAAAAGTGATCCAAATAACGAAGGCCAACTAACCTGGAAGCGATTCCCCCGTAAGGAGTTGTTCGGCCACTTCCAAGTCCGTGACGCTGATCAACCTAAGCTATAAACTGTTCAATACAGAGCGAGAGAGCATAGACCGTTTCGCTCACATCTGCTGGGATGGAGTCACCAGCTTTGATCGAGACCAGATCACCTATGATGAACAGGGGATTAGATTTGGTCGGATCTAAGAACGTGTCAGGCTCGAAAAGATGCTTACCAGGCACAACATTCTTGGCGGGCACAGTCATGCGTTCGCCATCGCGTACAACCACTGCTGAGGGCGAGGAAAGTTGGCGCAACGACTCCATAGTCTTCTCAGCGCGGTATTCCTGGATGAAGCCGACACTGTGATTTCGGAACAACATGACACCCCTATGTCAGACCTCCTTTCTTGAGTACGAACGCAAGGGAAGGAACGTACACAGTGTTTAGCACGATAAGTGCAGCAATGACACCGCCTTCGATGAAGTCCTTGACTCCGAAGCTGAGTGCCAACGCCGCGACGAGCACAAGCGTGAGTGCATTTGCTGTTACACATACGCGCGTAATTAGGATCCTCGAAAAGCGCGTCAACAGGACAGACATGAACGCGCACCCAATTGGCCAGCCAGCACTCTGAGTGCCGATATGCCACCTTTGCCTTGTAGGACATTTGGTCCGAAGGCGGTAAGTCGTTGATTCGCCTCTTCTTTAGTCAACCCATTGGTGTCCGACGTCCGCAAGGCGTAGATGATTTGCGGGACGCTGGTAGTATGCGCAAGGTGCGCTACGGAACCAAAGTCGGTATCAGTTGACGGACTGACAGATAAGGTGGAATTTGAGAGAACAGGTGGAGGTTCTTTCATTGATGGCGTGACAACCCAGGAGACCGTCCGTTATATACTGCTGCTCCTAGCCAAACACACCAAAATACCCTTACGTTCTTTTTACAGAATTTCCATAATTAGGCATTTCGCTACAAAGCTGTCGTGGAGAGAACCCTCGTCGCATCACCTGCCGCAAATGGCATTTCTGGTATCCCGTCTCTCCCGACACTCACGAGAGCCCTTCCAGCAGAACTGATCTCTCCTTGGTTGCCCTCCGAGGCGCGCTCGAGGACCAAGACTAATGGACATATTTAGTACAAATCATATCAAAACCGTGGGGCGCCAAGCAGGGGCTGGCTCGGCTTGGCGGAAGGCTTATGAGATATGGGATGACGGTCATTTGGAGGCTGGATCCAAGCTAGGATCCCACTTGGCTATGCGTGTTCATGGTCACAAGGCTGTAGCATCTCCTTCGCATGTGTCCGAACTTCGAAAACATACACTATTCGCAAGGTCAGCGAGCTAGCGTAGAGTGTCCACCCCTTACATGACCTTATATCCACCCCTCACGGTCAGGGTGTACGATGGTAAACTCCAAGTTATTCAGACAAACGCCCCACTCGCGTAAATCCCTCGTCTACTTGTCGCTGTCCAAGACGTTCTTCCATGTCCGTGCATAGTCCGTACATGTGCATCGTTGATGCCGCGTTCGGCCCATACGAAGACATCTGAGGCTGCGCCAACGGGGATTCGTGGTGATAAGGCGCTGTTCACGGGGCTGCATTCGTCTGGATCTATGGACCGAGCACTCACACTCACACTCGCCACTGTCATACGGTGCTCCCTTCTGCCGAACCGGAACACTCTACCAACACCGCCGCGGAAAATTGGACCTATTTAATGCCGGAGGCGATGCTAACTAGCTATATCTACTCCAAAAGGCGAGACCGCAGTAGTAATTGTTGCTTGCGATCATGGCCGGTTGGGATTAATGGGACATCCTTTTGTTGCGTCAGTAACGGGAAATGGAGTGACGAGCGCTGGGGTTAACGCTACACAGCGATGTCAGTGATGTCGATGAATTCCCGTTGAGCACACGGCCATCATTGGTCGATTTCCATTAATAAGACGATATGTGGCTCATTTCTCGTTCATTTGCGCTTTCCATCAAGTTCATCGCGGGCATTCTGTCTGGTTTCGTCAAACAGGAGACAGGAGGCCATAGGACGAGATTAGATTGAATTCGAAGATAAGATAAGATCCTCAAGCAAAAGTTTTTGTGAGTTGTGAATCGTGACTACCACCATATCGTACTTATAACTTATATATGGCGACCCTCCTCCCTCCTCCAAAGCGACAAAAGGTATACCACGGTGTACCAGAACCCCCAAAAGAAGATGTCAAGCCGTCACGCAGTGTAGTCGTCCAGTTCGTGTCCGAAGACGACGATAGCGCACCCCTCGCCCCAGCGGTGAACTTACCCTCAAATCTCAACCGCGCAGCCCTTGAGAACCTCGTAAATCAATTGACGAGAAAATCTGATGTGTGTAACCCGGCAGTACTACTACTGAATGTCGAAATGAACGCTTACTGTGAAAGATATGTGAATAGGACGACGATCCTGTGCCGTTTGCTTTCCACATCGAACTCCAAGGCCCCGAGCTGAAGCCAGGCGGACCGACGCGTCTGGCGATCTCCAGGTCGATAGAAGAAGACATCTTACTGAACACCGCACACGCGTTCACCGAGGAGGACGTTTTCGTGGTGCACTGTTCCCCGCAATCAGTGTTCAAAGTGCGACCAGCAACGAGATGCTCATCGACTCTTTCTGGTGTGTACTAAACTCTATACGTACCACACTTCCTGAGGATCGTCCCCCATAGGACACACATCCCCGATTCTCTGTGCATCCTTCTCTCCCACAGGCAACCTCCTCGCAACCGGTTCAGGCGATACACACGCACGTTTATGGGATCTCCTCACCGAAACGCCGTCGCACACGCTTACCGGGCACAAGGGGTGGGTGCTCTGCGTCGAATGGGAGGCCATGGAACGAAAACTCGCGACGGGGGGACACGACGGCCACGTCCATCTGTGGGATCCAAAAACAGGCAAGCCAATCGGAGATGCGCTCAAGGGACACTCGAAGTGGGTGACCTCGCTCGCTTGGGAGCCGATACATCTGTGCGTTCCAGTTGTATTTCTCTTGTGAGAGGTATTGATGTTCATGAACATCGTGGTAGGAATGCCTCCGCGCCGCGACTGGCCTCGTCGTCGAAAGATGGCACAGTGCGAGTGTGGAACACCGCAACCCGCCGCTTGGAATATACACTCGGTGGTCACACAGCGAGCGTAAACGTCGTTCGTTGGGGTGGAGGGGGCCTAGGTGGCAAAGGAATACTGTACACCGCATCGAGCGATCGCACAGTTAGAGTGTGGGACGCTCCTCAGGTACGCTAATTCTTTAGTGAACAAAGCGTACGTTCGTTGATGGGTTTTCAATCCACTAGGGCAAACTACTATATACCCTGAAAGATCATGCACATTGGGTAACGACGCTCACACTGAACACCGACTTCATCCTCCGAACGGGACCGTTCGACCACAGGGGGAAGAAACCCGCCGATGATACTGAAGGTGAGGCCGATTACTTCGAATGGGAAACCCGTACTGATTTGTCTCATATAGCCCAGTCCCTCGCCGAAGCCCGCTATAACGCGCTCCTCAGTACGACACCAGAGCTTCTGATCTCAGGCTCAGACGACCACACGCTCTTCCTGTGGTCGCTCTTCCCTTCAAAGTCGTCAGCACCCCCTCTATCCGCGTCTCCGGATGCGACCGTGGGCAAGCTGAAGCCGCTGTCACGCCTCACAGGGCACCAGAGGCAAATCTCCCATGTAGCGTTCAGCCCCGACGGGCGGTGGGCGGCGAGCGCGTCGTGGGACAACAGCGTGAGGATATGGGATGGGAGGACCGGGGCGTACGTTGCTACGCTGCGCGGCCATGTGGGCGCTGTTTATCGACTCGCGTGGAGTGCCGATTCGAGAATGGTGGTCAGTGCCAGCAAGGACAGCACACTGAAGGTCAGTCCGGTGTTCCTCCAACGGGATCTTCATTGACATTGCTTAGATCTGGGATCTGAAGACATATAAAATCAAAACTGACCTGCCGGGGCACACTGACGAAGTTTATTGCGTCGACTTTGTGGCCGACAAGGTGGTCAGCGGTGGACGGGACCGCACACTCAAAATGTATGTTCATGGGTTGTCCTGAGAAGAATGTTGACTAATGACATTCCTCATCGCTAGATGGAAGAATTAGGGCCTGTCTACTCGTGCCTTATGTACGGAACGTTGAGTTCTTTTGCGCTAGAGAGTGGAGAAATGAGTAGACTTTCCATTTCAGGGCAATCTCACTGGATCGCACTCTGAATCACTTCAAGCCGTCATATCCTCGAATTGTCGCAATTGAGGTTCCTCCACGGAATATCTCTTGCGAGTGCAAATATTCTTGCAAATAGCCATAAGTTCTTCTGCGCGTACATATGACATCATTTCTGCATTTCTGCGATTATCTACATCAACACCAATGCAACGGTGGATACAGCGGTACCGGCGAGGACAGCATAACCAGTTGCATACGCTCCCTTCACAGTCATGACTACAACGCACCTTGAGCTTCCCCAGAAAGTAAAGGAAATTAAAGGAGCACGCACACTTGTTCATATCCCAGGCAAGATGTCGCAGCCCGTTGAGTGAGTGGAACGCAAATGGTGCGGCGAGGATGGCCTTTCCAGCGTATTTGACGGCATCTGGCATCCCTGCGACGAATTCGACGACGTGTGTGCTGTCAAATGTTCCTGGGGCTACGAGATATGCGATAGAGAAGCCGTAAAGGACTGGTTCGATATAAAAAAATGAGTGCTAGAACCACTGCCGCGATCAAAGAGGGTACGCACGAGCACTTAATGCCCCGCCAGTTGCACGATTAGCGATAGAGCCCAGCCATGTGAGCTGGGGCTGGTAGATGGTGAAATGCGGACTTGAGGGTCGGTTGAGACGTTGCTTGTTCAGGATTTCAACGGCGGTCGAAGGCGGGAAAGATTCCGTTTGAATTGACCTAGTAAACGTTATCGACGATGAGCCACTACTGGTCCTCAACCATCGCGCCGCGTGCTTCACGCTAAGTTTCCTTGTGCAAATCTACTCACCGTCTCGCAACAGTGTTCCTCACAACCAGGCGGTTCCTCGCTGCGAAACACAGAATGTGATCCCATTGAGCGCCCACTACTATCGAGATTAGGGACCATACCAAGCGAGGGCGTCAAAGCGACTTTTCGTAGAGAAGAGCCCAAACCGAGAGCACGGGTGGACATCATGATTGAGGATGCTTGCGGAGAAATCTAGAGAACGTCGTTGATGCTGGTCAAGATGCGGGCTCGGGGTTGGCGTCTTCCGGCTTCCCGCTGAGCCCCGCTAGAACACGTGAACGAGCGTGGGTATTCCCCTATCCTATGGTCCCTGAACATTCTGAAGCACACCAATCCTCGCTTGACTCTCCACCACCATCGTGCAGTCCCCTGCCGCTATCGAATCGCTTGACGAGGACGCACTTTCTATGCAACTGAGTCTTGGCGAATTTCAGTAAAGAACAAGTCAAGCGAAAATATGTCTGCGCTGACAGGGCCAGAAGCTACAGTGATTCGCGACGTGCACGCACTCTAAATGCTGTGCTGTGTCTTATACCAGCTCAGACGGGATGACTGTCGAATCGGGTCTCGCGTTTTGCGCAGAGAAGTGATCAAGACTTGCTGGCGTCGAAAGGATTAGAGAGTGCTGTGTGCTTTCATTCGCCTCTATCTTAGCTCATCATTTAGCAGTCGGTGACCAAGACGCACAAAGCCCCGTGAAATCCACAGCGCTCAGCGAATCCAACTACTCTGCTCTGGCAATGCCCTACAAACGTGTCCAGCAAGCAACCGCATCAACATCTTTCAGCACAGCAAATCCCACCCCCCCTTCATCCTACACTGTCTCCATGTCTTCAACTGTCTTGTCCAACGAATGATGATTTGCTACAGCGACAAGGTGTCGCCTCGCACCCTCGCGCACACCTTCCCAATTCCTGGTGGCGCTAACATCGAGTTCATACCCATCCCATAGTCTGGAAACACCCTCGGATCCTCGACCAAGATCTCAGATAACCAATGCACAAGGGCATACTAAGGCTCTAGCAAATAATTTTGTGGCGGTCCCGATCAATTGACGCTTTACAATACGAGTGCTTATCAGGAACAACCTTCCGTCCGTGAATTCCCTTGCGATCTAGAATAACTTTATTGAGGCACCTCCCACCGAAGAACCACCTCGAAGAAAGAGGGACCCACCACCGGAGAACACCTACTCAAGACCCACCCATCGAAGAGCCTCCGATTAAAGAATCCTCCGCCTTAGAGCCCGTCTGCTCCCGGGCAGTCTACAAATCCCCGGATCCCCCGCTCACTCCCTCCACCGTGTATCCCACATGACCAATGCCAAAGCCGTCCCAGGTCGCTGTTATAGTCTGTTGTCCGCTGCTGGCCCCGACCGATGGCTTCGTTATGTCTTGCAAGGAGGGGCGGTGCTGTCTAAGAGCAGTGTTCCGTACCCGCGCCGCTAACGCACAAAGCCAACGAGGTATCGTGCTACACTTCCCTCTTCTTTCACCTCTGCTGTTCAGAAGTCATATCAATTGAAAGATCTTCCTTATCTATGTCATCATTGGCTAATCCTATCCTTGCAGCACATGGGCACCCCGACTTGTGGTCCTTATGCGCCAACTCTAGCGCTGGGGCGAACCGATCTGGTTCTACGCGCCACTCGCCAATCATGGGCAGTGAATGCCTCGGCCTCGACCTTTTTAGATGGTCGGTGCGTAGTCTTCGCTACGTTGCCTCAGTGGTCGGAATTAGTAGGTCCTTGTCACCCTGCACCCATATTATCCAATTTCTTTCACCAACTGCGCGATGATATCTTCATTATCATCACCTTCTACATATTACTGATCCTTGTGCCCGTACCCAAGTGCCGGCCGTAGTCTGCGGGGCGAGTGCGGATGCATACAGCTCAACATTGACCAACTACTTAGTGCATTTCGGCCAAGGTTACCAATGAATGGACCTCCATCCAATTTCGCCGATTACTGGACTTGATTGGCCGCGGATAGCAGTCGCTGGTAGGCGACCACTGGTCAGCCACACTTCCTCGACGGCCAGCCTCTTCCGCGCGGTCAGCCACTCCTTTTCTTCATAGTACTTATACCCTCCGCTCCTTGACAGTGAACACCATCTTCCTTCTGGCCCCACCATCCTCCTTCTGGCCCCACCATCCTCAACACCGACCATCGCCACTCGCTCGACCTCTTCAACAATGGCTATCCTCGCTATCCCAACCACCGACTTCCCCTATGCCGCAGAGTCATCACCCGCTCAACAGTTCGACCCGAACACGAGCTCGGGGAAGCATGGCCCATCTATCGCAGTCAGCGCCGCCATCATCGCCATCGCCGCTCTAGTGACGTTGACTCTGATTGTGTTGATCATTCTCTTGTCATATCGCCGCCGCAGGGCATCGCTGGACTCTGCAAAAAGCCGCTCGAGCGATCAGGCATGTTGATATCCGCCGCATCACCATCTTTCTCTTGATTGACATCTATTTCTCGCGCAGAGCAACAACGTTGACTTGGAAAAATGCATGTCCATTCCCACCGGCCCTTTGCCCGTGCTCGCTTTCAAAACATCCGATAAGTATACCAGTGGGCGCACGTCTCACCTTCAACCCCGGCTGGTCGCACACTGTCAGCCGCCAGGCACCCGTCATACAACGCCACTCTCACAAGTGCCCCCTGCTAAAGCGACCATCAAATCGAGCGACCAGATTCGAGCCAACTTTGCTAAACTGATCAAGAGCTCACGACTGGACTTGTCTGCTGCATTTGCCTCCATCCCCCTCGCTACCCCAAGGGAGAACAGCTGCTTCGTGCAGAACTTAGGGCCCGGTCTGCTCGTCGAGATGTCAGTCCCTCGGGCCTGGGGTTGGCGGAGATTGAACTTGACAAAACCTAGCGCTGGAGTCTGCTCAGGGCGCTTGGGAATCGTCACAAATAAGTCACAGACATCATGGTGGGAAAGCGGCAATAGATACAAAGTAAATACATGCAAACTTCTGCTTTCGGTATTTCTTGTATTTCTTGTCGGCGACCTGAAGTATCCCGGCTCAGTAGGTGATATACTAGTCCAAAAGAGTTTAACATGTGGTACGTTGGTTTAGCGGTTTGCGCGCTTGAGTACTACTTTTTAGCACGGAAAGGTTGCGGGTTCGAGCCACGGATTGTCCTTTTTTCACTTCTTCGTCCTGCTATCTCACCACTAACATTCATTAATAAATAAACACCACAAGCTGTAGTACTGTTTATTGGAGGGAATAGATAATGCAGTTGATACAAGGTGCCACCAGGTATATTAACGCTGACATAATAATGTGACAGGAAGGTCCTAACCCACCCGCAAACCCCCTGGTACAGCAGACCAAACTGTCGGTTTGGAGTAGGTTTGGGCCAGGTTTGGTCCAACCGTGGGAGCCAAATTTGGCAGGTAGGGACTAACATCTCGACGAGCAGACCGGGCCCTTAAAGCCTCCGCCGGCTGCTCAACTGTCGCCAAACCTGTACAAGGGCCAGATATTTCGGGATTGATTCTTATGCCCTAGGGTGATTTGTTGATACACAAAAAACCATATTACAATGACAATAGCGCTTATTATCATATCTCTTGTTTCTGCCTTGGACTTGTCAATTCTGTCGTCTCCACGCGAGTTTCGTACAGTCTGGCTGCGTTTGAATTTTGAGATCGTGGGTTTGCTTGGCAACCCTAAATAACGCCTCATTCAGAGTCATCCACCGCCCATTCACTGTTACACTGCCATGGCTTAACCACGTCGTATAAAATAGATGCAATACATGTTCGACAAGCATCTTCATTCTCTCACAACGACTCTTATTTCCTCCCTCAACGCTTCTATGATCCTTGATAATGCAGATCACATCAACGAGTTCCGACGTCTTCGAGCCGAGTTCTGGAGCATCCCTGGTGTATACGAAGAATTGCGGGCCTACGAGACGCGCGACGACAACTATAAGTACCAGATTCTGTGAGTTCCTCCTTTCTTACCACAGTCGCCACATCGTTCTGATCTGTGTTTCTTTCTAAAGGAAGGGGTTAATACCAACGCCACTGGTCGGAAGTGTGACCACTGAGGTTGGCCCAGCATGGCAGGCGTCCGACACTTTCTTCACCGTACGAACATCTATCAATTCCTAATTTCAGTCATTCATAGTGGTGCATCTTCAGGGCTTCCCCGAACACAATGTCCCTAAACGCGTGCTATCATCGACAAAGCACTCACACATCATCTGCAACGTCGCCTGCCACGACACAAGGCTGTACGCTAGCGACATCGATCCCTCGGCGTCAGACAAGACTGCCGCCGCGGGGATGTCGTATATGCATCTCCTGGTGATCCCCTCTTCTAAAGGCGAGTTATTAGGAAAGCATGAAGCGAAAGTAATATTGACTCTCTCTTTCCCGAAACCTGCAGTGTACAATGCAGTCGCGCTCCCGAATACCGAACTGATCACGGAAATGAAGGCCCATTTCCAGGACTTTTGGCGCAGAGATGACTCGCTTAACAAGGTCATCAATGCTATCCACGACACGATGGAAAGGCGATACATCGAAGTGGCTCGCGCCTATCAAGTAGCTGACAGCTCAACAGCCCCTCGACGGATGGCCCACCTCGACGCTGTGATGAGCAGTTGCAGAAACTCTGCCGCCAGCTTCGCAAATATGCTACGGACGACCTGGAACAGCGGCCTTCAGGATGGGAAGGATCTCGTATTCGGATTCCACTCACATCCTCATCATAGCGTTGGACACCTCCATATGCACGTGTTGCTTGACGATGCAAAGTTCAGGACACACAGCACGCTCGCGCATGACTGGAAGACGCTCTCGTTCGCGACCGTTGAATATGTATTAGGCGGAGGATCAACTGAGTCACCAATTCCTGGTGGATGGCCCATGCAATCGGGTCGTTAGAAGTTCGCGAACAGCTTCGCAATGCACATATTGTATAACTCATTAATGGATAGCAATACAGCGCTTATGGAGAGTTAAGAATATACATCCTTTTGATAGATTACGCGCTTCGCAAATCTGATAAGTACTGGTGTTTATTTACTTAGGGTTGCATTCTCATACCTGGTCTTCATCAGAGCCTGCTTCCACGACAAGAGGGTCCAACTTGAAGTAGTAAAGGATCGCTACAAAGGCCGTCCAGACGACCCAGTTCCTAGATGTCTAGATATTTCTACCCGAGAATAGGCTACCAAACAACATTGTACGTATGAAACCCGCCACCCCCCTTCAATCGCAAAATATTTCATTAGTACATCAGTCTTTAGGAGATTTACTGCACTCCAGCTCTACCCAGAAATATTTGTCAAACACTGACAGCAAACAGAGAAGTGCGTGCGCTGCACGGTGAGCTTTCTGGCGCTTAACATCATGCTCCCGAGGCTCGAACTCGTCGTCCCCTGCACTTTCCTAATTGCTTGATCCCGCTCGTTATCTGCCGTCCTCTCACCTTCCGTTCGCGACCGACTATTTCTCTTGGAACTCTATTCACGGAACGTTCCCCTCGATCATGCGCTTTCAGGCTCTTCGGAAACTAGAGCTGAGTGGCTTTCCATTTCCCCGAAGCAGCACCTTTGAAATTTGAGAGTTGAATGCCCAAAGCAAGAAAATCCTACCATTACTCGCCATAACACCTTTCGGGCATACCCTATCTGCTTGTCGATTCAATCAGACGTTCCGAAGTCGTGCTGTTATACGAACAGATCAACGAACAGATCAATCGCTTGCCGTTTCTGGCTATCTAAAGCCGTAGCTATTGCAATCGCAACTGCGACCAGCTACCATATTTGCCAGAGTATGCAGGCTCCATGCGCCTCAACCAACACCTCCGCCCTTCTAGTCGTAACTCGTTCGAGACGTTTGGAGTTTTCCCTGATGGTAAGAAGACCTATTGCATGCCGGCAATGAGAGAAGTTGCGAGCTTGGAAGAGGCGTTTGCCCCGTTGTTGCAATCGAGTACACTCTCGGATCTATTGGTTCTCGAGCTTCGGGGTGGGGTGGCCATGCAGTGGAGCATCTGAGGAACGTTTCGGTGTGTATTTCGCCTCTAAGCGTTTGAGAAATCTCATTTCTTCCTACGTGTATCGTCTCAGTTTACGAAGACGGATGTTTTGGTTAGAAAGAGAGCACCCCAGAAGCATTTCTGGAAATCACCGCCTTGACGTTGAGGAAAATGCCACTACATGGCTGCATTCGGGCCAACCAACGACTCGCCATTGCGTGTTATATGGGGAGTATACCGATGACATACATGCGCGCACCCGCTGGCGCAGGTGTGATGACGTTCCAGCCGCTCGTTGCTGTCGTCGGGATCGTGCCTTGATCCATGAAATTTGAAATGTCGAGCTTCATGTTCTGCTTCGGCATTGACCGCGTCGATTAGGACGACAATGCCAGCCGCTTCCGATGCTAACCATAATCCCTCGGGCCTCATTATTCAAGTTGGCCCACAATGAACCTCCGTGTAGCATGTCTATTCATGCATTCGGCCGTTGGAGCGGCCTCGATATCTAAAGGCGCGTAACTCGTTGAAATCGAGTTGTTGAGAGTACGTGGGTATCACTGTTCACATGGCCCAACTTCCGCTTTCAGCATTGCCATCGCCGCCATCGCGCCCTTGGGGCCCGGTGTTGTTGTGGTTTGCTGAACGCTAGCCACATCTGTCTGAGTGGCAAGGTGGGTTGGTGGTTGTCAAAGAACCGTCTTTATGATCATTTGGCCTTACTTTGTCTAAAACGAACTATTGACGTAGAAAATAAGGTTGCTTGCTCGCGCCATGGCACTGACTATTTCACAACGCACGCTGATCGCCAGTGCAACCGCTGAAGCGCTGACGTCGCATTCTATGACGGGCAGCCAATCGGGCAACGACAATCATCCTAACTTCGCAATCCTCGATATGAGTGCTTAGATTCATTTAGGAGCTGGATTTTCCTCGTCTCTTTTCCAGTTTGACGTTTAACAGCCACCTTGTGGACGAGAGGACGACACACCACCCTTTACATTCAGTTCAGCTACCAGGAACTCCGACACCTGTGCGAGACCGGTATACTCATTCGCAATTGGCACTTCAATCCCAGAGCTACCACATAATCGAGCAGCCAGGGTGGACTTTGTTTCTACGGACAATAGCGGTGGCCATCAATGCCTCCTTTTCTCATAATAGGCAAGTATTGGGTTTGTATTGTGAAATGGTGTGGCCCACCTCATCTCGAAAAGGCCACTGGCCACTGGCCACATTGGCCACACTCCTATAGCACTGGAGTATAAAACGGGTTATCGGCAAAAGTCAGACATTATTCCCCGGAATGTCTCTCTCACTCAGTGCCAACATGTCTATGCAGTTCACCGACCACGTCCGCAAGTTCAGACGTTTCCGAGCTGAGTTTTGGAACACTCCCGGTGTACAGGAAGAGTTGAAAGCCTACGAGGCATGCGATAATGACTATGAATACAAGATCCTGTGAGTAACGTCTCCCATACTATCATCGCGCCGTTCTGATTCGTCTTCGTAGTAAAGGATTGGTACCAAAGTCACTGGTCGGAAGGGTGACGAACGACTTTGGACCTGCATGGCAAAAATCCGATACCTTTTTCACCGTACGTTTAGTCATTAATACCGTCCTCCCCGACCTCAATAACATTGGTTGTATCTACAGGACTTTCCCGAGCATAATGTCCCTGAACGTGTACTATCGTCGACAGAGGACTCACACATCATCTGCAATGTTGCCTGCCACGACACGAGACTATACTCCAGCGACATTGACCCCTCATCATCGGACAAGACCGCAGCCGCTGGGATGTCGTACATGCATCTTCTGGTCATCCCCTCTGAGAAAGGCAAGTTGACATCGCGAACGTCTTGACGCGAAGCGGTATTCTGACAGCTATTGGTCATACAGTGTACAACGCAGTCTCCCACTTAAATCCCGATCTGATTACGGAGATGAAGATCCATTTCTGGGACTTTTGGTTTAGCGACGGCTCGATCAACAAGATTATTCACGCAATTCACGACGCTATGGAACGGCGATACACCGAGGTCGCTGACGCCTATCAACGAAACGACAACTCAACAGCTCCTCAACGTCTGGCCCTTCTGGACGCCGTGATGGAAGAGTGCAGAATTTCTGCCGTTGACTTCGCGAAGACGCTACGAGCGACCAAGAACCGTGTGGATGTTGCGTATGGGTTCCATTCGCATCCTCACCATAGTGTTGGACATCTGCATATGCACGTCTTGCTCGCCGACCCGCAGTTCAGGACATACAGCACACTCGCGCACGACTGGAAGACACTTTCCTTCGAGGCGGTCGAGTATGTATTAGGCGCAGAATAAGTCGAATCGATGATTTCCGGTGGAATATTGTACAACTCAAGTACTCATGGCTAATAAATAGAGTTGAAGTATGCTATGCGACATTGCTAAGAATAGAAGTCAGACCTCGATCGTACAACCATCTTCTTCCAGCATCACCATGAGTTAATGTTCATATCCGAAGGGCTTGATACCCATGCCATAGGATAACGACACAGCTCTGGATTGAATGGACGCCTGTGAGAAGCGTGAAAGTGTCGCCGCGCATATTCCAGCCTCAGGCTTCTTGTGTTCTTTGCAAAACTGCCGCCTTGTTCTGCGACAAATCTTGTGGCCTTGTTGCTGGAGATCGCGCTGGCCGGCTGGATTTGGTGTTATCCAAAAGCTCCGCTACTGTAGAATCGGCTACACTCGAGAGAAAGGAAAATTCAAGGGGCTCGCCATTGCTCCGGTCAATGATGATGCAGGTGTGGTCAACCATGATGGTACCAGGTGAAGTCCAAATAAACACTCTTTCCTTCCCACATTTCTACTCAAAGCAATTAATTGTCTGTAGCACCATTCAAGTAAACCTCCACCCCGCAGTGCTTTAAAGTTCTTCCCTGCCGTCGACGCGAGCTCGTGGAAGTATACTGCATGGTAGGAGCTAAATTTCGCTTGACCCTCCCCGCCAGGCCATTCAGAACCGGAAACTGGGACAAGAAAAAGTATGGGGTAAGGAGCAGTATCATTTGAACAGGTCCCCCGACGGGGAGGTAGGGATTGTCAACTACGCCGGAGCCATGCACCACAGCCATCCGTATCATATTTTCGAGCTTTTGGCGACTACACATTCATGTGTAGACTATTTGTTTATTTGGTCCAATAGGGACCCCCACCTTCACTCCTTTAGAAACTGCCCACTTGAATGAACGAGTTACTGATCTGCAAAGAGGTGAGAACTGTGGGGCACGTACATCGTCTGGACTGGCTGGGTTTGTGATCATCAACGTCCCGCCTCGCTTCCTCGTCCACCACACCACATAACTATGGAGGATGAAGGAGTCATGGTGTAAGGAACGGGCCAACCATCATAGAAAAAGGAAGACACATACGTTATACTCGGCGAGGATGCCGAAGGCTGAACGGGAATCCAGACGGTCCCCCAGTCTTTGCCAGGAACACCCAATGTAGCATCACCCTCGACGAGGGTAAACAACTTGACCGCGACCAAACTAATCGACTTATTTCGGCCGTGCATATCGTTGATCACCTGTTGGATCGCCGCGTGCGGTGTCTAGAGCGGGTTCAGATGAATGCATTCAGTGAAAGGCGCAGAGGACTGACGGACGGTGCTTCCACCGCTGTGCTGGTAACTTTGCTCTCTTTGTTGTTTTTGGAAATTAATGAGATGGCTGTGGTAGCCATCGCGTCAACGCTGACAGCAGCACTGGCCGAGCTGGTCGCACTGGCCGCACTGGCCACAGCATGCTTCGCGCTCTTCTTCACATCAACGCCTCTAGGGAGTACGACGGACGCATGTAGTAGAGCGGGTAGGATGCTTCCGAGTAGCAGCCAAAAGAAGAGTTGAGTCGACTGCATGATTGTTCTGTCGGAGCTGGGTGATCTGAGGAGCAAGAAAAACATGTGTTGGCTCTTTTATGTTACGAACACCAGACTTGACGGAACGTACCCAGGTCCTCCCGCGGCGTAGTGGATTGCTAGTCAATGCTATCCACTAGCGGTCGCGCCACATCCAAGCTCAGAACTGGAAATACATACACTAGAATCCCAGTGATGAAGTTCTACGTTGTTCAGAGCTCCTTCTGGTTCTTGGTGTTCCGCAACCCAGCATTTCCGGTACTATCAGCGAGTCGGAATCATGACCACTGTCATAAAGGCGACATTCGTGGGTTTGTTTTGTTCGCGCCGATGAAATCGCATACAGGATGATTGGGCATCCATCTTCACATGCGAAGTAATGTTTATGCGATTGGCACTTGTGAGGTTGCTTCACGGGTAGCGAGGCCCAGACGTCGCCTGGATTTTCGCCTCTTTGGCCCCATTCGCAGAGTCTCCACTAGTTGGGGCGCCCATACACCAGTCTATTGCGGGTATTCCGCGAGATCGTCGTAAAAACCAGCCATGAGAGGAAGTTGTAGACGTAGCTTGGACGCAGCAAATTCCGATGGTCTCAATCAGGAAGTAAGGTGTTGAAAGTCACGTTATCTCTCCCTGAGCTTCGTGCACAGAACTTTTGGTGGCGCTGCACAGTGCAATGGCCACAGTGACTTTCATTGCGAAGTGATACTATGTACAGCGGACTGCGTAATTTGATTGCTAGACATTCATAGATAGCTTCCTTATAAGGGATGGATATATTGTACAACTCGCGGATATTAGATAGAAGGTATGCGACATTGCTAAGAATAGGCCTACCATTGATTTAATAAATAATGACCTCGCGTCACTGCGAGTTGATGTACATATCCGAAGGGTTTGATCCCCATGCCGACACAGTGCTGAGCTGAATGGACGCCTGTGAGGAGCATCCGTATTCCAAGCCCCAGGCTTCTTGTGCTCTTTGCAAAACGGCCATCCTTATTCTGCGGCAAGTCTTGTTGCGCCGTTGCTAGAGATCGAGGGCTGATTCTGTGCGTCAAGGAACTTGCGCAACATAGCTATGTCGTGATCGCGCGTAATTCGCCCTCCTGCCTGCACCCCTCCTTACCCAGCCGATGCGCTCGTTGATATTCATCAGATAGAAGACATTGCCTTCGATGCCGCTCCAATCGAAATCAATCAAGTTTGGATTGCCCTGCCCATCTACAAGAATATTGGCGTCGCGCAAGTCACCGAAGACGTGCGAGCGAGCGTGCAAAGCGCCCACAGCATTCTGCAACGTCTGGATACCAGCCGATGTCAGGCGCGCTCCCTCCTGCTCGTGGACAAACTCGGTAACAACACAGAACTTGCCGACCGATGGTACAAACTCGCAGTACAAGAGCCTCGGTGCCGCACCTGCCTCGTGCACGATATTGTGGACGTCTGCGCAGTAGGCCGAAGCAAACTTGACGATACAGTCTATCGTTGGCTGGCCGGCTCTTTCCGCCTTCGCGAGGAATACGGTACGCTCGCTACGGCTAGGGGAGAGTCGTTGCAAATAGGTGAGTTTGTATTCATGATGTGCGTTGAAAAAGGACGAAAAATGGTGCGCGGGGAGTAAGATTCTTTCGTCGACAATGTCCATCGGGTCCATTTTGAGGTACTCAGCAGCGAGCTGGTCTGAACATTCTCGGAGACATTGGAAAAAATGAGCAATTTGGTAGGTGAGTTTGTCGTGGGCTGAAGCATGGCCAAGGGGTGCTTGAGATGATAACAAAGGCACGAGAGAAATGAAGCCGGTCAATCGCTCCGTGATAACACCGTCAACATAGATGGCCCCAGAGACAGACAGATACGGGCCGCTGATTTCTAAAAGGAAGGAAGGCATGCAGGACCTATTGCGTAGTTTTTCGAGCTGTTACCCAGTTAGCCCAAGAATGCTCCTTATAAGTGCATTACAAACCTCGGGTGCAGTCGCTACGCTGAGATAGGCCGTTTCGCCCTGTTCTATTGGGTCTGATTCGCCCAAGCCAATCCCATTTTCCAGTTCGGCTATAAGGCCTAACATCAGGGAAAAGGCTGGATCGTTACGTTTGGATCGTTACGTTTGAAGAGGCCAAAGTTTGCTCGCCTGTTCCCATCAAGCGTGAAGGAAATGATTCCACAACGAACGAGAGTCTCCCGGAACACAAACGAAGGACCTAGCAAGGCTTCCACGACTGACGAGATAGCATATTGGCGTTCCGGCTCTGTGGTATAGTATTGCGTGCTCAATGAGATGAATAAGGACGCAGAATCCAAGTCTTCGCGAGAAATGTCGCCGGGTAAAGGAGTTTGGCTGAGGGCTCGCTGGAATATCGCAAATATGGGGTGATAAATCGCAATGCTCGGCCCAGTGAGGTCAGCGGTGTGGCCATTGTAAATCGCCTCGGGGTGCTTTGCCTGCTGAGCGTGAACGAGGTACTCCTCATGTTTCGCACTGGTTGACAGAGGTTTGATCTGTCTCCGGATAGAGTCAACTACTGTGACTTGCGCTAAACAGGAAATCAAGAAACGGGAAATTGAAAGAGGGGAGCATTGGTGTCGTACGGTGCATAAGTGGAATTACGCGACCTCTACTGTCTAGATTCTCCTCCTGGACAGTGTAAAGGTTCGACCCAATCAACCGTTCAGGTCCAATGACATGCAGAGGGCAAAGTCAAGCGTTTAGTTACAATAATCATAAACAAAGACTGACCGCAATACGAAAGCATAAAAACCTGATCCTCAGAGTACTTGTCAGCCTCTCTGATCTTGGCAAGGCGTTCAGTAGTGGAGTAAGCAGTGCAGTCTTCCACGACTTGACGCCAGTCTGCCCTAATTCGTCGGAGATTCTTCACAGAGGTCCGGCGCGTAGCCATGTCCGGCGGCAATGAAGAAAAGAGTCACAAACTAGGAAGGTCAAATGCTATCTGACATAGGGTTACCTTGCTTCTCTTCCTCCACCATCTCGTAAGTCGCCAAAGCACGCCTTTCTATATATCCCCCGCTCATCATATATCCCACAGAGCGACCAACCGCAAGTATCGTTGACACAGGATGTGGCGCCTTACAGCGCAGTTCGGGGACCGTAGCTCGCTACGAATCCCCGGATTGCATGAGGGCGTTGCAGCAAGAACACAGCCGATGGAATCCATGCTGACTGCCGCCTCCCTTAGACTGCTCGCGCCTCGCTCTTATGGTCGCCGGTGTCCGCATGTGCTCGCCAACGGGGTGATCGCAGTTCGGCTTGTTCTGGGCTCCTTCGTCTCTGAGGAAAGTGAAGGGCACCGGATGTACCATTCTAGCGGACGCGAGATTGTGCCTTTGCCGAGCCGCCAGTACTGCAGTGGTCCCTGCTGAGTTCGCTGTGTCGCTGTCCACGCAGCATTTCCGCCGGCTGAGTAGATGGGTAAGCCTCGCAGCTGGTCGCGGTGTTGTTGGGTCAGCCGTTGCGTAGGTGTTGGTCCTCGGGGACAGTGGATGGCATCTTCAGAGAAGCAAAGGACTCACCACTCTTCACGCAGATCGCCAAGGGCGGATTCTCGAGAAATGTTTCCCTTTCTCAGCGGGGACCCCGCCGGTGAGTGCGTTTCCTCCTTGGACGAGAAAAGTCTTGCTAATACCGATGCCGTTCCCGTAATGCCACTGTCAGTGTTCTGTCTAGGGAGACATATTTCATTGGCTGCGCATGATGCATTTTTGCGTCGCGAGAAATCTATATAGCAACTTGTCCTTTCGGTCTCGCCAGTCGTCCAGTAGCAATTAAAATCATCATCCAAAGCTCCAGCCACCCAGCCGTGATGCGCGAAGACTTGTACTGTTGTCGGTTGTGCTCGTAGTTTGGTGCTGGCATGCAGTTTCTACCTGGTGCGAAGTACATTCCCCACAGAGCCGTGCCGATACCGCGAGTCATTCAAGCTTAAGCTCGTCTCTGTTGCCGTCGAGCGTGAAAGCCCGGAGATTGTGCATCGTTGACGATAGTGTGTTGATGACTCGGACTGGAGCTCGGGATTATGGTTGCTCTAGGATTCTACTTGCGTGCCGTCAAATCTTGCAAGCAGGTACGGTTGTGGAAACCTCTGCTCGTATAGATCGCTCGACAAGGCTCTTGCACAACACTCGAGGTTGAGCAAGGACTTCCACAATTCGACGGGCACATGCATGGTGAGGTTTGAAGCTCAAATATATTCCCATCGCCGCGACGGCGCAATCGGCTCGCCAGGCCAGCACATGTGCATGAATCACCACCTTTCTTCCATGTACAGCGCGAACATTAATGATACAGAGCTTCCAGATGACCGAAACTGAACTTGTGTGGATCCAGACACAGACAGCGTCGAAGATCGTCCTTGTTCCCCAAGTCAACCTCCCTGGCCAGTTCCTACATGAGCATGCTAGGTGCAGCAATCCCTTCAACAGTCAGTCAAACCGTCGGGCAGCCACCTGCTTGCTCACAGGGGTAGCACGACATTCAATAAATCGATCCTCTGCGAAATGGGTTTGTAGTTGATTCGAGGCGCAGGACCATGTACATCCAGAGAACGTGAGACGAGGAGAGCCGGGGAAGCAAAGAAATTGTACAGATGATGGTGGCAGCGGAAGAGCGAGTAGATACTAAGGGACCACGGAAGATATAGGTTGGCGCATAGTGTTGGCAGAGTTATTCCTTCTTGAAGAAGGAAGTAATCTTCGCCGAGCCGCTGGAGCTATCCGCCTTGGCCTTGGTTTTCTTGGGGCTCGACGAGGTGTTCTTTGGCTTCTTTGGGGTGGGTGGCAACGACGGGGCCGGCTAGTCAGTCGTATAGTCAAAGGTATTCGATACTTAGTATCAGTATCAAACAGCGAGCACGATAGAAGCAGAGGGGAACGATTAAAAGAATTGAACCGTACCTTGAAAGAACGTTTTGACGGGCCTGTTTCGGGAAGCGCTATCACTTCTGATGTTAAACTCAGATCGGGATCGGGGCTCAGAGTTCGTTTTCGTTTCTGTGAAGGCGGGGAAGGCGGAGACGATTTGGCGACAACTGTAGTAGTCATAGTATGTTCTGTTGGAGCTGAGGGCTGCTGGGACGACGCAGTTGGTTTGGATTTTGCCTTGGCGAACATGGCTTCAATGCCGTCTTTCCGCTGGGACACGGGTTCGATGTACGAGGGCGATTCGGTCCCAACTTTGCCGACTTCTTTAGGCACTTGATAGCTGCAATACGAGTGAAATATACGAGAGAGAAAAGACACGGTCAATTCATCCATATGGTGCAGAAATACCAACACACCATTCCAGCTTGCCTTCCCTGTCGGTACTGGAGTTGGTGGGATGGATGACGAGTTTTGTTAGCTCGGGCGTCCATGATTGCGACGAGGTGTCTAGCCATGTGCGGAGAGCCTCCGGGGATGAGAGAATGAGGGGTTGTCTGTCGTGCAGCCAACTCAGGGATGGGTTCGCGGGCGTCGTAACGATGGTGAAGGTCCAGAGAGGTGTATCGGAATCTGCATACAATATTCCAGTCAATGATACACATCGTAGACGGTAAACGCACTTTTTAGCATCACACAATCGTACAAACCAGCCATGAGCATCAGCGGGCTGTCTGTATGCTTGATGAAATGTGGGAGCTTGTCCTTGCCTTTCGTCAACCATTCATAGTATCTGCCCGTTGATCCCACCCGTTCAGCGCGACATGGGGTTGTTTGCAGGCGGGACAACGCACCCATGAGCTACAACAGCACACCTCTTCTTCCCCTTGATAGATCCCCATATGCCGCCGCCGCCTTCGACGAGGTTCTCTGACCTGGCGTTGGTCGTACTGAGTGTTTTGTCTTCATGATCGCTCCACGACGGGACAAGTCCCCAGCGCATCGTTTGCATGATCAGGTCTTCACGGCTATCACTCTGGCTCGACTGAGAAGAGGCCTCGGAGAGGGAACGCCGTCGAATGACAGGAGCGTATGTGCGTGGGGCGATGTTGTACCGAGGGACGAACCGATCCTCATCAATCCATTCGCCGACATTTGGGTGCGCTGGATGCTCTGCGACGCGGTGGACTTGTTGACGCTAAAGGCGCCGTATATGTCAGGACAATGGGCTTGAGAGTAACTGAGCCGACTTACAGGTAACGCATACCGACCGCACATAATTTTAGGAGATCACTGGCAGTCGAGAACCTGGAGAAGTGACACGGAGTTTGACATGAAGCGCCCGGCGTGGAGGAACGCTGACTTCAACCGGTCGGACTGGCAAATCATCATGGTCACTGTTTAGTTATCTGCCCTAGTCCGCTTCCTCAACCTCGTCCACCCGTTCCTCCCAATCCTCCCAGAAGTCTCCGACCCCGAACGCAAAGCCCCCTTCAACCAGAAAATTCTATGGACAGCCGTCACCCTCCTCATCTTCCTTGTGTGCTCGCAGGTTCCCCTGTACGGCATCATGTCCTCCGATTCTTCAGATCCTCTATATTGGATGCGCGTTATCCTAGCCTCGAACCGTGGAACACTCATGGAACTCGGTATCTCACCGATTATCACCTCCGGCATGATCATGCAGCTGCTCGCGGGCGCGAACTTGATTGATGTAGATTTCTCACTCAAGGAGGACAGAGCTCTCTTCGCAGGTGCACAGAAACGTACGTACGCATTCCGCCTTTCTCATTGATGGGGGGATGAATACATTGATGCTGAGCGCTGATGCGGGAATGTCTGTAGTGTTTGCGATTATCATATCTCTTGGCCAAGCAACCGTATACGTGCTGACAGGACTATACGGTCAGCCAAAGGACCTTGGTGCAGGTGTTTGCTTGCTGCTCATCATCCAACTCGTCTCGGCGGCTCTCATCGTCACTCTCCTTGACGAACTTTTAACAAAGGGGTACGGCCTCGGCTCAGGCATCTCGCTCTTCATTGCCACCAACATCTGTGAATCAATCGTTTGGAAGGCATTCTCCCCCACGACAGTCAACACCGGCCGTGGTCCCGAGTTTGAGGGTGCCGTCGTCGCCCTCGTCCACCTCCTCTTCTCCTGGAACGACAAGGGACGCGCACTTCAAGAGGCGTTTTGGCGCGACAGACTCCCCAATGTCATGAACCTAATCGCCACGGTTGTTATTTTTGCGGTGGTTATCTACTTCCAGGGCTTCCGCCTCGAGATTCCCGTCAAGTCGAATAAAATCCGGGGCCAGCGTGGCTCATACCCCGTCAAGCTATTCTACACGTCAAATATGCCGATAATGCTCGAGTCAGCGCTTACGTCGAATGTGTTCGTTGTTTCGCAGATGCTTGCTACGCGCTTCCCTGATAACTTGTTTGTTCGCCTTCTTGGTGTATGGGAGGTACGTGTTGATCATAGATGCGTCACACGTTCTGTGAGAGCCTGCCACTGATCACTTCCTTCCTAAGCCCTTGGAGGACTCCCCTCAACTCGCAGCTACCTCCGGCATTGCCTACTACATGTCCCCTCCGCACACTGTAAAAGAAGCCATCCTCGACCCCATCCACACAGCTATCTACATTATCTTCATCTCAACCACCTGCGCGTTGTTCTCAAAGACCTGGATCGAAGTTTCGGGCTCGGGTCCGCGCGAGGTGGCAAAGCAGCTTAAGGACCAGGGCTTGGTGATGGCGGGGCACCGTGACGGCTCGATGTATAAAGAGCTCAAGCGTGTGATCCCGACTGCCGCTGCGCTTGGCGGCCACTAGTTCCTGGCAGGGTGATACATCAGCCAAGCTAATTGGCATACTTTCGTGATACATCCGTAAGGCGGCATCAGCTTAGGTTGCCCTTCCTAATTTGTATATTGTAGCACCTGTCGTCCCAATGTGAGAACTGTCTAATACGAATATATTCATATGAATATATTCCCCATCATCTTCATTGTTTGACAGCTATCCATAAGTAGTATGTTGTCGAAGATGTGTCCGTCAGTCACTGGTATGTTGCCATTTATGTCCCTTATCATTTTTAATGTCTTTTCCAACATATGTCTATTATTTATGTACAACAACATATATACAGATCTGTTGCGTCGGCGCCGATTGATCATGCGGCGATATGATCACGGTAGGTCGTTGCGTCTGTCAGGGCTGGTGTCATCGCATCTGTCGGTGGCGATATCATCCGCCGGCGCCGATTGATCATGGTGCGTCGTTGTGTCTGTCAGCGCCAGTGTCGTCGCATCCGTCGGTGCCGATTGATCATGGTGTGTCGCATCCGTCGTCGCTGATGTGGTCGCGCTAGCCACTGGGACACTTGATTCCCCGGCAACGTTCCACGCAGAGAAAGTAGTGTATGGATCATGGAATGACAGTAACGTTGGGACGGAGCTCCACATACGGCGGAATTCTGCGGTTAATGACCGGCGGATGCTGGCCTGTCGTTTGGCATACGCAGCCGCTCCTCGTTGTATGTCGCCGGCTGCACTTCCTGTAGATTCAGTAGATTCAGCTCGTTTCTCCCATTCGCTGGCCTGCCATTCCATAAATTGTAAAACCCGTCGCATTTCCTCTTTGAGGAGATCGACTTCTTCAGACCATCGCATAGCCCTTGCTCGACTTTTGCACCACTCCAGACGTACAGCTAGATGCATGAATCAGTACAGGGCGTCATTCTAGCAGGAAAGGAAGGCCAGGGACTTACAATCGTTGATGACCTCACTTTGCTCCGCTGTTGCTGCCACTCCATCCACCAGCCAGATCCATGATATTGTTCGTCTTCCCTCCGTCTCCCTCATCTCTCCAGCTGATATTGGGCGGATGTCTGCGTCCCGCAGCTCACGAATTGCGTTTGACCAATCTTGAGGGCCTTTTCCAAGGATGGGTGCCAGGGAAACGAGAGCACGACGGGCTACCCGGTAACGCTCGGTACACTCGTCAATCTTATCTTGTAGCCGAGCTAACACTGAGCGTGATCGCGTCATGGCTCGCTGGCCACGTTCAAAACGATCCTTTTGTTGGAATACACCCACCCTGATCTGTAGGTTGGCGCGGATGTCGTGTAGAGCATCGTGGGCCTGAGCGTGGCGAAGCTGCCATTCGATCTCTTGTAGAGACTTTGGACAAGTCGCCCGGCTCCCTATACTAGATGGTAGCCACAGGTTTAACATAGGAACGGCGGCAATGGGGTCTGTTGGCAAGTTCGACTCGCCCGCACGAAGAGCTGATGCCGAAGGGCAGTAGAGCTTCTGATGGTCTATCCAGACGTTGACTTTGTTTCGAACGATGTTGGCTTTCTGGACTAACATCAGTCGCTGGCGATCGGTGGCATGCAGTCCCAGATTGGCCGTATCGTGGGCTAGGGACCGTCTAGGGCAACATCTACTGAGTCGGAAGGTCGGTTGAGAATGAACGCCGACTTACTGTTGGTCCTCTAGGTCCAGACCCATGGATATGAGAACACAGGGAGTGACGTGTTCATGGAACAGCTCCAACTCGCCTTTCGCTAACAACAATCCTTCCTGGCGATTGAGTTCTAACCGCACAGAGTTCTGCGACACGGCTGTAGACAATCAGCCGCCGTGAGACCAAAGGTACAGGATTGCTTACTGTTTACGACGGCTGAGAACGGGTTGTCTGCGGCTGGATCTGCCTCCCATTTTTCCACATCTCGACGCCAAGGCTCTACGATTCTACGGCCAAGCCGCTTTTCAAAGTCATGGTGGCTGTCTATCTGCTCGCGACAGGTAGGGACAGCAGTTTTCATGCGCCGAAGCAAAGTCTTTCCTACAGATTAAATATTAATATGATTGGAGGTTGAACGTAAGTCGGTACAAACCAATTCCAACTGTTTTCTTCCAGTTGCGATCACCCATGAGGTCCTCCAAAAGTTCACGACGAGCGCCGGGTCCCATCTCCTTCGTCTGGCCGGCAGCGGGGTTCAAGAAGTCCCACCCTCGTTCTGGGGCCTCTCCGTCTGTTCGCCCAACACCACGAGTATAATTGAATGAGAATGAGGCTTGACATGCCGTGATATGCGCCGGTAGATGGAACTTCGGAACCAGGAACGTCACTTCGCGTTCTGACGATGGTGCCAGCCGAAGGCGTTCAGGCATATCTGCCATCCGCGACCAAAGGTGAAGGCCCCACTGGCAGGCAATGTCGTATGAGACCACAAGTCGCTTGTGGGGAATGTTTGCTATACTTGAGAAGAAAAGGTAATCCATGACCGAATATCTAAAGCAAGAGAACGTCAAACAGGCACGACACCTAATGGGATACACAAACCGTTCTCCTTTCTTTAGGTCACCACTGGAGTGCGCGCGTTTGAAGTCGTGGCGAATACATTCAATGGTGCCGAGCCCACTGACAGCCAGCCCCTTGACGTCTCGCTTGTCTGCGTCATTCACAGCTTTGTGAGCATTGCAGGTGCTTTTCTAAATGACGAATTCAGAGACAAGATCGTGCAGTTGATAAAAGGCATACCTGTACCGGCTCCTTGCAGGTTTTCAGATAATCTTGATAACTTCCTTCTTCGACAAAGTAGCTCCATCCCCTCCCAAGGCCGGGATCGGCACGATCACTAGATACGTCCTTGCGTTTAAGTCGAAAGTTGGCGTCAATACCTACGAACAACGTGTAAAGCCAACTTTCCCCGCACCGTTAGATGTGAGCTTCACGCATATTGCTCAGCAAACTTACGATGTCTGTGGCGGTGCCTTCTCCCAGTCAGGGGGCAAGTTAATCTCAGGATGAGGGCACGCTGGGCATTTGAGGGCCAATTCCCCTTGTGCGGTGCCGGCGGGGCCTTCAGGGTCGCTCATACGTCCACCGCGTTTCAGAAAGTGGAGGTGCCGCCACTCCCGCATCATCCTCATGAATGGTTCGTAACGATCCTAACAAGCAAGTAGTTGGTCAGTCTCCCGACATCGAGGAGTCGAAAGCAAGCTTACCGGGGGAGGTTCAATTTCTGTCTTGTCTGTTGTACGAGCTAACGCTCGCCAGAATTCAAATGCCGATAGTTTGCCCTCTAACGAGAGCATATGAAAGTGGTCAAGGGCCGCAAAGGTGGCGGCGGATCGGGGTGCAACGGAAGTAGCAGGGAAGAGACGGTGGCGGAGTAACTGGATAATAGGCAACTTCGCCGTTTCACATCCACAGTAATCCAGACTGACGGAGTGTACACTGAGTGAGTCAATAATGGTAAAGCCATTATCGAATGCAGGCAGCGGATTAGCGCACAATTGACCACAAGGATGTCCCAGCTGAATACGCAGGCCAAAGTCTTTGAGTGATTTTGGCGCAAAGAAATTGCCGTTCCAATTCTAATTGCGTTGCGGTTAGTAAATGCACACATCGTAGAACTTTTAGCTCACTTCGATGCGGTGTAGTGGCGAGCGCCGATGCAGCTCAACAATGCATTGAATGCAGTGAAGGCTCGTATCAAGGCATTCTTTGCACCGTGCTGTAGCAAGCGCGAACTTGCACAGTGGGCACATTGCAGGGGACAGGTCGTTGCCCAAACCTTCTAGGCGTACCAATTCGCTGAGATAAGTCTCCCGGACGGCTAAGAAAGTGAACAAAGGTTGATCCTAAGTAAGAGTTAGCTTTGCTCGTATGAAGCAAATGACGGGCGGCTCACCGAAGGTTTACGCGCTCGAGAAACGGCCACATCATCCGTGTCCATATCGGCCAGATGGGCAAGGTAGGCCTGATCGAGGGAGAACATGTTTCCTAGCGCTGGGAGATCAAGGCGCTCTCGATCCACAGGACCAAAGACTTGATCATCGAGAGCGTGGATGGGAGGGAAGTCCTCAAAAAGTTCCATTGGTGTCGGTGGTGGTAAACTCTGAGCAGTCGTGCGTATGATTTTTGAAGAAGTGACAACCTCGCCGCTTGACCTGACCTCAAACTGTCGCGCGCGGAAGTTTTCGACGACGCGAGCATTGTATCTCGAAACATAGTGAGTCTGAGTACCGGCGCGTTTCGCTGAGGCATTTTTTCGCGCCATGGGGGAGGTACGCTGGTAGGGTAGCTCAACTTGGCCTCAAATCAATGTACATCTCGGGAGCATATCATCATTCACTGGTAAAGGCTAAATGAGGCAGCTGAATGAGGAAGTAAATGGCACTCTAAAGGGAAGGGCTCGTGATACCGCGCATCACTTCGCGGGTATCGTCTAGCGAAGTTTTATTCTTGCCGCGGGGCTTCAGAAGATCCCAGATTGGGTTTTGTCGGTATCCACCTGAACCTCGAGTGTCCGTGTGGAGGCCAGACGTTCGAGGGTTATCTTTCTGTTCAGACTCCCAGTCCTCTTCGCTGTCGCTGGCAGCGCTGGACTCTGCTTCACTTGAGTACTCGTACTCGCTGTAGTTGTCGTCGTTCTCCGGAGAATCGAAGAAGCCATGTTCACGAAGCTTCCGCCTGGCAATCAACGTCAGCTAGGCAACACCAATGTGTAAGGAGAAGTTTGTCTGCACACATCAGTCTCCGGCGTGCTTCCTTTTGGCGCAAAGCCTCGCGGTTACTACATATGATATTCTCGTCAGTTCTCGGGCCTGTTTTTGTGGATTCAAAACCTACGCCTCACGATATTTGGCTTGGGACGCCAGAGCGGCCTGCTTGTCAGATGCGTGCTCTTCAGGTGTGCTTTCCGCTGCTTTCCGTGCTCGATTCCTACATGGAAAAATATCAGCATGGCGGGAACGAGGCCTATATTAACACGTACGCAGCTACACGAGCCCTTGCACTCTCTAAAAGGTTCTTGCGATTGCTGCCGAGAGGAATTAGATCAAGGTTTTGCAGTGAAATACAACCCTTACCGTTCATAATATAGCTTCGTTGAAAGTTTCCGAGAAGGCTTAGAGATGTTTTTCATAGTATGTGAGCGAGGGTTTGCGTCAGAAAGGAGGGGATACCGTCTACGTGAGCCGCTCAGAGGACTGGGAATAAAGGGAGCTCGGAAGTTCTAAGGCCGAGGAGAGAAATTGGTTCATTCAACCTTAGCGGATAGCAACAGAATGCTTCGAGGGCTTGATGTGATCCAAGGTGCGCCGTTGATTGAGTTCGTGAGGTCGTGGCGAGTTCGTGAGGTCGTGAGCGCCGTCAATTACTCAAGCCAACGAGTCGTGGCGAGTTCGTGAGGTCATGGCGAGTTCGTGCAGTATTGGTGGCGAGTTCGTGATTGCGTGGCGAGTTCGTGCAGTGTTAGTGGCGAGTTCGTGATTGCGTGGCGAGTTCGTGCAGTGTTAGTGGCGAGTTCGTGAGCTGTCCATGGTGTGTTTTCAGGCTGTAACAGCTTAGGAAACGACATCAGGACCGCCGGGAAGTACACGGGCTGTGGATAAACATATTAGCATACACCTTGGGGGTTTCTTCGACTTCACTACGTACAAAGTTGAGCACCAAGCCTTGAACATTGAATGTAGTCGCAGTTGAATGAATGCTGCGTAGTGAGGTATAATCGGAACTGAAACTTTGACCTCACTGGTCTCACAGTAAATTAGCAGTAGTGCCCTGCGCTGCCGTGTTCACCGCACACTGGTAGCGGCCCGTTCCATGACCAATGTCGAGTGGAGGGAGGTAGTATGTCGTGTCGTCTGCTCAGTAACATATGTTGTTGTGTCCTGTTGTGGCACCCTCGGCCGACCCAAAGATGGCTTTAGCCATTTAAGGAGGGACTATGCCGCAGATTATGATTGGCTCCGAACTGATCTCAGACTCCAGCAGGTGGTGCAGGCAAGAAAACATCACATTCGCAAGATAGCATACTACGTAGAATAGCTAAGTAGTATACCAGAGTCCATAGTATAGTCCATAGTATGTGCATCGAGTGGTTGCGACAGGGGACATGGGAATCACACAACACGAACGAGACCTAAGGTGCGCGCCTCGTTGAAGCGGGAGAGGGCGGCCTCTTGGTTAGGCTGTCTGTTGAAAATTGCTCCCCGAGCACCGAGCACCAAAGGTGCCACATTCTCCCTGGAGCTGTACTGAGTGTTGGCAGCGCAAAGGAAAGACGTAGGCTTACCATCCTTGAAATACGCCGACAGCGTGGCCAACCGTTACAAGGTACCAACGGAGGGATGGATCAACGTCTAGGATAATGTGGGTGAGGCGAGCCCTACAAGGAGGTTGAGCACGAACCGAGGGAGTGGTACTGCCCAGGTGCAGGCGCGGGAGCTCCCCCAGCGGGGCCAGGAACTGCAGGCGCAGGAGCTCCCCCAGCAGGAACTGTAGCGGGGCCAGGACCTGCAGGCGCAGGAGCCCCCCCAGCAGGAGCAGGAACCGTAGCGGGGCCAGGACCTGCAGGCGCAGGAGCCCCCCCAGCGAGAGCAGGAACCACCATTGGGGCAACGGTAGCAACATCAGCGGCAGGGGCCAGCGGTGTGACTCCTTCACCTGGGTCAGTGATGTACGAGAGCCTGTCCTCGTCGTCGCTGTTGTACTCAGTGGGCGGCACAGCTGGGGCAACGAGTGTTGATGTTGGAGATTGTGATTGCGGGGCACGGTGGAGGTTGTGATTCAGGGTCAAGAGCGACTCAACTAACCGGTAAGGGTGAGTAATGGTGCCGGCATCTATGTATAGAACATACCCATGAGTGTCAGTGACGACACTTGATCGGTCAGGGTTGCAACCGATGATGAGAGAGAGCTGTTGGCCTCGGCCAACGTCGCCAAGGACATTGACGAGTCCTTGCCGGCGTTGGCAGAGGAGACAAAGGAAGAGACCATAGTGAATAGCAGAGAGAGGGCAGAAAGCAAGACGTTGGTTGGGCTGAGGGTTTCGAACACCCGGGTTTTTGTATGGGTGCCGGCACGGTCCGAAGAAGCACGGTCAGGTGATGCACCACCTCGTTGTATTGCCACCTTGTCCACGTCTCCCACGTTTGGCTGACCGTACCTTGATATAACAGCACAGGGTCGACATGGCACCCAAGCGCTGGACGACAAACGAGGAATACGCCTTCTTATCATCCTACATTGGTGCATATAGGACTGCGCAGGCGGGGGGCACCGCCGTCTTTGCCTCGTTCTGGCCACCCTTCTTTGAAAAATGGTTCTTGAAGTTCAGTATTGACGACGAAGACCAACGGCGGCAGCAAGCTGCCAAAGAAAACACCGGCGCCAGCAACGATATTGATGATGGCCTCGGCAATGACGATGACACGGTCGATACTGAGGTGACAGAGCCCGCAGGTGTTCAGACGGAGGAACAGGGTATACGAGGAGAGAAAATTAGGAAAAAACAACAGGTGAGTCTCCGTTGGCCATCATCCACTTAGCTTGCCTCTGACAGCATTGTCTAGCAATTAAGGACGTGGTTTCGCAATAACTCGCGTCTTGACGCGCGTCCGAAGACTGCTTCGTTCCTGGACACCATTGCAAGCAACTTGGGGAAACAAAGTCAGCCGCGTACTCGGGCTCGTCGCCCTGTAGAGCTCTATTCCAAAAGCCGGTATAAATCAGACGGTATCAAGGCAAAGGTCGACCAACGGATGATTGCCGAAGCGCCAAAAGACAAAGTCGAGGTTAAAGCAGAGATGAAGCGCCGCTGGGCGAAGATCTACAATGAGGAGATAGGCGAAGCCTGGAGGTCCGTTGACCCAGCAGTGCGCAAGGAGACTGAGGAGAAAGCCATCAGGCTTGCTCAGGAAGAGAGGGAGGCGCAGACGCAGGAAAACGAGGCTGCCCCCTCCGCAACAGACGCAGTGGTGGCCTTGTCACCAGCAGAATCTCAACGGTAAGCTCTGTCGTACTGTAGCACACAAATATGCTGACCAGTCTCAGGCATATTCAGTTACTCCCTGTCCTCATCCCATCGCTTCTCCAGCAGCTGCGGGCGAAGACTGGCTGGGCCTTCACTGTCCTTGCAGGAGGGCCGCTTCCCATAGCTAACGGGGATATCGACGTTTGCGCCTTTCACATTGGAGAGACTGCGTTGGGAAACTCATTCGGCCACGCATACGGAGACTTTCAGGAAGGCATCCTCAGGCCATATACTGAGTTCGTAAGGCTGGCCTTCAGTAAGTGTGCCTTCTTTCTCAGTTCCTTTGGTAGTAACCCATGTTTTGGGCAGATGCTGAAACACGCCAGGCGTCTGCTTTGAATCCGCCCCCTAATTGGTCTCTTGCCCCCGACCCGACTTCGGCTGCCAAGTCCACGTCCCCATCGGATCAGACCGCTGTCAAAAGTCCCCCTCCAGTTACCCAACTGCCGGTCCCTACCTTTCCGTGCTCCAACAACCTTTTTACGCTGCCTACTGACGACGATGGCAACCAGTCGCTCACTGCTGAACTCTTCGGAGACTTGCCCTTATTTGATCCTCAGATCATTGCCGCTCATGCGGCCACCGACTTTATGGCTCTGAACGATAACAGTGGCCGGACTGCTGTGTATGATGGGGTGACGACTTGGGAGGCAGGACCAGTGGGCTCCTTCAACCTACAAAACCCGCTGCAGATGACGACGGCAACTGAACATGAAGTCACGCCCACTAATGTACTTGCGACAGCGACGGTGAATCTACAGACCGCACCCGCGGCGACGACTGAAGAAAACGACCCACCGTTGACCACGCCGCCAGCGCCACCCAGCCCGACGGCAACTGAACATGGAGTTACGCCCACCAATGTACTTGCGACAGCGACGGTGAACCTACAGACCGCACCCGCGGCGACGACTGAAGAAGACGACCCACCGTTGACCACGCCGCCAGCGCCACCCAGCCCGACGGCAACTGAAACCACGTCGCCAGCGCCACCCAGCCCGACGGCAACTGAACATGGAGTTACGCCCACCAATGTACTTGCGACAGCGACGGTGAACCTGCAGACCACACCCACGGCGACGGCTGAAGAAGACGACCCACCGTTGAACCTGCGGACCGCGCCACCAGCGACGATGGAAAGAGACCAGGGAACCTCACCCACAGCGACGACTGAAGAAGAAAACCCACCCAGCCCGGCGACACTCTTATCGCCCAACGCTCCCGAGTGGACGAGGAAGGCGGTGGAATACATGGTGGGCTTGGGCCTCGGGGATCACTGGCTCAGCCTCGTGAAGAATTGGGTGAAGCTTGAGACAAAGCTTGCCTTTGGCGAGGGCGTGGACGGCCGGGTAAGCACTACTTCCATTGTCCGTTATACGAATCTTACGTTCCTGCAGAAAATGCGGCTCCCAACTCAAGGACGACCATTACAGCTGAAGGACTGGATGCAAAGGCACAGGCCATACACGTCAAATGCTGTTCTTATTACCGACGTTGTGGCATTTGGCAGTGACGTGCAAAAATGGTGGAATACGATGCAACCTGCATGGCGGCGTGGTGACGGAGACACCCTTCAAGGCTATGTACCCCCGGAGAATGGGAACTGGGACGAGCTAGCCAAAGGCGGCGCCAACGGGCTGCTACTTCTGGTGCTTGCCATGGGTTGGTGGGGAAAGATAGATAGTTCGAATGCTTGGAAAGGTCTTGTTTGTGACGCATTGAAAACCTTCGACGCCATGATGCTTGCAACGGCGCCTCTGCCTGCGCCTACGCCCTCAGATGCACCAGATACCTTGTTAGCGCCCGCCCAGAGGAAACGCCGCCAGAAAGCAGCAGTCGAAGATCTTCCTGCTCCAAAGCGTACGAGGGCTCGTGGTAGAACTTAGATTATCATCTGCTTTGTATTCAGACTTTCTACGTTGATATAAGATGTGAAATGAACGAGACGCAAGAGTGGGAAATGAGACTTGGCGGAAATCGCCTCATGAAAGTTAAGCGCTCTGGACTTAGAAAAAATCTCTGGACTTAGAAAATCTTGCACGTTCGGCCCGTAATGGAAGTTGCCACGTGTATAACTTTCGAGAATGCGGTGACGAAAAAAATGGATTGGGGATAACACAGTGATGCAGTGATGCTACAGACAATGGACTACAAGAAGACATCAAGGAAGGAACAAAAAATATTACGGAAGAAAACAATCAATGAAAAACATATCAAAGAAGGAAACAAGAGAAAGTCAGTGCGGAAAACATAACACAGAAGAAGACAGACAATCGGCCTGTCCAAAAGTGGTATCCGCGGTTGATGGTGTGGACCCATAAATGGAAACCTATGTTGGTGACGTAGGGAATAATACTGCGCTTTCGATGTGCATGCCAAAAAGGGAACCAAATATATTCAATATTGCAATATATTGCAATATATCGCCCATTCAGGCAACATGATACATCATCTTAAGCTGGTATTTCAGGTAACGCCGACCGGCTCTTCTTTCTAAGGAGGTGATATATCACGTCCTAATGTAAGTTGGGCGAGCTTTGCGATGTATCACCTCTTGAATGCTATTCAGCTTGGTTTGATGTATCAGACTAGCAGTACTGCCTGTGGCGGCGCCATCCTTGGCCTGCTGTCTGTGTCGGCCAACTTGTTGGGCGCTATAGGCTCTGGCACGGGCATCCTGATGGCCGTTACAATCATCTACAGCTGTGAGTCACCTTCGGTTACATCGTCTCGTCGACTGATATCTTTGTGTGAAATGATAGACTGGGAGATTGGTATGCGGGAATCTGGTGGGCCAGAGACGGTAGCTCTTAGAGATTTGCTATGAACAGCGGCGCGATACGCAGCACCTCTCGTTTTCCTTGCTGTAAATCATATATTTATTAAGTTGTTTGTTCCTTTCAACAAATTACAAACAACCTGACACCGTCCCACTTTGCTATGCATGAGTGATTCCGATAGTTGTAAATGTGATTGGTTCAAGGTAGTCGCGTCGCAGACCGTGGCTACCCGAGTGACAATCATCCTGAAGCGTTGGCAGCTTTGTTGTCTCGGTCATGGTACTCTAAAGCCAAGCAGCATCAGTTATTGAAAGTCCTTTGAGGGGAGTTAAATGTACTTGTTACGAAATCCCGCACGCTGGGCGTATCCGGAAGCATGTGCGAAATGAGCGTACCCCCTGGCTCCTGAGCCCGCCCTCCTTGAGTTGCTCGTGTGGCCCTCGTTGCCACTGCCGTTTGAGGACTCGGAGAAGCTCCAGGAGACGCTCTTTTCTTCCTCCCCCAGAAGTATGCTCCGGTTAATACTCCAGCCACAAGTATTGCGGTCCAGAAAGTAATGATAACATCGTTAGCTGCTGCTGATGCTCGATACAGTTGCCGCTGCGTCGTTGCGTGAGCGATATGACGAAGGGGGGTGGGTGGAGTATAGGCGGAGTACGCTCATCACGGCTTGGGCCAAAGTGTTCAAGTTGGCACCCATATTGAAGGTTTGAAAGTTTGGGTGTATGGGTGTCTTATTGCAGGACAATTTTATACTCAATGAGCAAGAGTGGCTCAAAGGACCTGGCGATATATCAATAAGCATATTAACAAAGGCGATTCCCCGATTTCTTGGGTTGTTGCACGAAGAACAAAGGTATGGGAGTACAGAGGAGTACATAGGAGACGTGAAGACAGGTGAAAGAACAGTGCCAATCTTAACAAAGTCGAGTTCAGCATCTTTCTGCATTGGCAGGGGCGAGACTGTTCCTACAAAGATCTCAAACTATCTCGGCACATCAGGCCTTTCCGAGGACTATTACACGAATTATTCGTCCGGACCGCTTTCTATTCGCAGGAAATCGAGATGTGCGAGGCGAAATTCACTTCCTTGTTTCACGGTGCATACAATGATTACAATCATATCCTTGAGAAGCATATTTCCTCTCTTCCCCTCGACATCCCTACTTCAAAAAAGGGCTCTTAAAAGAGAAAGGAGAAGTAATACATCGCTTGGTGGTCCTTGTTCCATTGTTTCCTTCTCACAAATTACGTTCTCTTAGACCTAGATCGATATGTACGTTGGAATTGAACCTTCCAAATCACTTCCATTCATTCGGGACGGCATTCTGGCCCCTCCCCAAACGCGGCTTTCGACGTTCCTTTTAGGTTCACAGCTTGAATTCATGTAGAGTTCTCAATATTTACCAAATTTATATCATAACCCAAAGTCTGAGGGAACGTCTTCCATCAGCACCGCTCACACCTGGCTAGTTCTCTCGATTGTTCCATTCCGATATGTGGCACGAAAGATAAAGAGGTCGTGAAGGGGAATTTATGATGGAGAGATGCTGAAGCGAGAAAGCGACAAGATCTATGACGGGCGGGTCTGGACACAATTAATTATCCTTGATTTGGCGGAATATATATTGAATAAGAAACTTACCACTGGTAACTCGGTACCTTGCCACTTGGGCCTTGTGAGTTAAAATCAAAAGTATGAGGGGACTCACTGGACAAAATTATTGGCTAACTCAACTTCGTGATTGGTCAATTGAAGCTCAGCTAATGAGCAATTGTATCTCCGAAAGAGTAACAAACAACTGATAACTGTTCAATTGAAACCCCGAAGACTCGAATCACAACTGACATCTGAGCAATTGAGACTCCGAAAGTATAAGCGTAACTTGATCAAATGAAACTCCGAAAGCAAAAACCTCGATGACAGTCGTGTGATTGAAACTCCGAAACCTTCGTAACCTCACTATCAGTCCCAAGTACGATGTAAACGCAATATTGTGACTACTTATTACACATAAATATAAGTTGATACCAACCAAGCCTCACTTAGTCTCCATAGTAGCCTCCTGGACAAGCAGCCCAGGAGCCAGCTGTTTATCTGCTGGGAGACGTTGCCGCTCCTTTGCTGGGTTTGGCTCTGCTGGGGGTACATTCTCCTCCACCTCCTTCTTACGCTTAAAGGCTTTGGAATTGGCCACCTTTTGCTTACCCATTTGGATATGCTGTTGACAGCAAATACCTTGCTCATGGCGGTCACAGATGTATGAATCTACTTGAGGATCGTTCCGGCAAAGGATTGTTCTGTGTAGTAAATTAGAAGCAAATATATATGTAGGTGTCGAAAAGCCTACTGGTTATGCCTTATATGAGCAATCCAACAATAGTCCAAAGGACCTACTGCATAGTCAATTGTGAAGTTAACGATGTACTCGAACAGCTGCCGTTGTTTCTCTTCTCGTGGTGCAGGCAAGACCTGAGGTAAGCCTGTTGCTTTACGCTTGCCTTTGCATGTCTCACTTCATATAAAGTGAGTGATCATGGAATACATGTAAGAATTCGGGGGGGGGGGGGGGGGGGGGCTCGATAAGCCGGAAAGGGGTTCAGCGGAATTCAGACGGACTCGGGGTATTCCTGGTCAATCGAGTAGTTATTACACTACCAAATATACCCTATTATATACAAAAACTGTACACTAAAGTAGTAGAAATTATCATGTATACTAATAAGTGTTTGACAACTCGGCTTTGAGTAGCTCAAACCCTAATATAGTAAATAATTCCAACAATACAGTGAGTGGGGAAATACCTACGTTGAGAATCCTACTGGGAATGTATTGGATGGGAGTTGGGAAACAATGCTCCAGAGAGGCTTGTCCGATGTGTAATACAGAGAAGTGTTATAGGCGCATCTAGGAGGCCCCTTAGGGGCTACTAACAGGCATTCCGGCTACAGACTCGGGCCGCGCATACACGCGGCCACTCGGACTTCTTGGATTACGGACTAAGTACATATTCGAGCACACTGTACTTACTATGACTGGACTCACTACTGTTTTTTGAACGTGCGGATGCCGTGTGTTCCCCAGTATATATTCCTGTACAGTACATACAGTTACCTTAGTTCGAATATTAGTTCCTTCTGCACTCACATCCTCGCCTCTCTATTGAGGTCCCTCCGTTGCATCCCCTCGCCTCCACTCATACCCTCGGTACCTGCGTAGGACTCCCTCTGGAAATACAGGGCACACAAGAGTGTGGGAGGCGCAGCCAGTAGCCGAAGCCAAGCCCGTATGTCCTTGCTCCCCTCGTTTCCCCTCCACGCTTCTACGTGAAACCATGCACCTGCGGGTCCGCGTATCCCCAAGCCCCCACGAGTGTGGCTCTTAACAGTGAGCAGCTCTCTCATGTATTGTAGTTAGACTTATTCATATCTTTGAATTCTCCCTCTGCTAGGCTTGCACTGTGCGGCCGTCTTGAGGTTGCCCTTACACTACCTCTCACCTCTCTCTCTCCGAAATCAGGACACTGCAGGGCTAGGAGGGCGCAGCATCAAAGCTGAAGCCAAGTCCTGTGTGCTCCGCTTGTCCGCGCATCCGCGCTCCCGTGCCCCTGTACGGACGAGTCAGGAGGCCCCTTGACTGTAAGGGGACACTCCTATTTTCCCTTTTCCCCCTGTCCTGTCCCCTTCCTCCTCGTCCCTTTCCTCTTTCTTTCATTCCCTTTCCTTTCCTTTCGTCCCCTTTCCTTTCCGCTTCCCTTCCGTTCACCCCCTTCGCATCCGAGCCTCGCCCGGTGACTCCGAAGTCTTCCCGCGCTTCGGACGCCTCGGACTCGCTCGGACTCGTAGATACACTTCGGGGCTCGTCCGGGCTACCTCCATCTTCCTTTCCCACTTCATTACTCCTTGTCCCCACTTCCCCAGGTCGCTGGCACGACTCCTGTACATTCCCCTTCCACTTCATTATCACATGCCCCCTCGTACCTTGTGATATTCGTTCGTACCTGTGGCTGGTGTACTGTACAGTTACCCTTCATTCCTCCCACACTACTACAGTATATACTTCGCTTCCTAGCATGGAGAATCCCCATCCTGTTCTCTTTGGATTCTCCCTCTGCTAGGTGAGCAGCTCTCTCATGTATTGTAGTTAGTCTTATTCATCTCTTTGGATTCTCCCTCTGCTAGGCCTGCGCTGTCGGCCATCTTGAGGTTGCCCTTACATTGACACGGCCCTTAACAACAGGAAGGGGTACACTGTTCATCGCAGGGCAGGTAAGTGGCAGCAGGCCAAGTGGGCAGACTTACTGAGGCGATGAATTGATGCAGTATATTGTGAGACCTGGCTAAACTAGGATACAGATATGGGGCCGGAGCTGCAGCTGCAGGTATAATGATAATAATAGACTATATGGCATGTACGGTTCATCAGTCCCTGAATATCTAATAAATAGGAGAAACCACTTATTGGGCACAAGCTATACTGCTGGCTAAGGGAAGTGTCAATTTTCTGGGGCTTCGGAATTTAGCAAGGGCTCGCAGCTTGTACTCGCATTTCGCGGCAATGTGTAAGGCATCGGAGTCTCAATTGCTGATCTTCGGAGTTTCAATTGCACAAGTGTAACTTCACGTTTCGCAAGTTGAGTTTAATGTTCTCATTCCCACAGTCACAAAGTCTTGCTTTCGGAGTTTCAATTGCTCAAGTGCAAGTTCATGTTTCGCAAGTTGAGTTTACTATTCTCGTTCTCACAGTTACAACAGTTAGGTATGGGTTTAGTAATTGATGATACATCGTTTACATCTAATTGTGTCCAGCACGGCCCGTCATACAAAAGGGACGAAACTTGACTTCAACTTTGGTAGATTGACTCGTGGGAATTTGAACTTTGCAACTTTAACTTTGCAACTTTGAATTCTCACTCTGCCGCTTCGACTTTGTGACGTGCGTTCCACAACCACTGAGCATCTAATCTAAGACTTTGGGCTTATGTCCACCTATTATCCACCTGCCTGAATTTCGGACATGGACAAGACGTGGAAGGACATCGGAACACCCCCAAGCTTGAGCTTGTTATTCCCCGAATGAGCTTGTCCCACTTGGTGCTATGACACCTTGATGAACGCTACACGGCAATGTACCAGCTGGCAGATTAAGCTTCATATGTCACCAACAAATACACCGACATACACCGTGTTTCTTCCGGTGCTCGCCTGTTGTGTAGCACGATAATCCTTCCTATTCTCTAGTATATAACCAGCAGAATTCAACCTCCTCAATCAGCAACTTGGACTTGGGCAGCCTCTCCAGCCTCAGTACACACTTCGACCTTCAACAGAGTTACAGCACTCGTCGAGTCGTCATCATGGATGGTGAACTACCTATTCCTATGCCGGTGGAGACGATCCGCCTTGCCTTTGAAGAGCTCAAACGAGCAGTCACTGTTGATCTGAACACTCAACGTGGTGATGCTGCTCGACTTGATGAACGTAAACGGCACTGTCTTCGTTTACTTCATTTGCTCAATCAGGTATGTTATGCTACAACACCAACAGCGATAATACTGACTGATTAATTCTATTGAATAGCATACTCATCTCTTTCTTGCGGAAGAGCGAGGAATAATCTCAAGTAGTATTGAGGACATGGTTGCTCACCTTGAGGACGCTTCCCATCGCTCAGCAGATCTGGCTGATAAACCCTTCTTTGCAACCACATCCACCGTTCGCACAGGTAGACGTGGCCGACCACGCATCGAAATTGATCCAGGTCTACTTGCAGTTGCATTCGAGCTTCGTGGACCGAGCCATCTCGCTACTACATTCAATGTCCATCCACGTACTATTCGCCGTCGAGTTCTGGAGCAGGGATTAGCTGAGCCAGGTGAACCTGTCTACGTTGATTATGAGCAGCCTGATGGCTCGATTGCACGAGTATACCGTTCCTCAACCGGTGCAGTGTCAGCCATTGATGATGAGGAGCTCGACGGCATAGTCCTCTACATCCTGGATGCTTTCCCTGGCTTTGGTCGCCGCATGATCGATGGCCATCTGAAATTCCTAGGCCACCATATTCCCCGCTCTCGCATTCAAGCATCTTATGCCCGTGTCCATGGTGCACCAGCATCAGGGTTTGGTCCAAGACGCATTGAACGTCGAGTTTACAATGTCCCTGGCCCGAACTCCCTATGGCATCATGATGGGCAGCATGGTTTGTACGCTCTTTCCCTTTGGAGTGAGCCAAGATTTACTTGTGCTGCTAGGGCTTATCCAATGGAAGTTTGTCATCCATGCTTTTGTCGATGGCTTTTCAAGATTTGTTGTTGGCATTCAAGTCAGTAGCAACAATACTGCTCGAACCGTGCTTGATGTCTTCATTGATGCCATTGAGGTGCACGGTATACCCAGTCGGGTACGCGCCGATTATGGAACCGAGAATGTTCTTGTTGCTGCACTCATGGAGGCCCTAAAAGGTGTGGAGAGAGGCTCGTATATTTGGGGCCGGTAGGCTGGTTATCCTTCCAGTCTATATATATTCTAAACTCATTCCACAGAAGCGTTCACAATGTCCGGATAGAAAGACTATGGAGGGATGTTACACTCGGCTTTGGCCAGAAGTGGAAAGCCTTCTTCCAGGCCCTCGAGGTTCACGATGGGCTCAATCATAATCTGAACGGTCACATCTGGCTTCTCCACCACCTCTTTTCTGATGCTCTGAATGCTGACGCCCTTGCTTGGGCTGAGGCATGGAATACTCACATTCTCTCTGTTCGGGGTGAACGACAACGAAGCCCAAAGGACATGTTTGTCTTTGGCATGATGGACAATGGCATGCGTGGCCTGGGAGATGGAGATGGTCCCTCAGTGGACGATGTTGAGCTTTCAGCCGAAGAAATTGCAGAATTTGGTATTGATTGGACCGACATTGATGATACAGTCATCCATGCTCATCATAACTCCAATAACCCCGCAGATGAGTTAGGAGAAAATCCCTTCCTAACCCATCAGCCACAGCATTTATCCCATGTGCCTGTTGAAGAGCCTCAGTGTCCGTTTGCCAGTGACAATCAAGTAGCTGAACTTGATTATCAAATTCAGCAGTTCGCTTGCTATGGCAGTCACGACATGGCTAGTAGACGCTTGCTTTGGATCTCCACATTAAATATATGTGTAAATATGTTTCCTGTAGTATTTCACTGAATCATACAGCAGGTAGACTGCCGACTGAGCGACCCCCTGAGACATGTGACCCCAAACCTCAAAAGTAACTGAACTGTTTGTTGTCATTCTGAATCAACCACAATAGCTACAGCTTAGCTTTTTTGCACAGAGCTAGCCTATATGATACCATTAATGTATATACCATCTCTTGTGCTTAATTTACATAGCCTCACAGAGCTTACTTGGACTGAAGTGCGAAGTGATTGTCACTAGTGTCACACTAGACCCCTGAGACATGTGACCCCAAACCTCAAAGTGACTGAACTATTGGTCGTCATTCTGGGTCAACCACAATAGCTACAGCTTAGCTTTTTTGCCCAGAGATGGCCTATATGATACCATTAATGTATATCCCATCTTTTGTACTTAATTCACACAGCCTCATAGAGCTTACTCGAAGTTGAACACAGGGTAAATGTCACTAGGTGTCACATGTGTCACACTGATCCTCTGACATCGAAGCATCGTAGCATTTTGGCCTTATCTTCGTCTCTTCCCCCACACTCTTTCGTCTCATTTCTTTATTTATGTCCCTTCTTCGTTCTCTGGCTCCTGGGCCACCTTGCATTGCCTGTGAGGATTGTATAGAATATGTCAAGGACCCAGTTCGTCTTTGTTTTACTCAATAATGTTATCTTATTGGAGGCCCTTTTGCAGCGCACTCCAGAGCCAGTATGCTGGTGTGGGGACTCTTTGGCATCACACCCTGATCACCCCAACCCTCCTCCTAAGGGAGGAATTCCTGGGCGATGTCCTGAGTACAGACCAGTGCGTGACATCTATTTCTCTTCTCTCACAAAGTTAATGGATATCCTCGTTGTAGCCTACTGACCGATTCAGTGGTGCATCTATATGTGCCAATTCAGGTTGTGAGCGGCCATGGTCAGCCCATCACTCACTAAGGTGTGTTGCTGTGTACATTTTAGACCTTGTGGCTTACTGTTGATTCAGTCGTTCGAGTGCCTCCATGGTCAGCACTAACCCTAGCAATCCTCCCTCCGCACCACAGTCACAAGTCTCAGAGCTTATCTCTGGCCCTATTGCAAGTGCCTGGGAACCACTGACCTCGCAGCCCTTAGCTCCTGGGACCACAAATGACCGACGACATAGTCATGCAGCTGCCAGTCGTACTCGAGCCACGGCTGCAGCTTTCAGCACTCCAGCATCATCTTTGCGAGTCAGTGTGCCAAGGGCAGGTCCATCGCATCGCATGTACCCCTCCTCGCAGGCTGGCACCATTCGTGAATTCCAACAAGGCCAGCGGACAACAACGACAACAACTGCGTCGACATCACGATTACCTGAGACACACAAGTTTCTCATTCTTCTACTTCCATACGGAGTGAGTACAAATTGAATTTGTGTAGTATAAGCAACCAGTGTTAATAAAAAAACAGCCAAAGGGTGTTACGGCGTTGGACGATTCAAATATCAGGCTTCCAGAGCTCAGACTAACGTCACCGTCTACAAACTCCCATGTCTTCATTGACACCCTCAGCCATTTCCACTTGGCCCTTGAGATTACTATCACTGCTAAATCGAACGAACCAGTTTGGCAGGTCATACATCGAGAACTGGTTCAACATGCCATCAATCGCCACCTCACCTTTCCCGGTTTCATTCTTTCTCCTGACACCAATCGTTACGTTGAGTCACCATTCGCTTTACTGCAGCTTGGCTATCAGAATCAGCAGGGCCAGAAAATAAATGAATGCAAGCTTCCTGGATATGACATCACGCTGTCTAAACTCATCAAGACATCAAAACAAAAGCATCCCGATCGTGACTTGCGAGTTATCTTTTACGGTTAGTTAACACTCTCCTCTGCCTCTGAAAGGATCTGACCACGGCTTTCCTAGCTGGACGCTCCCTGATGCGGGGCCCTGCTCTTCCGGGGGCTGAAGACCCACACCCCTGCTTTGTCCTTCGCATCATCCATCGTCTCCGAGAGAAGGGTGCACTACCTCCAGTAGACAAGGACGACGACGATTTCATTGCTGCAGCATGTGTTCGGGGGTGTCCTGGATATCGGGCAACATCGGTTTCCTCTACTTCCTCTGTTCAAGAGTATCGGCAGCCTATTGCATCCTCATCCTCATTCAACTCAAGGCAAACAGGAACAAGTTCCTCTTCAAGTTGGAGTCTCTTTGATCCCGCTTCTGATGACGATGCTGATGTTGACGCTGACAATGAATTTTCAGCTGATGGCTTTCTTTCCATGGACGCTGTGAGTTGTTGAACATGGATAATCTTTATGCTTACGCAATTCTTGCCTTGCAGATATCTGACACCTCGATGCCCCCGACACCGATTTCAGCAGTACCAGAGGCTCTGCCGATGTCGTCTGTACATAGAGGCGAGGCATTTCATACTCTGTTTGACGCAGCAGCAGGTTCCTCATCCCAGCTTGCACCTGCTCTCGATGAGCCTAGCACTTTACGCCGGTCGACTCGCCATCGCCTTCTTGCCAATGTGATCAACGTGGACTCCAGCGACTCAGATTCAGCAGCCCATGTCAGACCAACAATTGATACTCGCTCCGCAGCCATTCTTCATTCTACACCGCTTGCTTGGCAAGCATCCATTCTCCGCACCATGCGCTCCTCCCATCCAGAGGCTGTCACCGCAATACACATTAATGCACCAACAGAGAAAGACGCTGCTCAGGCACTTATCAATTGCCTTGTTGCTCACCACTCAGGCATTCCCATTTCAACACTCGTGTTCTCAGAAGGGGTTGAAGTTGCGGTGTTTTCATTTGACGCCCTCCCCCATGGTATTTGTCACTTCCAAGTGTAAGCTGTGATATTCAATGTCTAGCTTATTTGCATGCATCGCCATCTTATAATGGTTTTATCTAGGGGCTCAGGTGTGGGTAATGGTGTCGAGCATGCCGTGCTGCGATCAGCCATCAAGATGATAGTTGACGACCCATGCTATTGGCAAAACCACGATGGTTTTGCACTTTGGGCTTTGCGCCCTAATCCTGAGCACACAACGTTGGCTCGTCAAGCTCGTGCCAAGGCTCACGGAACTCTCTGTGCGCTTCATATGATTTCAATGGCTGCACTCCCATGCCCGATTTCTCCCTTCCTCATTCTTCTCACAATTCAAGACTTTTCGACCCTTATTGACACCACATTCATCAAGAAAATACACTCTGAAATTGCTGATACTCTCCTTGCTTGGCCCATGGATCCCAGCACCCCCATCGATATCACAAACCGCGAAGAGTACAATCGGCTGCGCCCTGTTGTCATGTCGTATTTAAACGCCTCCTCGGTCAGTGAATGATATTCCTCTAAATGAGGCTCACCAATCTGATATACTTGACTAGCTCGCATTCTTAAGTGATGCCAGTGAAGAGGAGCGGCAGAACTGGACACTCATCATTTATGCAAAGTGCCTTCTTGCGGGGCCGAACGAACATATCAAGGCACTGCCCGAGATCTCTGCATTTGCGGAAGGATTCAATCTCCGTATCTCACCTTACATGCGGCTGAACGATGTGCGTTGCTGTTATTGATTATCGATTGATTGTTTTAAATGCTCATTCCCGTACTTAGACATTTGGGAATGCCCAGACAACTAAGTCCCTCTTGGTATTAATGGATGCCCGTCAACTTCATTCGCCCACTCAACTCATCGACAAGCTCCATGTTATTGACAATCCTCAAGATGAAGCAATCGGTGCAGTCTTTCATTCCCATTTCGCACGATACCTGCGTGGTGTGGGGCATCCAATGCCTGAGGATCCTTTGACCGACTTTGTCAGTGATGCGGGACGTCGCGCTGAAGCTGAGAACCCAATATACCGCGCTCAGCAGTTCTTGCAAGTCAGCACAGGCTCAGATATTGTTCCAACTGATGCTAACTGGGCAATTGAGGTTCGTTCCCACTCAATTCTACTTGAAGTGCTTGCTCTTACCCCTGCATAGATGCGGTTTGTCTGTGCAATCCCACGTCGCGCAACTCCACCTCGTGGTGGTGCCAGCTCCAGCGAGGACTCAGGAAACTCTGATGGTGTCCCATCCAATGTATGTTCCCTTAAGTCACCAGCTTAATATTATTGATCGTTGATCCAATCTGTACCAGCATGCAATGTTCAGCTTCCATGCTTGTTCCTCCGATGTTCACATCTTTGATACTCCACAACTCCGCAATCTCTTATCCCACCCTCTTCCAGACGATGATACAACTACAACGAAGTTCGACCTAGCCGTCCATTCTCATCTTGTCTCATTTAACAATGAGGCCCATGGTTTTAATCAGATATAAATGCTCTTGTCCATTATCCATCCGTTGGACTTAATTTGCTACTCTACATCCTGCTCGCCTGCTGCTCATCCTTCATTCAATCAGATTTCGGACTATTGTACTTCTGCTACATTCCCTGCCACTCTTCACATGCACCATTTGCGAACGATTCACTGATATGTGTTGATATGCTATCATCATGCTATGTAATTTTATAATCCATGTTGCACATTCTCTGCACATCACTGTCTCTGCCCTGTCGACCACTTCGTTACGAAAATACCATGCTGCTACATTCATGCCCTGTACTTCACATTTTCACTAGTCACTGTACTACACACACCAGCATCGTCACATTCACATTTGCATTCGTATTCAGTATTCAGACACACTTTACATAAATTAGTAGCAATTAAATGTGTCCCATGTGTCCCAGCGAACGACAAAGGTTCGCCATCTGAAACAAACACAAACATGAGTTGTCAGCAAACCTCACGCTCTCATGGCTTACTGGGCACGAACACACAGATCAAGGACGCAAGCACACACGCGGGACATCACCAAACGATGAAGATTACCTACTCACCACCCCACCGTCTCTGGTAAGTCTGCTCTCTCACAATTTACTTCTATTCGTCCACGAGACGACGAGACGACGGGCTATGTACAGGTAAAGGAGCCAACCACGCCGACAAACGAAACCCCTCCAACACCTCTAACCCTCCGATCCTTCTCATCCCTCTAACCCACTCCTTCGCAGATCTCATCCTGACGCTGCGGCGACTCGCTGAGAACACCAACGCCAGTGCGAAGGCAAGCACACTTGTAGTCGGGATGCAAGCACGTGGCTGCAGCGCCTGCGCTGGCACTGCGGGAGCGTGGGCGTGTGTTTGGGGTGGAGGTAGGTCGTTCCGTCGCCATCGTCGTCGTCGTTCTGCGTGTCGTTCGTGTCCCCCCTCCCGTATTCCCCTCGTTCTGTATCTCCCCGTGCTCGCTTTCGTTCCCGTTTCATTTCCCGTTCCCCCCTTCGTCCCCCTTCATCCTATTCCCTTACCATCTCCCGCTAACCCACTAACCCACTAACTCCCCCCTTCTCGTTCGCAGCCCGCAGCTCTTGGAACGACGACGGCGCGAGTGGTGGGAATGGGATGGAGGCGTTGTTGACGCTGCTGTTGGGCTGTCGAGGTCGATCGAGGTTCGTGGTATTAGGTAAGAGGCCCTCGTCTTGCGCGCACTCGAGCGGCTAGTGGCTACAACAGGAAGCGTTGAGTTGAGTCGGGCGGGACGAATGGGGGTGATAGGTCAATGTCGTTACCCTTTGGCTGTTCTCATTGACCGCCGCGCCACATTCGCTGTTCCACCTTACGACAATGTGCGAATGCAGTGTCAGCACATGATCCGAGAAAACGAGAATGAATAGGTGCATACCTGGTAGCTCATCCTCGTATTCCTTATCTCCTACGCGTTCAATCTCTGCCCCCATCTGTCTGCGCAATTGTGTCGTGTTTGTTCGCTCTTCACCCGTTTAGCCGTTTTTGAGCCTCGTTGTCGTTTTCGTCCATGCAATTTGGTTGTGACTTGCTGACGCGATCTGACACATGTAGGTCGAAAAATCGGGGGTCGATTCTGGCTTGCGCGCGACTTGGACTCACGGAGCGGCGGGTGAAGGGTTGCGTGGTTGTTCGAGACCATTTTGGGACGTTTCAGCGCACGTAGACTTGATTTGGGCAGTTGGGGAAGTGATAGAGTTTCTAGGAAGGTTGGGGTCATAGTTGTAGGTAGCTGTTTGTCGCCGCTAGTAGATAGTAGGTCAGGTTTCTATGCACGCTGGACAGATCTCACGAAGTTGCACGCTGACGGCGTGTGCATGGCGTGGGCTATGGGGGAGTGAGACATGGTCAGTACATGATCATCTCGCAAGACGGCGTACTGGCAAAGTGTTGGTTCGTTTGCCACAAGTATCTATTGAGCTACCACAACTCCTCCAAGGTCGGCTCATGTCGTGTTCTGAACTGACCATTACTCACCCACCACAACAGGAACCTCAGCTCGCTTTTGTAGCTGAGTTATTGGGACCAAGTGACGTGCTGGCCCACTCTTTCTCAGAGTCCACAGCAATGGCGCCCTCCCCAAACGCTAGAACATCGCCTCCTCATTTGCATGAACCGTCGGGGTTGTCCGAATCTGTGGACGAAGCCCAGCAAAGGCGCATGGTAAAGAACTGGTGTTGAGGGTTAGATAGCAGACGAGCGGCGACAAAATGGTGACTCAGCGTCGTCGATCTTCTCGAGCAATGACGCGATGCACTCACAGATTTAAGTGACTGCCACGATATCGTCTCCAAGCCGTCCCTATGTTTTGCTGGCTCGCCGCGGTTGCTGATCAAGCTACTGCTGGATGAACACCTTGTTCAAGGTCAGTTCGCATCACACATCGAGCTAACAGTTACTTACTTGCGCTCGCAGGGCCATCCGTTCATTTCCGAACACAGTGTGCTTGCGAAACGTCCTAGTTCGACACCCTCTATGTAAATCCCGCCTCACGATCATTACCGTCGAACCTTGGGGATACCACAGTAGCGCCATCGAACTATGGTCCCTGGTACGTTGTGAGGAGCAGCGTTGAGAGCAGTGTTCCGAGTGCTCGTGTGACGACATGTGATGGATACACTGCGAGGAGACAGTGAGTGTGGATGGGCTGCGGTGGTGGAGAATGGCAGCTACTGACAGGTTCTGTCAGCGCCTGAACTTCCGAGTGAAACATGTACAAACAAACAAGTCTGGCAAAGAACGGTTCCTCTACTAAGGGGGCTATGTAGTCTAACAGTTGTGACTGTTACAATTTAGTATTTTACATACCACAGATGCTATGTATGAAATATCTAAGGCCTAGTGGCAAGTTTGCCACTGTGGAAACAACATTTGCGTGCACACACGGCATTAGGAGTAAGTCACATGACTTCAATTGATCCGGATCGGCGTCGCGTCGCGTTGTTTATTCCTTCGCTTTTTACTGTCCCTCAACATGCCCGAGTACGTCGAGCTCGTATCTTCGTGCAAGCTCGCACAACACTGGTTCAATAGCGTCAAAGGCAACTCCAACCTCCTTCTCAAAGATATCCACATCGACGCGTCCAAAGCAGAACAAGAATCATCCAAAGCCCATGTGCTTGCTAAAGCTGGTCTTCCCTATCCCTTGGCCGCCGATTCCAAAGTAAAGCGAGGTCCACGCTTTGCACAAGAGCCCGTCTACCCTCCTGTAAACGTTCCTATCGTTGATGCTGCATTCCGCCTTACTGGAGTGACATTTAACCCACGGAATGTACTTCTTCAATTTCACTCGTCGAGCTCAGATGTGTCTATTGCAGGAGAATGGTGGATGCAGGTGTGTGACTTATTCATTCTTTATAGCATTCTTGACTCTTTGTACCTCATTTCATTACAGGTCCAAATGCTCACCCATACCGTCGTTCAAGTATACGATTCATCACAATGGCGTGGTAGTATATCCAAGGTGAACAAGAAGGTAAGGCCCTCATACCATTATCTTTGCTCACAGAGCTCTAATGGTCTCGACAGGACCGTGGCTTCAAGATTGGCATGGCACTAGACTTTGGTGACTATGTCATGGCCTTCTTGACCATCGACAATTTATTCCGAGTAAGTCTGTTATTCATGGCCATATTACACGGACTTGTATTGACAACACGCCTAGACATTCTACTCGCGTACCAGAGAGACCCTTCCTGCTCCCCTACTCGACATATACTTCGATTTTGTTCCTGCGTTGAACATGATCATCGACTGGGCGGAGGACCGAGCGGACAGCGACCGTTCTGGTCTGGCTTCTGACATCATTCGGAAGGCTGCTGGAATTTTTGTCGGGATTGGAGTATATACCATATCCGAGGTTATGCATCGTGCAGGTAAGTATTTTGTTTATACACATAGCACCGTACTAACGGAGAGTCTCCCAGGATTGCTACCACTTCTCACTGAGAGGGAACTATTTGATGATCCCTCTCGCTTTGCTCGTTTTGTAGAGTCATTCTACTGCCATGCTGCACGTGCGCACACCGACGTCTGGTATGCCTGTTTCTCATACACATGAACACTGACCAACACACTCTTAGGAGTCTCGTGAAGCCTTTTCTTCGAGGCAAGTTCTTTATCTCAGTGCGAAACAAGGATCGCCTTGCCTACACGAAGTGGCTTGCGGTACACGGCAAGGAGAATGTGCTTGTTCCAAAGCGTTTGCAAGCACAGTATCAGGATCTCATGGTGCGCTTGTTAGCAATATCATATTGAATAACTCTACTTATGGTGGGACCTTGAAGTTGTGGTTCTCGAGTGCCCGCAATGAGGCCGTTCCTCGTCAACGTAATCCTGAGAGTGGGTTCTTCGACTTGGTAGAGCCCACATTTCTGCAGGTCGCTCTCAAGAAAGACCATAACCTCGGTGACCTCATTTTTGGAAAAGATACATGGGTTGCTCAGGGAGGCAAGCTATGGGTTGATAACCCATTAGTTGCCTACTTCAACCGTCGAAGTATGTTATCACCTCATCTTGCATATTACCAAGTACTGACATGACTTAGGCATTGCTGTAGCTCGCCCGAATTACCTCCATCCTTCGGTTACCTCATATCAACCTTTCTTTCTTCCAATAAACTCGCTTCGCAAATCTTGGCTGGAGACTACTCTCTACTACACCTCCGATAAACCTTTTTGGTGTGTGGTGCCGAACTTACCCTCAAATACATATCCTGCTGGGTTTTCTTCGTAAGCATCCACACTCCATGCCATGAGTATCCTGAACAATGCTCATTCACGCTCATCTAATATATAGTACGACATCAAAGGGAAAAGGGAAAGGGAAGAAAACAGCCAAGGAACCCCCTCAGGTCACTCCCGCTCCTCGAGAGGAGAAGAAGAAGCAGCTGTTCGATTACATTGTCAACTACAGCATTGATTATGCCGTCGGGCCACTGGACTATTGTGGAATTGCACATGTCCGCCACAACCGGTGTGTATCTTTGTAATTTCCTGGTGTCTTTGTTTCTGACAATAAGGAAGAATCATCCTCTGTCGTAACGATCCACAGGTCAGCGAATACATTTGCGACCGCCTTGAGCAGGGTATTCGTCGACGTCAGCATCTGCAACCGGGGAAGCAAAAGACTGCAAACCCGAAGGCATTTAAACGCAAGAGGGCTGAAGATGAGTTAGATGAGAACAGGAATGGTGACAACGAAGATGACTCTGCATCAGGGAAGATGAAGCGTCGGCGGATCTCTGTGGACAAGCGGTTGGTCCTTGGTTCCCTTCTACAGGACCAGGAGTTGGGCAAGCGTCACCGATCAGCAGTTAAGTCGGATCAGGAGATTGACGGGTGCACAGTTGCTGATGCTGAACTCACTTGTGAGATGATTGCTACAGATAATTAGATAGACTTATCGAGGAATCGTTGTGTAATTTATGTATATATATATTCTGCCTGTAGTACTGCAATGTTGGCAATGTTGCAAAGTTCCGATTTCAGTGTTGCAAAGTCGAAGTTTCAAAGTTGAATTTCCAAATTTAGAAATCTCCTAGTCCAATCACGAAGTTCAATCGCAAAATCTCAAAGTTCAATTTCAAAGTCTCAAAGTTCAATTTCAAAGTTTCAAAGTTCAATTTCAAAGTTGCAAAGGTTGCGTGAGTTTCAAAGTCAAAGTGCAAAGTTGCGAAGTTGAATCGGAGATTTCCGAATGTCATTCCAAAGTGCATTCCTCAAAGACAAAGTATTTTTGTCCAGTGAGGCCCCTCATAAAGATCATCTGGAGATGAATGAAATCTTTATTTATCCCAAGATTTCGATTTCATGTTACTCACCGGTGACAACTCTTGACAGACCGAGCTGGAATCAGTGGGAAGCAAAGCAGAGGGTTCCCGCTTTGGAACCCGAGGAATGGGTGAAAGGACACCAAAAGAAGATATTCGAAGCTCTAAAGCGAGAAAGGGATCAGATAAGTGGATATCCTGAGATTTTGATACTATGAATTTCTTACTCATTACTCATAACTCTTGATAGACGGAGCTAGAAGGAAGCAGCGGGGAATTATGGTCGAGCACCCTCGTTTTCAAAGCGAGACATTGGGAAGATCCGATTCGGCGAAGTAGAGCAGCGCAGCGGGCTATTTAAGCAGAAGTTTGTGCCCCCGATGACTATCGTTCGTTCGACCCTCGACCCTCAGCCTTGAGATTCAAATCTACCGTTCGTCCTCATTGCTTTGCACACGATGGTCCCAAAGAAGCTCGCAGTGTTCGCGTCTTTGTTTGCAGCCGCGTTCGCTGTCGCTCTCCCCGTCGATGGTAGGGGTCTCTTCGAAGGGAGTGTCCAAGGTGTTCTGACGTACCGGCTCAGGATCAGGCCACACAGCAAAGCGATTCATATACCAGAAGTATACCGCTGAAGAGAGAGTCGACGCAGTTATTCCCTCTGCCAACGAAGGTCCGTGGCGAGTTCTACGAAGGGGATATTCTAGGTGTCCTGACCTCTGACGGATATTCTAAGAATTAGCGAAACAATTCATATATCAGAAGTACACAGCGGAGAAGAGCAGCGACCAGATCGAGAAGTGATGCTTAGAGGCCAAGCGACAGATTTGGGAGGGAATTGGAGTCTTGGAGCCGTCGGGAGGGAGTAGAGGCTAAGAAATATTATTAGTTTGTTAGCGGGGAATAGAGAGTGGGAATTCAGTGCACCGAGCCGGCCATATTCAAGACAAAAGGTCATCCCGCTCCTTAGCCGAGTCCTTTTACCTTGTTTCCTTGGGTCCGGGGAGCATAGTGCCAGGCTCGGGAAATTGTTCAAGATGATGAGATTCGCCTCCCTCGAGTTCCCCATGGGCCATGAAGGCGATGAAATTGTCTGAGTTGAAACGGTAAAAAGAACATGAGTATGTGAGGATTCCCAGTGACCAAGACTCACCGACGACGCTATGTACATACTTATGAACTATTTGAGCTGTCCATTGATTATAAAGTGAGAGAGTCGCCAGAAGTCGCCGAAGAGTTGCCAAGAAACGCCCGATCACGTGGGATATTCCTTGTTTAGAAGTTAGCCTCGTGTGTTTTGCGCTGCAACTCAACAATCGTCGTCGCTATCGTCCCCGTCGTCCACGCCCCCGACTGACCTCGCCATCGCCACGAGCGACGGCGACGCCTGGTAGAAATGGCAACAGACTCGCCCCCTGCCCTCCAAGAAGCCACCATCAACTCGACCTCCGTCTGGCAACACGACCTCGAAAGTCTCTTCCACCTTGCGAAAGACAGGTTCCCCGACGTTGTTTGGACGCTCGGCGCTGAAGACGACGACCAGCCAGCAACGGAAGAGGTATGGGGGCATAAAGGTACGTTACTCATCACGTCCACATATTCTACCTTCCAAGCATCTACAATCTAGCCATCGTTTACGCTCGAGCACCCCCAAGCTTTCAGAATCGATATTTCTCCTTCAGACCAAATGCTTCTTCACCACTACCATACTCCTCTTCGCCCAACGGTGGCTATCCTACCGCATCCGCCCTTTCACTTTCTCTTGGCCTCGAGACGCCAGGCGTTCCGAGGTCACCTTCTCCTTATAGGACAGGCTCCCCTGCTCCGTCCGTCGCGCCAGGAACGGTATTGCGATTGAGCACTTCAATCAACCCCACACTCTTTTCGAACGAGCTCGAGTACCTTTACACCGGTAAAGGCATGGGAGAAGCATTCGAATTTCTCTTCGACTCGGCCGAAAGCAGAGATGAGGGCGACGCTGAAGAATTGCGCATGGACAAATTGCGCAAAGACCTGGTATTCATGTGGCGATCCAGACTGTACTCAGATGTTCGTTTAGCGCTCACTGGGACATTCTCGACTTCGCATCACGAAGACTCGACCGCTGTGTTTTCTTCTCATCGCTTCATACTCATCTCACGTTCAAGTTACTTTCACAACGCGTTGGTGTCGTGGCCCAGTGCTCCCAAACATCGCCCTGGCGAACCACTGACACTTCAATTACCGTCTCCTCCTTTCACGCCTGCCTCCCTTCATTTCACACTTGGATTTATCTATACTGGGACTCTGGTTTTCTCTCATCGTTCCTACGACCTGGACACCGGTCTACAAATAATGCGCGCAGCCCTTTACCTCTCTATCCAGACACTGTACGATGAGATACAGGCTCGGATAGTCCAAGAGATGATGCATGGTCTCTTTCACGCCTTCCTAGAATTCTCCGAATACGAACGACTTACCGGCAGCAAGTGGGGCACAGGAGGATGTCGGTGTCGACAGTGCGCTCGTCGTGCTCCTCGAATCCTCGAATTCGCTTTGGCCGACGACGTCAAAAATCCCCATCTTGAGCGCGGAGCACGTCGGGCCTTGGTCGGGCTCTTCGGAGAAGGGTGGTGCACAACAGAATTTGCTTCGCTTCCTCAACGCCTCAGAGATGTTGCGCTCAAAGGCGTCGGCAAACGAACCACTCCTCAGAATGTTTTCGCGCTCCTTTTCGCCGCCGAGCACGCCCTCATCAAGCTCAACCCCGTCATTGATTCATGGGCGGACACCGTCAGGGATATGATCCTTGCTGCAAGGAAGGGCATCGATGACTGTCTTGCGGGGAAACCAGAGGAGTGCTTCTCTCAGCAGGATTGGATGGAGATGATGGAGAACGACGGAGTGAGGTTTGAAGATGGCGAGAGAATAGATTGGATTATGTCTGCAATCAAGAGAGGCGTCAACGACAAGAACGCAGCCTTGTTGTATCAGGCAAGCACGAACGCCATACCCTTCTTGTCTATCTCTAACCTTCTTTGCAGACATTGGTCTCCGCGGTGCTTCTTCATCTGCACCCCACTGAACAGGATCAAGTGATGCTGTCCGAAACCTCCCATATCCGTATTCAAGTCGACGATACGCGAATGGACGTTCTACGGTACATCAAGAAGCGGTGGCTCACCATACGACAGGACGGTGGATTCGACCAATTAGAGGGTTGGGCCGTGAAGGAAATCGCAGATGAACTCGATGTTGCTGTTGACGATCTCAATGCTCCAGCACAGCGTCATACAGTGTATCGCAACAGTCTGAGACCCAAGCTCGATCAGGAATCCGATACGGGCAGTATGCATTCAATGCGTGTTAGCGTCCTGAACAAAGCGACTTCACCCAAACGTGGAACTACCTCCACTCTGCGAGAACCGATTTCGTCTGGTGGCTCTGTACGGTCAATGGCGAGAAGCACTGTGTCGAAGGCGAGTGTCGATGTCAACAGTACTATCCGACGCAAAGTTTCCGACCCTCGCCCCGATTCCAAGCTTACACCACCCACCGAAAATGTGCTTAGCGTATCCCCTCCCCAATCAGATTCGGGAGATCTGGACGATCAACCGTCGGAGCAATCAACCACCCCTTCTACGCCTCTGCCCAAGACCCTTGTCCGCCCCCTTTCGGCTGCTAGCAGGCGCAGTATATTATCTCGAACGACGACGTCGGACTTGAAGCCCAAATCGTCTGTCTCATCCATACGAACGCGGACCTCTACCGTGGCTTCCACTCGAAGCTCCGCTGGGCCATCCAACTTACGGCCTGTCAGGCCCACTTCTAGTCTTTCTAGTGCAACGAGTGACGGGTCTGGCACATTCAAGACAGCGAATACTGCTATTTCACGGTCGCGTCGGACGTCGAATGCCTCTACGATTAGTGTTAAAACCACCGCGTCTACAACTACATCCCCTAGATCCAGGAGGACATCTGTGGCATCCACCGTCTCTACAATATCTACAACACCTTCAAAGGCCGTCAGACGTCCTCCCGTCCCATCTATCGATCCAGCTAAGCTAAGCCCGAGCTCAGCTAGACGACCACCATCGATTGCTCCCTCTGTCAGGTCTGTCAGCTCGACAAGATCTACGTCTGTCCGATCAACTGCCTCGACTGTTTCGACTGTTGCATCTCGGAAGACTGCAACAACGCCGCGCAAGCCCGCCACTACAACCCAGGAGCGCAAGACTCCCCTCGCTACTGTGAGGAACAACACTCAACGCCCTGTCTCCTCCGCGTCATCCATCCGCTCTGTAGCTTCAAAAGGCAAAGGCAAAGCTACCACCCCTGTCGTCCCAGAACACAAGAAAACCGATAGCACGAAATCAACAGGCAGCACTATGACACTGAAGCGTAAAGGATCAACGGATACCATCACACCGACAGTCGCTTCATCCGCTGGTCGGTCTAACGAAGAACCGTCTGACACGTCTGTCACCTCTCCTCAGCCAGCGAATGGTCCCCTTTCTACAGTCCCGAAGGGCGACACGTTGGGCATCGGTATCCCATGCATCATCTCTTCCAAGCGTAAACGTTTCAAGGCTTATGCGCGTTACATTGGCGAAGTGGAGGGTGAATTTGGCCCTTGGGTAGGCGTTGAGGTGCCTTTCGGTGAAAACTGGGGAGACGAAGTTGAGCCATTGGATGGTGAAGGTAGACAGTGGCACGATGGGACGTGGGGCGGCGTGCGTTATTTCGAGATCAATGGGACAAACGGTTCAGAGTGGGACTACGGAGATGACAGAGCGGCTCGTCGGCGGAGAACTGAAGGCTTGAGCAGCAGTGGTGGTTTCGGGACGGTGAAAGACAAAGGTTTTTTGAAGAGGGAGGGTGATCAGTTGAGCGTAGACCGGGCAAAGCGGTTCCGCAGTGCCTCCCCTGCAGCCTCTGATCTATCAACCGCGGAGGCGAGAGGGTTGTTTGTAAGGCCGCAACAGGTATTATACGTAGTGGACGCCGTGGGTTAGGTCCTACTAGCTTTCCTTATGTTATGTTTTCGTTGTTGCTTTTCATATACCTCGGTCAGACATTCCCTAATCGTAGTTTTTACAGCACACTCTTTTATATTCAACATAAAATACGGAATTCATGGATTATTAACAAGTATCCTCGGAAGAGTGATTCGATGAACTTTGAGCCGACAAGGAGTAGAAAGCTTTAACTTCTTTCTTCCGTTTATGTCGTGGGACCTTTGTATGATGCGACCGTTGCGCCCTCCTTTTCTGGAGGTCGTCGTCGTCCTGAGGGTAGATAAAGAAAAGGGTACCGATTACTGTCTTATCATCACACAATTATTCTTGACTCGCTTTCTCAGGTTATATTGATCTATCAAAACGTCGCGTTTCGCCAGAGGATATCACAAAATGCGAAGAACGGTACATGAAATCAAAGACAGTCGCCTCGATCATGCGGCACGTTGCCTTAAAAGTCACTGTATCAGACGATTCATGCCGCCCCCAACACCGCTACTCCTGCTATCGATGCCGCTGAAGCGCACGCCGAAATAGACGCCGAAGGCGACAAAAAAGAATCCAAAAGATCCTGCAAGGGCAAGTCCTCTGGCGATGGCGAAGATGGCGAAGAAGACGCCCCCTCGGGTGCAGCTACTGGCGGCTACAAGGGCAGCCCGAACGAGGAAGACAAGCTCGAGAGACTATATGAACAGATCGCCTGGCCCCTTGGTCGGAAATACGGACATCCATACGATGCGTTCAAATTAATGTTAACAGAATAGGTGAGTAGTACGCTGCTGTGGAGCGCCTGGAGCGCGCAATCGAAGCCATCCAGAGTACGATCGAAGAGCAAGGAGGATCGCTGGTCGTCAAGATGAAGGTAAGCAGTTACTGTGAATTATACATTCCCAGAACAAGATTTGGAACAAATCATGCGTAAGGCCGAGCAAGAGAACGGCGAGGTTTCAGGCGACGAAGAAGAGGAGGAAGTGTAAAATGCCAAATACTTGTTATCTGTATCTACCGTAGATGTACAACTTTCTAGTAGTAGTGGAGGCAAACACAAATCCATCGTCTCTTGTTGCATCTCTCATCGGCAGAGGAAGGTGACAAGGACGGGTTTACCTCGTAACATACGTATGTTATCACGCGCATGTGCATGTGACATGACTAGGCTTGTATGAATATTCAATTTGTTATCACTTGTCTTCAAACCACCACAATGTTCAAAACGTTCAGCCACGATGGCCAACGGCAACATGATTCGGTCTGCGAAATCCGGGAATGAGTGGACTATGAACGAATTAAATGCCTATAACATACAAATAACTTTCCAGGACGCTGCAACATTTTTCGGCGTGGTCCCCTTGCCTCCTCCTGCTGTCAGCCAGGACTTTCTCACTGCCCTTGACACCGACGACGCAGTTGATGAAAGAGTATACAATCTCCTAACCCAATTGGATCTTGCCATGCTCCCTTCGGAGCCTGATGAGTCCACAGTCGACAATTTTGCTATACTCCTCTTTCATTCCCTTGGTTACATCCATCTCCCTTGAGCATTTCACACATGCAAAGAATTGCACCTCCTTGTTTGTGGGGAGACAAAGTATGCAAAGCCTGACATCTGCATCATTGATCGATCAGCCAATGATATTATCCTCCTCATCCAGGGGGATAAAAGGTTCTACAGTGGTGCAGACCCACACGCTCAACTCATCACAGAGGCCATTGCAGCCTTCCCAACTAACAACCTTCGGAGGCTGACAGCGGGACTTGAGAAACTGGACAGCAAGGTAAGCCTGCACATTTACCCAATTCTGGGCATCATCAACTCATTCTTCGGTATAGATCATCTCAGGAATAATCATGATTGGGACAGCTCCCAGTTTCTTCAAGATTCCAGTCACCAAACAACTGTCTCAGTGTGTTGCACAAGGACAATACCCCCTCTCTCCTACAATCGTCACCAGGCATGTTCCTGACCTCCCCCGCCCCAATCGCAGGTTTAGTGAAGGCATGAAGCCTCTTGATAACCAGCAGGTCATTCTTCAATGCTAAGAAGCTTTCAAACAATTTGTTGTCTAATTGATCAGAATTCTCAGTGTTATTGCATACTTTTGTTGATCACTATCCATGCAAATTAGCAGGGAGGGATTCCTATACTTTATATCCTTTTCCCGTTCATGAGTAGCAGCGGGCTGAAAGGAGATAGCTCAGGACCTGCTGGCTCGATGTAAGGGGACACTCCTATTTTCTCTCCTTTCCTTCATTCCATGGACTCTTACCTACATTCCCTTCATTCCCCTTCGTTCCTTTTCGCTCCCTTTCCTTTCCACTTCCTTTCCACCCACTCCTTTCGCATCCGAGCCACGTCCGGTGACTCCGGAGTCTTCCCGCACTTCGGACACTTTGGACTCGCTCGGACTCGTCTCGGACACTTCGGACTCGCTCGGACTCGTCTATACTCCTCGGGGCTCGTCCGGGTTACCTCTATCCTTTTCCCCCACTTCATTACTCTTCGCCCTTACTGTAAGGGCAACCTCAAGATGGCCGACAGCGCAGGCCTAGCAGAGGGAGAATCCAAAGAAATGAATAAGACTAACTACAATACATGAGAGAGCTGCTCACCTAGCAGAGGGAGAATCCAAAGAGAACAGGATGGGGATTCTCCATGCTAGGAAGCGAAGTATATACTGTAGTAGCGTGGGAGGAATGAAGGGTAACTGTACAGTACACCAGCCACAAGTCCGAACAAATATCACAAGGTACAAGGAAACATGTGATAATGAAGTGGAGGGTAAATGCACAGGAGTCGTGCCAGCGACTTGGGGAAGTAAGGGCGAAGAGTAATGAAGTGGGGGAAAAGGATAGAGGTAACCCGGACGAGCCCCGAAGAGTATAGATGAGTCCGAGCGAGTCCAAAGTGTCCGAGCGAGTCCAAAGTGTCCGAAGTGCGGGAAGACTCCGGAGTCACCAGACGCGGCTCGGATGCGAAAGGAGTGGGTGGAAAGGAAGTGGAAAGGAAAGGGAGCGAAAAGGAACGAAGGGGAATGAAGGGAATGTAGGTAAGAGTCCATGGAATGAAGGAAAGGAGAGAAAATAGGAGTGTCCCCTTACAGCAATCATCAGCCAAATCAACTCTGGAAAAGCTGAGAATGCTGTTCAGATCACCAAAAACTTGAACAAAGTCCTCAGTGACCCTGTCTCCTCACAAACTGTGCGCAATGTTCTCAAGAAAAACAATATGAAGGCTGTGGTAAAGAAGAAAAAACCCTTTCTATCAGTCAAACATCGGAAAGCATGTCTTGCTTGGGCTTTGAAGTACAGGAATTGGACAGTGGAGGACTTCAAGAGGGTATTGCGGTCAGATGAAACTAAAATCAACAGATTTGGGTCAGATGGTAGGAAATGGGTGTGCTCCTGCACCTACATCCCTTTCTTTCAGGGTTCCAGGGTGCTCCACCTGACAAACCCTTTGGACCGACAAAAGCACAGCGAGCTAGGTCCCTTCTATATCTACTCACCTTCAGAGCAGGCATTTTTGTTCCTCGGCACCCTTTTATATGAAGGCCAGACAACCTCATCAAGGTCTAGTTGTCGCTACTTCCACGGTCTTGACCCTGACCTGCAAATCAATGACACTTACAACAAGGAGAATCAAGTAGACTGGCACAGCTTGCCTACACCGAAATCATGCATAGCACTTTCAACAAAGCAAAAAGTATGTGCAATGAATTTTATACATTTATAACCTTTACTTATTACACAAATTCAGAGTAAATTCTTTTATGTGTTGGTGACCATTCCTACCTCTGCCTCTGTCACAGCCCCTGTTGCCACCCCTGCCCTGCCCCTGCCCCAATCGCTGCCCCCATCATTGCTCTGCCAGTCCTCAACACTTTGTCTGACATTGTCAAAAGGGGAAGAGTAGAACCCCAGGAGTTGAACTTGATTCAGCAAATCAAGCACTTGGGACGCATGGGAGGCACCATTGCCTACATAACCTGCATTTTTATATTATACAAACAGACACCACCTGGCTCCTTGGTGAAGTGTTCTGTTCTTTTCCTTATTTACAATTCTAATTTATGATTCTTTGTTTAGCGAAGTAAATTCTATATCAAGCACACACTAGGGAAGAAGGCACAGACTTTCTTAGCTCATACAGAGAAAGTTTGCAAGGATAGTGAGGCCCTTCTTGCTTTCTTCATGTTTCAGGGGGTAGACCTTAAGGGGGACCTACACCAGTTGACGTCCAACCTCTCCAATCATGATACTTTAAAGGTGTTGGCTAAATGGGCAGAAGGAGGTGGAAGCACAGGTGAAGGAAGAGACAATGAGGGTGAAGGAGTGAAAGGCGGCTAAGAAGAAGAACATGGCAAGAGTGATGGCAATGTTGAAGGTAATGAAGGTGAAGGCTAGTATGAGGGAGGAGAAAGTGGGAGTGATGGAAGTTATGAGGAAGATGAAGCTGTCAGTGTTGGGACTAGTGAAGAGGATGAGATTGAGAGTGAGAGCAACGAAGTGTAAGGTATTCACCTTATGGTGTTTCCCCTGGCCCCTAACTCCCCTTCATGATTATTAACTGTATCTATCTATATATCTATATATCTGGACCTCTCTCTTCCTTTTACCATGACCATCAAGTTAAGCACCCACCCAATTTTTGGGCACACTACACGGTAAGCTTGCAAGAAAAGGGAAGACAAGAGGTATTATGAGCAGCTCCAACCTGGGGAGCAAGCTCGGGTTCAATCTGAATGATTGGCTCCTTCCCACTCCATCAGCCATCATCAAGAAGACATCGAATGACACAAGACTGATAGCCGTTGGACAGGCGGAGGAAGTGCGCGCGGATATGTCTGAAGATGAAGATAACGACGACGACTGCCACTCCACCAATAATCAGCCAACGCCAACACATAGGTCCAGGACCAGGGCGGAATCCACTCGCTCCGAAGATGGCAGCTTCACCTTCTATACGACACTGGATAGGAATCAAGGCAAAAAACGAGGCAGCTCTACGCCATAAGACTGCTTGTGATCCCCCTCCACACATGTCCCTACAGCAGAGTACACTTTCGTTCTCCCTCTCCACAGCCAGCCTGGTGGGTACAAAGCAAAAAGACAAGAATCCGGACGCGCCCCAAACCACCACTCCGGCGCTAGCGGCAGCTACAAGAACAAACCCCAGCCCTTCCCACAGCCGCAACACCCATGTGCAGAAACGGACCAAGACTCCGGCACCTTGGTTAGAAGCAGATACACCATTCAACAAGGCCGCCCAACATCTCTGGGACGCGAGGATGTTCGGGCTCATAGGCAAAATCGACCTCCGTTTTGTAACTAATGCCCTCTTCAAAGTAGCTTCGTGCTTGCAGGACACCGGCACCAGTGAACTCCTGCACGCTCTCGCCACGATTCAGGACAAGCTCCTGTTGCAGCAGGCAGTAGAGCAAGTCACTCACATGCTGCGGGATGCTGCAAAGGAAATTACAGGGAACCTCACCAACAGAGTAGCTGAACTGACTGCAGAGACTGTCACGGCGGTCCAGCAGGGCGTCATAAAGGCAGGTCGAGAACTGGACAAATGTACTGATGTAGTCAAAGTAGCCACCGGAGATCTGAAGGCCACAGCAGAGAGCCCCCCGAGAATGTTCACCAGTGTGCTTTCCACTGGAATAGCCCCCAGCTCAGCCCCAGGTCTCCTCCAACCATCAACACAGGCCAAAATGGAACAGGATCACAGGCGCATCCTCATCGACCCACCTGCAGGGCGGACTCAGCTTTACCCCACCGCAGTGGAAAATATAGGGGTCACGAGGAAGGCTACAGAGGCGCTCCACCAAGCCGGCGGTAAACTCAGCTGGACCTTCGTCAGTTGCATCAAACTTGAGAAGGGGGGTATACTCCTTGAAGCCAATCTGGCGGAGGTCAAGGAATGGCTCGCCAACGGGGAGCATCTGACAAACTTTGTGACCATTTTTAGTCCAGGTGCCACTATTAAAGCAAAGAAATACACCATCAAGGCCCTGTACCTCCTGGTGAACCAGCCAATTGACACAGCTGAAGCTCGGCGTAGTATTAAAGAGGAAAACGGTCTCCCCCCCAAGGCCATCACACAAATCAAGTGGATGAAATCAGCTGAGAGGCGTGGCAAAAACCAGCAATACAGACATGCTACCATCTGTAAGGGGACACTCCTATTTTCTCCTATTCCCCTGTCCCTCTCCCTTCCTCCTTCGTTTCCTTTCTCCCTCCCTTCATCCCATGGACTATTATCTACATCCCCTTCATTCCCTTTCCTTCCCTCTCGCCCCCTTACCTTTCCGCTTCCCTTCCGTTCACTCCCTTCGCATCCGAGCCCCGTCCGGTGACTCCGAAGTCTTCCCGCACTTCGGACTCGCCTCGGACTCGCTCGGACGCTTCAGACTCGCTCGGACTCGTAGATACACTTCGGGGCTCGTCCGGGCTACCTCTATCCTCCTTTCCCACTTCATTACTCCTTGTCCCCACTTCCCCAGGTCGCTGGCACGACTCCTGTACATTCCCCTTCCACTTCATTATCACATGCCCCCTCGTACCTTGTGATATTCGTTCGTACCTGTGGCTGGTGTACTGTACAGTTACCCTTCATTCCTCCCACGCTACTACAGTATATACTTCGCTTCCTAGCATGGAGAATCTGTAAGGGGACACTCCTATTTTCTCTCCTTTCCTTCATTCCATGGACTCTTACCTACATTCCCTTCATTCCCCTTCGTTCCTTTTCGCTCCCTTTCCTTTCCACTTCCTTTCCACCCACTCCTTTCGCATCCGAGCCGCGTCCGGTGACTCCGGAGTCTTCCCGCACTTCGGACACTTTGGACTCGCTCGGACACTTTGGACTCGCTCGGACTCATCTATACTCTTCGGGGCTCGTCCGGGTTACCTCTATCCTTTTCCCCCACTTCATTACTCTTCGCCCTTACTTCCCCAAGTCGCTGGCACGACTCCTGTGCATTTACCCTCCACTTCATTATCACATGTTTCCTTGTACCTTGTGATATTTGTTCGGACTTGTGGCTGGTGTACTGTACAGTTATCCTGCATTCCTCTCACACTACTACAGTATATACTTCGCTTCCTAGCATGGAGAATCCTTATCCTGTTCTCTTTGGATTCTCCCTCTGCTAGGTGAGCAGCCCTCTCATGTATTGTAGTTAGCCTTATTCATTATCTTTGGATTCTCCCTCTGCTAGGCCTGCGCTGTCGGCCATCTTGAGGTTGCCCTTACAGCAGAACAGGATCTCCCATCCTGGCACCAGAGCCCTACGGAAAACGTCCTGCGCCACTCCGGACTCGTTCTCGACGTCTCTCCGGTTTTGCGGACATTCCGGACGCTCTCCTGCTACTCCCACCCACCTCTGAGGACCCAAGGAACTCCATCCCTCGCTCCCCTGACAACTCCGAAATGCCGGGCGCTTCCAGCCAGATCCCGCCATCCGAGCCAGTCGCTTCAGGACCGGACTCCGAGACTTTGCAGACCTTGTGGGCTCAGACGTAGAAACACCGAACCCAAATCAGCTCCATCCAGGATACACTTGCCCGAATCGAAGGACTCCTCTTAACACCCCGTCTGACTACTCCGAAAACGACTCCGGACTCCGAGCTGAGGGGCACTGAAGCCTCCCAGCACGCCCCGAGTCGATCCGAAAACACCCCACGTTCCCGCCTGAAGCCCGCCTCTCCCCCGATCTTCAACAGAAACCGCAAGGATGGTTGCGTGTTCTACAATGTGTGCTCCATCTACTTCCAGCTCTGTCCGGACCACTTCCCGACCGAGCAGGCCAAAGTCCTCTGGTGTCTCTCCTTCTTCCAGAAGGATCGAGCTAAGGAGTACGCTGACATGGTGCTCCGGAGTCCGAAGGATCCATACTTTGCGTCCTGGGCCGCCTTCGCAACCGAGTTCCGGACTCGCTTCCTTCCGGATCGGGAACGCGAAGCCGCCATGCTAAAACTGGAGTCCACCCGGTACCACCAAGGGCGTCGGACTTTCCAGGAGTACCTCGACGAGTTCCGGGACCTTGTAGACCAGTCCGGATACACTGAGGGCTCCAACATCACGATGAAGTTCCGCCGCGGATTGGACTCCATCATCCAGAGCCGTGTTGCCGAGTCCGCAGACTGTCCGGACGAGGATGACTTCGAGGAATGGTACAAGGCAGCACAGCGGGTTGCTGACAACCGTGCTGCTAACCAATCCTTCCACTTTGGCGTGCACTCCGGAAACTCCGGACACTCCGGATCCCTCGTCCGACCAGCAGCCGGCTCCGGAGTCGCTCGGACTCCTGCGGGTGTACTCCCCACGCCTCGGACTCAGCTCCCACCTTTGCAACCCCGTTTCCAACCTCTGCCCCCTCCAAAGGCTCTCTCACCCGGTGTCCCAATGGATGTCGACCACACCCGCTCCCGACCTGCCACCTCACAGCTCTGCTACCAATGTGGCAAGCCCGGTCACATGTCTCGCAAGTGCCCACTCCGGTACGACGTCTGGTTCATGACCACCGAGGAGCGGATGTCCGCCAGTGAAGATCTCTTGACTGCGGCCGACGTTGTAGAAAGTACGGGGACTTCGGAAGGAATAGACGATGAGGGAACGGCCCCGGTTGAGGAATCGGACACGGCGGATTTTGTCCGGACCAACGAGTGATCAGTGCGACCTCGTTGGTAAATAACCGATTTGCTTGTCTTAGCGTAGACGAAATAGACGATTCCGATCACTCCGATGATTCGTCCAACGCTAAGCAAACGACTCCGGTTACAATCCGCACACTCCGAAGGTTTCGCCCGCAGTGGGAACGGCGGCTACCCAGTAGCTATAAGATCTCCGCGCTGCCCGGCAAGCTTTCGCTAGATATACCCGTTGAAGTGCAGAGCACGGATACACAACACAGATGCACCCTGCAGGCCCTGGTGGACTGCGGAGCCACCGGAGTCTTCATGCATCCACGCTTTGCTGATGCCCATGGTTTCACCCGACGCAAGCTGTCCGCTCCGATTCCGGTCTTCAACGTTGACGGATCACCAAATGAGAACGGATCTATCTCCGAAGTCGTGGACCTTGTACTCTGGTTCAAGGATCACACGGAACGGATGCTTTTCGCAGTCACTAACATCGGACGGCAGGACATCATCCTCGGATGAGCACGTTGCGCTCTCCCACATGTTCGGGTGAAGTTCACCTGAATGGCTGACCAACACCTGAACAACACCTGAACAACACCTGAACAGAATCTGAACATTAGCTGAATTTCTCCACCAAAACTCTTTTTTTTGGTTCAGATTTTGTTCAGGTCACCTGAATTGTTCACCTGAACATTTGGTGAATTCAGGTGAATTTGACAGGTAATGTTCACCTGAATGTTAGGTGAATTCAGGTGGAATACATTAGTACTACTTCTTGTTGCAGGAATTCTTGAATAATGGCTCTTTGTAAGTGGGAAAACTGTTCAAAGAGGTCAACAATACTTCTTCCTAAGAATATCTTTTACTCTGAACACTGTTTTACTAACAAATAGTATATTGTTACAGTGGGAAAATATCACCCAAAATAGAAGTTGTAGAGCCATCTTTTCCGACTCTGCTGGTATAGATAGCATTGTGAGAACTTGACTTATTAGTGAGAAAAATGTAAATTACTTGAAAAAACAGGGAAAGTTTTCAGTTTTCTTACTGTATAGACTGTTTAAGAGGTCTACTACATTTATCAGCAGTTGTTTTGTCAATGCTAAACACTCATTATGCTGAAGAAAGAGTTTCCTGATGTTCCCACAGTAACAAGAATTTTCCCATGGTCAGTATTAAACTTAGTAAATACTTTTGGCAAAGACCAAGATACTTTTTGTAGGTATATGAACCTGGTTATGTGACTGTTTGTAGAATTCTCATGAGCTACTTTCATTGTTCTGCAGTAGTTGATAGAAATAGTAGAAACACATAGAAATGACACCATGGATGACAACCATATTGATGAGACCATATTCAGGTGTTGTTTGTATGTGGTTCAGATGATGTTTGGGTAATGTTCATGTAATGTTCAGATAATGTTCAGGTGATGTTCAGATGCTGCTCAGATGACACTCATCTGAACACCATCTGAACATTATCTGAACCTGAACAAAGGCTACAAACAGAATCTGAACATTACCTGAACATTTGGTGAAATTCACCTGAACAGTATCTGAACAATACCTGAATACCTGAACATCACCTGAACGTCAGATGAACATGTGGTGGACTGCAACATACACCCTCGGATACACCTGGCTTCGGAAGCACAACCCCGAGATTGACTGGCAGACAAAGGAGGTGACCATGAGCCGCTGTCCGTCCGGATGCGACACCTGTCGGAAGGAGTTCCGCCATGACAAGCTGACCCGATGCAAGGAGTCCGTACGACTCCGGGAGTGTCGTACGGGTCCGATGCCAAGGGTTGAGGAACTGCACTCGGACGATCTCCCAGAGCTTCAGGACTGCGAGGATGATGATGAGGATGACAATGCTACAACTCCAGACGACTCCGGACTTGAGAGGGGTGACCGTATCTTCGTGGCTATTCCTCCTCCGACTCCGGAGTACCTTCGGAGTCTTCAGGAAGAACATATCCGGGCTTCGGAGACAGTCTCGCAGCGCCTTGCATTGGCTTTCCAGCGCAACAAACCCCACGATCCTCGGAACAGCGCAGTCCCGGACTTCCTCCAGGAATTCGAGGACGTCTTCGCAAAGGAGTCCTTTGATGAACTGCCCATGCCGCGTCCGTGGGACCATGCCATTGAGCTACTGGATGGAGCGGAACCGACCTCTACCAAGTGCTACCCGCTGTCCCCGGCGGAACAGAAACAGCTGGACGAATTCCTGGAAGAAAATCTCCGGACTGGTCGGATCCGCCCCAGCAAGTCGCCCATGGCTGCCCCGGTGTTCTTTGTTAAGAAGAAGGACGGATCGCTCCGCTTGGTCCAGGACTACCGGAAGCTCAACAACATGACGGTCAAGAATCGGTACCCACTTCCGCTCATCTCGGACTTGGTGGACAAACTCCGGAATGCTCGCTACTTCTCCAAGCTTGACGTCCGGTGGGGCTTCAACAATGTCCGGATCAAGGAGGGTGATGAGTGGAAGGCCGCATTTCAGACTACGCGCGGACTCTTCAAACCTTTGGTGATGTTCTTCGGACTAACAAATAGCCCGTCCACCTTCCAGACCATGATGAACGACTTGTTCCGGGAGCTCATTACGGAAGGTGTGGTTATTATCTATCTGGACGACATCCTGATCTACACCAAGACGCGCGAAGAGCATCGCCGGGTTCTCAAGCGAGTCCTAGAGATCCTCCAGCGGAACAAGCTCTTCCTCCGAGCGGACAAGTGCGACTTCGAGCAGACCAAGGTGGAGTATCTCGGAGTCGTCATCTCCGAGGGTAAGATTGAGATGGACCCCGTGAAGGTCTCCGGAGTTGCGGACTGGCCGATCCCTCGGACTCGGACTGAACTCCAATCCTTCCTTGGGTTCGTCAACTTCTACCGCCGCTTCATCAAGGACTACTTGCATATCGCCCGGCCTCTCTTCGACCTCACTTGCGCAAAGGAATGGCAGTGGAACGACTCCGCTCAATCCGCATTTCTTCGGATCAAAGAGCTGATCACTTCGGAACCTGTTCTTGTCTTTCCGAAGGAGGATCGGCCGTACCGGGTTGAAGCGGACTCGTCGGACTATGCTACGGGTACAGTCTTGTCGCAACTGGATCCGGATGATGGTAAATGGCATCCTGTCGCATTCTACTCTAAAAGTCTACAGGCTGCGGAGCGGAACTACGAAATACACAACAAGGAGATGCTTTCAATCATCCGGGCGCTCGAAGAATGGCGGCACTACCTTGAAGGCGCAGAGACTCCGTTCGAGATCTGGACGGACCACAAGAACCTGGAGTACTTCATCAAGGCCCAGAAGCTCAACCGCCGTCAAGCCCGCTGGTCGCTATACCTCTCCCGCTTCGACTTCACTCTCCAGCATCGTCCGGGTCGGACTATGGGTAAACCGGACGCTCTCTCGCGACGCTCGGATCATTCGGATGGTAAGGATGACAACAAGGATGTGGTGATGCTCAAGCCTTCCTACTTTGCTGTCCGTGCCACGGGTGTCACTCTTGAAGGGGAGGAGAAGGATATCCTCACGGCTATCCGGACTGGAGTGCGAGATGCGAAGTTCGAAGACGCAGTGGCAAAGGCGGCAGAGGAGCTGAAGAAGACCCAGGGCAGTCGCAAGACAGTCCGAAGCGCGGAATGGTCCCAATCGGACGGACTCCTCATGTTCCGGGGTAAGATCTACGTTCCGGACTCACCGGATTTGCGTCGGACTATTGTAGCTCAGCACCACGACACCAAGGTCACAGGACACGCCGGCAGATGGAAGACCCTAGAGCTCGTTTCACGCAGCTACTGGTGGCCCAACATGTCCCGGTACGTCGGATCCTACACCCGCCATTGCGACCTCTGTCTCCGGACGAAGGCCCAAAGGCATCCGCCCATGGGTGAACTTCATCCGCTTCCCATTCCGGATGAACGCTGGGATCGCCTGAGTGTTGACTTCATCGTCGAGCTTCCGGAGTCCGATGGGTTTGATGCTGTCATGAACGTGGTCGACTCCGTAAGCAAACGTGCCCACTTCATTCCGACTCACACCACAGTGTCTGCCCTCGGATCCGCAAACTTGTACCTGCAGAACGTCTGGAAGCTGCACGGACTCCCTCGGTCCGTTGTGTCCGACCGGGGTCCGCAATTCGTCGCAGAGTTCACCCGAGAAGTCTACCGGATGCTCGGAATCAAGCTGGCTGCCTCCACTGCGTACCACCCTCAGTCCGACGGACAGACGGAACGGACCAACCAGGAACTCGAGTCCTATCTCCGGATCTTTGTCGGAGAGCGTCAGGACGACTGGGCTCGCCTCCTACCTATGGCGGAGTTTGCGTACAACAACCGGGTCCATGCGTCCACTCAGCAGTCACCCTTCCTCCTGGATACCGGCCGTCATCCTCGTCTCGGGTTTGAACCTCATCAGCCACCGTCTCGGATGGAGTCCGCAAACGAGTTTGTAGACCGGATGAAATCCGCAGTCGACGAGGCTCAGTCCGCATTGGTCAAGGCTCAGGACGACATGAAGCGCTACTACGATCAGCGTCGGACTCCTGCTCCGGAGTACCAACCGGGTGACAAGGTCTGGCTGGACTCGTCGGACATCAACCTTGCCCGACCCTCCCGGAAACTCGGACACACACGACTTGGTCCTTACAAGGTCGTCCGGAAGGTTGGCAAGGCAGCGTACCGGCTCCAGCTCCCTCCGGGCTTATCCCGTCTCCATCCCGTCTTCCCCGTGGTCAAACTCTCTCCCTTCGTTCCGGACCCCATCCCGGGTAGACGCCCTGTCACTCCGCCACCTCCGCAGCTCGTTGACGGAGAAGAGGAGCATGAGGTAGAAGAGGTCCGAAATAGCAGACGGTTCGGTCGGGTCCTGAAGTATCTGGTGCGCTGGCGAGGCTATGGTATCGAGCACGACTCCTGGGAGCCCGCGAGCAACCTCCAGCACGCCGCCCGGAAGGTCAAGGATTTCCATGATCGTCACCCGGACGCAGTACGCGTACTCCGGACGAGTCCGATGAATCCGACGACTGCTCTACCTCTCCGGATGACTCCTGCGGCACTGGACCAGTCCTGGGAGCGTTGGCGCAGTCGGAAGGCTCCGGGCTCCGCGCAGTCGTACTTCGACATCTTCTCGCAGCAATCCGGAGTTTCGGGGTTGGTGAATTCATGGCGCGGCAGGCAGGAATCTTCGCGTCGGGTCGCCGCAACCTTGAAGGGGGGGTGATGTAAGGGGACACTCCTATTTTCTCTCCTTTCCTTCATTCCATGGACTCTTACCTACATTCCCTTCATTCCCCTTCGTTCCTTTTCGCTCCCTTTCCTTTCCACTTCCTTTCCACCCACTCCTTTCGCATCCGAGCCGCGTCCGGTGACTCCGGAGTCTTCCCGCACTTCGGACACTTTGGACTCGCTCGGACACTTTGGACTCGCTCGGACTCATCTATACTCTTCGGGGCTCATCCGGGTTACCTCTATCCTTTTCCCCCACTTCATTACTCTTCGCCCTTACTTCCCCAAGTCGCTGGCACGACTCCTGTGCATTTACCCTCCACTTCATTATCACATGTTTCCTTGTACCTTGTGATATTTGTTCGGACTTGTGGCTGGTGTACTGTACAGTTATCCTGCATTCCTCTCACACTACTACAGTATATACTTCGCTTCCTAGCATGGAGAATCCTTATCCTGTTCTCTTTGGATTCTCCCTCTGCTAGGTGAGCAGCCCTCTCATGTATTGTAGTTAGCCTTATTCACTATCTTTGGATTCTCCCTCTGCTAGGCCTGCGCTGTCGGCCATCTTGAGGTTGCCCTTACACTGTCCCTCTCCCTTCCTCCTTCGTTTCCTTTCTCCCTCCCTTCATCCCATGGACTATTATCTACATCCCCTTCATTCCCTTTCCTTCCCTCTCGCCCCCTTACCTTTCCGCTTCCCTTCTGTTCACTCCCTTCGCATCCGAGCCCCGTCCGGTGACTCCGAAGTCTTCCCGCACTTCGGACTCGCCTCGGACTCGCTCGGACTTGTAGATACACTTTGGGGCTCGTCCGGGCTACCTCTATCCTCCTTTCCCACTTCATTACTCCTTGTCCCCACTTCCCCAGGTCGCTGGCACGACTCCTGTACATTCCCCTTCCACTTCATTATCACATGCCCCCTCATACCTTGTGATATTCGTTCGTACCTGTGGCTGGTGTACTGTACAGTTACCCTTCATTCCTCCCACGCTACTACAGTATATACTTCGCTTCCTAGCATGGAGAATCCCCATCCTGTTCTCTTTGGATTCTCCCTCTGCTAGGTGAGCAGCTCTCTCATGTATTGTAGTTAGTCTTATTCATTTCTTTGGATTCTCCCTCTGCTAGGCCTGCGCTGTCGGCCATCTTGAGGTTGCCCTTACACCATCACCTTCACCTCCCCCGCTGATGCTAACCTCATCCTTCGACAGGGACTCAACTCTCTAGACACCAACTACCGCTGCCACAAAAGCAAGACAGAGCTGCTCCGCTGCCTCAGGTGTCAGGTCTACAGCCACATTGCCAGTGTCTGTGCAGCCCCAGCAGCAACCAGCGCGACCTGCACCCAACAACATGACAATGCAGGGGACTGCCCACAGTGTAAGGGCAACCTCAAGATGGCCGCACAGTGCAAGCCTAGCAGAGGGAGAATCCAAAGATAATGAATAAGACTAACTACAATACATGAGAGGGCTGCTCACCTAGCAGAGGGAGAATCCAAAGAGAACAGGATAAGGATTCTCCATGCTAGGAAGTGAAGTATATACTGTAGTAGCATGGGAGGAATGAAGGGTAACTGTACAGTACACCAGCCACAGGTACGAACGAATATCACAAGGTATGAGGGGGCATGTGATAATGAAGTGGAAGGGGAATGTACAGGAGTCGTGCCAGCGACCTGGGGAAGTGGGGACAAGGAGTAATGAAGTGGGAAAGGAGGATAGAGGTAACCCGGACGAGCCCCAAAGTGTATAGATGAGTCTGAAGTGTCCAAGCAAGTCCGAGCAAGTCCGAAGTGTGGGAAGACTTTGGAGTCACCAGATGTGCCTCAGATGCAAAGGGAGTGGGCGGAAAGGAAGTGGAAAGGAAAGGGAGCAAAGGGAAACAAAAGGGAACAAAAGGGATGTAAGTAAGAGTCCATGGGATGAAGGAAAGGAGAAAGGAACAAGGAGGAAGGGAGAGGGACAGGGAAATAGGAGAAAATAGAGGTGTCCCTTTACAATTTGGAGCTATAAAGCAATAGGTATCCATAGAAATGAAAATATACATTACATGAGTGCAAACAATACCAGCATGAACAGTCATTTGAAACAACCTGAGGGGATTGCTAGTGCTGCTGGACGTATTAGGGTTTGTTCCACTCATTTCTTGAGTAAAAATAAAAAGTCCATGTGTTGATCTGGTGTGCACAACAAGGCTAGCAATAGCCTATCCAATAATTGTGAGATCATTCCTAAGGCATTATAACACCCTCCAAAATTGTAATATAAAAAGTACAAAATTTAAGCATCTCCCGCCAAATGAGTTGATGTGACCTGGTGACAAGCACTATAATAGAAAACATTGTATTTCAGCAAAAAATATTGTGAGTTCAACTTGCAGTGATTCACATGATACCTCTCACTGTCAGTCGCTCCCAGTTGATAGACTTTTCACTGGGGTTGAACACCAAGCCTTGGCGCCCGGAGGGTTAATGATAACTTGAATATTCTTCGGTGTCATTTGCGCGCTGCATTCTGATTTTCTGTCAACCCCCCCCGGATTGTTGTTGCTGCAGTAATTGGGCGCCTTTTTCGGGCTAAGCGATATCGATCCGAGCAGGGGCGGTGCTGGGGCTATACATCCGCAGGGCTACGGCAATCAAGATGTACACCGTCGGGAACAGCCGACCGACATCCTTTTGTCTGTCAATAATCCAAGATCTACGCTCAAATCGAGTCGCGCGCCGTTACCGACGACGATCATGGACGAACGCACGATGGCCTTTATCCAGAGCAGCAACTATCAGCCACTCGATGTCATTGGCGAAGGCGCGTACGGCGTCGTCTGGTGAGTCTCCGCTCCTTCTAGCTCTCATATAAGACTGAAATGAATATGTCTCCATGTCTACCTCCGCCCGGTCGCACTTGCTGAACAAGCTCTGCTGTCCATGTCCCGACGCAACGGAAAGTCGCGATCAAGCGCATCACCCCCTTCGATCACTCCATGTTCTGCCTGCGCACCCTCCGCGAGATCAAGCTGCTCCGCCATTTCCACCACGAGAACATCATCGCCATACTAGACATCCTCCGTCCCCCATCCCTCGCAGACTTCACAGAAGTATATCTCGTGCAGGAGCTTATGGAGACCGATCTCCACAGGGTCATACGAACACAGGAGCTCAGCGATGATCACTGCCAATATTTTATCTACCAGGTGCGTCGAGCAGTTTATCCTTGCGCGCCCTTATACTCAGATGTGTCAGACGCTACGGGCCCTCAAAGCCCTACACTCAGCTGACGTTCTCCATCGCGACCTCAAACCCTCCAATCTCCTGCTCAACGCCAACTGCGATCTCAAGGTGCGCTTCCTCTTCGCTGTCTACCTTCTCACCTCACTCGGCATCGCGGTTCCGCATGGTAGCTCTGCGACTTCGGCCTCGCACGCTCCGCCCGTCCCCCACCTAACGTTGCCAACGACAGCAGCACATTTATGACTGAATATGTTGCCACGAGGTGGTACCGCGCGCCCGAAGTGATGCTGACATTCAAAGAATACACCCGTGCGATCGATATGTGGAGCGTCGGTTGCGTGCTGGCAGAGATGCTCAGCGGGAAACCCCTCTTCCCAGGACGGGATTGTACGCTCGCTTTTTCTCGTGCAATCTTCTTCCGTTCCGTCTGACATCATTGTACGACTAGATCACCATCAACTTTCAATCATTCTGGACATCCTGGGGACGCCGTCAATAGATGACTTCTACGCTATTTCGTCGCTGCGCTCTCGAGAATATATACGCGCCCTACCGTTTAGGAAGAAGAAGAGTTTCGCGCAGCTGTTCCCTAATGCAAATCCGCTGGTAAGCATGCGCAGGTCCTGCTGCTCGTAAATTGACTCACTCCAAACAGGCCATCGACTTGTTAGAGAAACTCCTAACCTTTAGCCCGAAAAGAAGAATAGATGTGAGCGAGGCGCTACGACATCCGTACCTTCAGGTAAGTGCCCTACCCTCCTTCTTTGTACGACGTTTCATAACTCTATCCTATTCGCGCGAACTCGTATACTCTTGGACGACATTCCAGCCATATCACGACCCGCAGGATGAACCCACCGCTGACCCCATTGATCCTTCGTTCTTTGATTTCGATTTTGGAGACCCAATGTCGAAGGAGGACCTTAAAGGTACATTACACCCCATTTGCTTGTCTTCCTGTATAGAACCATGGAACTGACGCTCCCACTCAACGCCATCACAGTACTTATCTACAATGAGATCATGCGCCCCGACACAGGACCTGCTCCTATTACCATGATGAACAATTTCCCATCATGAATACAGTTAATTTCCCTCGCCTTGGTTCGATTTTTGGTATGATGGATCTTCGTTCTCATTTTGTGCGATTGCGATATGTGTAGGTTATGATATGTACTAGCAGATATAATTCGCGCCGTAGTGTATTTGGAAAACTTTGGAGGGGAATCGGAATCGAGATGTAAATATGATCGAGTTGAAGGTCCACTCAGCACCCGACTAAGGGTCGAGCGGTGATGCCTAGGGCTGAGGGAGATATATCGCGTAAATGAGTTACGGTGAGTATGCGAATGAAGTGTATGCCATGGAGTCCCGGGGGTTCAAACACGTCTAGACACGTCGAGACCACCCATAAGCAGCATTTGTCCCTTGCCCGGTACCGGGTGGCAGTCATCATCCGATGTGATGCAGTGTCCCCCTTAATATTACAGTTTCTCGGGTAGATGATCTCTGCTGAGGTTTTCGTCCATACTGACGACGTCCCCAGCCATCGAAGGTTTAAGTGATTGGGGGATCCAGGGTGACGGATGCCCAGATGAATGGCGCGTGTAATGATGCAATCCATCATTGGAGAACAATTGGACTCCAAGACTAACAGTTATGTTATCTTTGTGTTATCTCCTCATGACACGCGACGAAGATTGATGGCGGTGCCACTAACTCATGGCGTCAAACGCCGGTGGTGAATCAGTATCGTCGAAGTAACGTAATTGTACAACCTGAGAGCAGGGATATACAGGTCCTTACACGGTCGCTGGCGGTCGAGCACACTGGGCCAACCAACCTTGGCCTTTGTATTTGAAATCCAGTCACTCAAAGTCTGGCCCGCTAGGCGCACTTTGGAAGTAAACCCTGTGGGGCCTGTGAGAAGTCCGCGACATCACGTGCGCTGAATAAACTTCCTCGGTTCAACGAAGAAGGAGGCGTGGTATCCGCCACCAACGAGGTCCCTGGTCGGTTACTCTCACTCCTCCCGGCTCTCTGCTCACCACCACCATCCCATCCTTCCTCCTCCTCGTCCCATATCGAATACAGGGATGCCATTCGAAAAGTACCTTGGACCGCAGGATGGCCAGAGCCATGTCGATAACTCGAGCTCCTATGTAGCCCCAACAAGCACATCTTACACAAGCTCCAACGTCGTCCACGTCGACCACGCTGCTTCGTCGTTCTCGAACCCAGTGCAGCTTCAGATTCCGCAATTCATCTATGGTGGACCCCCGATGCTGGCGCCAGGCGGGGGTGCAGAAGTCCTCCCCGCTGCCTCGCTCAACAATTCGTGGTTCACAAACAACGGCTTCACGCCCCGATTTCCAAACGAAGAGTATGTATATCTCACCTCTTTCACCCTTTTGATGGTCGGTTGAACTATTGAAGGATATTCCACGGGCACTCGCAATCGATATCACCAGATAACGAACAGCGACGCAGCATAGTAGCGGATCCCCTGGCGCCGACACCAAGGAGTGCTCGACCTCCGCCGTTTGATTATACCCCTCTGCACTCACTGCGTACTGAATTACCATCGACGGCGCCCTTGCTGTACTCACCCTTGGACATGACCGCAGTATCATCTAAATCGCTTCAACCGAGTACCACCCAATATCCGCCCTCTTCGAACGCGCTCTCATTGGCCGCACCATCGTCCCTCGGCCTCCCTGTGTACTCCAGCTCTGGATTTGACCTTCTCTCCATCCTCGCCCGCGTCGTAAACCGCCCCAATCCCAGAATCTCTTTGGGCCCCGTCGACCTTACTTGTTCATTCGTTGTCGCTGATGTTCGCCGGCATGACAACCCTATCATCTTCTGCTCCCCTACATTCTGCGCTTTGACTGGATACGACGAGTCTGAAGTCGTCGGTCGCAACTGTCGATTCCTTCAGGCTCCCAATGGTGCCGTGACAAAGGGAGAGCAACGGCGCTTCACCTCGCCGGAGGCGGTATCCTACATGCGCAAATCCCTTGCAGCAGACAAAGAATGCCAGACAAGCATAGTGAACTACCGGAAGAATGGAACTGCGTTCATCAACCTCGTCACCGTCATCCCCATACCAGGTGGCGAACAAGGTTTGCCCCACGAAGAGCATGAGGTGTATTACCATGTCGGCTTTCAGGTGGATCTAAATGAACAACCCAATGCCATACTGGACAAGCTTCGAGACGGTAGCTACATGGTGAATTATACTGCGGCTGGTGGCGGGGCACCTCAGTTGCCCTACCCGACTCGCGAAAGGAAGGGGCATACTCCTCCCCAGCCTGTCATGTCAAAAGGCCTGAAGGCCCTCTTGGCCGACCGCACATTCATCGAATCCCTTCCTCCATCTTCAACGACCGTCGCACCCCCATCTTCTGAAAAAGCCGAATCTCGTGAAGCAAGTACATCACTCAGCACAGTCTTACTCTCCAACACCCCCGACTTCATGCTCGTCGTGTCGCTGAAAGGGTTGTTTTTATATGTTGCGCCTGCGGTGCGGCGGGTGCTCGGGTATGAGCCCGAGGAGCTGGTGGGGAAGGCTATCACTGATTATTGCTACCAACACGATATCGTCCCCCTCACTCGCGAACTGAAGGAGTCGTCAGCGACACCAGGCAGTACCAACGACCTTCCGCACTCCACGATGCCTCGCACTGTGGATCTGTTGTTCCGTGCGAGGACGAAGGCGGGGGACTATGTTTGGGTGGAGTGCCGCGGGCGTTTGCACGTTGAACCCGGCAAGGGTCGCAAGGCGATTATCCTGAGTGGTCGTGCAATGGGGATGGCATCCATGATATGGTCAAGTATCGTGCAGGGCGGAGGGTTGAACACCTCTATCAGAAACACTCGAGCCATCAGCAGGCCCGAGGACGAAGGCGTGGAAGTCGAGGTTGTTGAGACGGAGCGTGAGTTCTGGGGGTCGTTGAGTAAGGAAGGCGTGCTGCTCGTTGTTGGGCGGGGAGCGAAGGACGTACTTGGGTGGGCAGAATCGGAGATGCAAGGAATGATGTTGGCGAGCTATTTAGCAAATGGTGAGGAGCATGCGATGAATGTTTTGGACGAGGAGTTGCGGAGAATGTATAGTGAGGGTAGGATGGATTCGAGAAGGGTCTACACCAGGATGCGGAGGAAAGATGGGGGACATGCTAGCGTGCACCTCGTTCTCCACCAACCACAACCACAAAGCGGCCACGATTTAGGGATCCCTCGCCCATCAGTGCTTTACCAGATCCAGGTGATCGACCATCTGCCTAGCAATATCCAGGCGTCTGGGACGTTATGCCACGAGAGCTCGGGCGATGTATTCGAGGAGCTGCAGGTGACGAGAGGAACCAGCTGGCAGTATGAATTGCAACAACTCAGATTCGCGAACCAGACTCTGAATGATGAAATTGGGCTTTTGGAGGCGCAGAGGGTACAGGCCGAGCAGCAACAGCAACAACACCAGCAGTCGAGTCGTGGAGAGCCATACGATGGTAGAGCAAGTTCGTCATACAACAGTTATGGCGGGGTCAAACGCAGCTGGGATTCGAGGCAATAAACCGGACATGCTTGCTATGACTGCTCGGAACGTTTCTCACCGCAGACTCGCAGACAGATGTTATTCTCAGACTGAGGGCATTCGCAACTTGCAAGACATACGGACAATACGCAAGATTCATCTCATACTGTAACAACATAGTTTAGTGACATATCATCATACCGTGCCATTCGCCCTCTGCATCGAGTGCACATACACTTGTATTCGGCTGTAGAAGTTGGCAACGCATGGGTCAAGAACAGGCAGGGCTCTTGTTTAGATCACGTTTATATTGGCACATTTCCATATATTGATGCCGCCCCAACGGACAGGAGAGTTTATTGAGGAGACTGTCGCAAATTTCCTATTTGAGTTTTGAGCGCTCAAAAGCCTACGCTTTCGTTAAAAGGCATTTTAAGGGGCTTATAATGGATGTTACTCCATTAAAAGCAAGGAAAGTTGTGGTTTAAGCCAATATACTTTATCACGAATTGAAGTATATATACTACTGTCCTACTCTAACAAATCTGGCGTAGGTACGAGCTCAATTGCCGCGGCAGTTAGCTCAACTTCTTTGTCTCAAGGACATTGTGAGAACGATTTGAGGGCAGGTATGATTTTTCCGACAAGCCTGGCATGAAATGGAGGCTGTTCCACAAGCTACGGTGGTATCCTTCAAAGGGTCGAACGACGACTTTATAGAGGCCTGGTTGGTTTTAGTGAAGACGATCCCTATTTCACGGATGACATATGATATGAGATCGACACACATGCCATAGGAGGGAGAGAGTGAGCAAGGGCGAGCCAGCGCCGAAGTCCAAAGTATCACCGCCTTCCCATTCTTCTCAGGCGACCATTGATGAATGAGAATGGTCCTGGTGGCTAGTTGGAGGGGAGCAGAATCGATGTCACTTGCACGATAGCTGTAAAGGTGCCCAGGGTGTGACCACTTCAGCGAGCTTCAGCGTTATTTTACTTTTGTGAAACTTTCAGATTCATGATCACGTTACATTTATGTTGATTATAGGTAATTGATCCTGGATTATGGATTTACTGGCTTTGATATACGGCTGCTCCAAGTGGGCTTCCACTTTCTGTCGCTTGCTCTCCTTGTCTCCTGATTGTGGAGAACTGATTCGGGCCCGTTTCACTGCTAGCCTTCACCGATGCATCATGGGCCGGAGAAACAGGAGATAGATCTATCACGCACCAGTCGAAGACAGAGGGTCGCTGCCGTGGCTGGTCGTTGTCTTTGCATCGACAGACTCTTGTTGTGGATTGGAGAATGGTTCACAGGACTTCGACGGTCGGAAATACGGCTGGGCTAGCCAGTGGGGGAGGATCTTGAGACCTGTCATTGGATCGATCGTTATGAGTTCATCCCAGGTTTTGCCTGAAGCCTCGGCTTCTTCGGCGGCTTGCTAAAGGACAAACCGTACAAAGATTAGTGAAACGGATGCAAAGGGAGGAATACCAGCGTACATCCATTCTCGCCTTCATCTCTGTTACGATTTCCCGGTATTCGACGAGTGCGAGCTTGAGGTCTGAGGCGCGCACGCGGCCCAGCTTTTCGCGAAGATCGGGTTCGTGAGATAACGCTGGGCGCATGAATTTGAAGAGGTGGCCTTTGATGGCGGATAGGGATGTGGGGGTTTTAAGAGAGGAGACGATGGAGAGGTATTCTAAAGCGAGGTCGGCGTGGCGGGGATGAAGGCCGGAAAGGGGAGGATCGAATGTGAGAGGGGGAGCCGGGAGATTAGCAGGCAGATCTGTTGGTCTCAGAAGGTCTGAAGTGGAAGAAGGGGGATGGTGCGACGCTGGTGCAAACAGGGCGGCATTGTAAAGCTGACCTTCCGCGGACATGACGCCGTCGCAACCAGTTGCATCAAGGCACGCTTGGATGTCTTCGTGGTACAGGATGTTCCCATTCGCGAAGACAGGTATCGACACAGCTTGTTTGACCGCTTTTATGTGATCCCATGAGGCGATGCCCTAGATATGTATAAGAAAGGTGGCCGTTTTGACGAAGATGGATAGACGAACAGTATTCTGTCCTCGCTGCTCTCTTATTCGACCGTGGCAAGTGATTATCTGCGCACCTGCACGTTCAAGCATCTTGGCGTACTCCACCGTCTTCTCGATCGATGTAAATATCCTGAATTTCGCTGTTACGGGTACAGCAAGATTCTTGTGCAGCGTGTTGACTTAACCGCGATGTCAGAATCATCACACCCGGGCGAGCGTAAACGTACTCAACGAGTATATCAACTCCCAGTCATCTTGCAAGAATGATCCATATCGCCCTCGCTTTGCTATTTCTTGGGGACATCCGAGGTTGATGTCTACAGCATCGCAGTGGTTCTCGATGTGTTTTGCAGATGCGAGCAAAGCTTCGGGGTTGTTGGCGCAGAATTGAACGACGAGGGGCCGATCCAGAGGTCCGCCTTCCTCGCCGTAAGCGAGGCTGAAGTTGCGCTCACGGAATGTGCCTTTTTTATCTTCATAGAACATCTATCATCCGAGTTCAGTCGCTGTTCAGTCAGCTAACTTGCATGAACCCGAACCTTTGCATTTATCATTGGGGTGTACACAAGCTACAGACTAGTTCATTAGGCGCTGTATCAGAACCAGAGGAAACTTGTAAATTTACTTGGGCACCGTATCGACGGGACAGGACTCTCCACGGCTGTTTTTATTTCGGTTCCGTGTTAATTGAGGGAGGGGGGGTAAACCGAAACTCACTAGTTCGCTTTGGTCGACCATCGGCGCGACAATAAATTTTGGGCTGCCAAGGACTTTATGATAGAAGTCGTAACCTCCAAGTTTGTCTCCAGACGTCGTCGACATGATCGCTGGGAACCAGCGCGTGAGGCGCCTAAGTGCAAGGGGAATGACGGCGATTTGTTCGAGCTCGCGAATCCTTTGCGCGCAAAGGCAAGTTCAGGCAAGTTCAGTCCACATAAGTCACGTGCCAGGAGGCAAGCCGATGGATGAGGTTGTTTGTGCTTGATTGTCGTCGGTGGCAATACGCTGCACTCGTGAATTTGGCTTTCTGGGTTTTTTTGTCAAGTGATCTGTTCTGTAACCTGAATGGACGATAAGACTCGCAAGACAACAACTGTGCTCGACGTTGAAGACGACGACGCCCGTCAACGTCGCATTCGTGAGCAAAATGCCGATGCCCTCCATTGCGATAATTGACTCGCTCGCCCCTTTCCTTCTAGAACTTGCCTTGGAAAAGTTAAACCAGTCGTCTGCCACCGCCCCCGCGGTATCCCCGTTTTCCTTTAGCAACGCAAAGGACTACAAATTTGCCCCCGCAAATGAACGTACGTCGCCACCACTGAGCTTGATCATTACATACGAACGCTTGAGCAACAGTGATCTCGCGTGTGCAAGCGTTTCTTCCTCAGCTGGAAGTGTCCAACTCCTTGCTGGCGAAGAAGATGCAAGAGGACCCGGCAAGTGTTGATATCGAGAATATTACGGAAGGGGAGCATCGGTATATTGAAATGGTACGCTTAGCATCCATACTGTGTCCGCATAGGCCCTTGATATCTTCCCAGAATCTTGGCCTAGGTGTATTTGAACAGCGCAGCAAGAATCAAGAGATGGATGTCGATGCCGACGACTCGGAGTCGTCCAGCTACTCTTCAACTTCGACTACTTCCAGCTCTGGATCCTCTGCTTCAGACGACACGACCTCAGACATTGACTATGACTCGGATGCGTCCTCAGAAATCATAACTTGCTTTATTCCGTCCAGGCCCATCCGACCTCTTCCAAAGCGCAAGCCTCGTCCTCAAATCGTTGTCTTAGGGGATTAAGTTGGTCACTGGGTGCTTCGGGTGAGAGCGGTCTGAATCTCATGGTGCGCAAGCAAGCTTGTCCTCGTGCACACCCTCACTTCATTTCGCCGTCCCATCCTCGATCTGTTCCCGCTAGCATTTTTTCTCGTCATTACTAGTTGTCTCTTGCCGACCACACTGTACATATTGCTCAATCTCATCTCATTTGGTTCGTCTTCGCGGCTTTGCACACACAGCACGGTAAACACCAACACATTGCGCAGCATCCAAAGAGGCTGCAATTAGATATAACATATCAGCGTCGGGCTATATTTGGCTGTTGAGAAGACCGAGTTCTTTCTTACACGGCGCAGGGAAAGCAGATCCATCCGTTGTCTGGCGACTTGGCGGGAGGCGGTCTATCATTAATCATAGGAGATTGCCCCTGTAGTCGCGGGTGTACTGCTTGTATACGTCTGGTGAGCCGTCGGTGTCTCCTTAGGTGGTTCTTCAGACTTACGTTGAGGCTGTGGTTGATCACTTCTGTTTATTGCTGTATCGCCGCCGCCGCCTTCTCGCGCAGACATCGTTGCGCAGATCAAGAAAATGATCTTACATAAGTCCTTTGACTTGGACCCTTCGTAGCTGTGATGCGTTGAATTCTCAGAATGACACATTCGTCAAGGCAAGGCGATTATAATGATACAACATGTTAGTTACATATATGCCTGGGTGGCGACCGGTGACCGTCCATGATTTATTTGCATGCAGCTGCAACTGATTGCAATTTAACAACACCAGCATGGGCAACAGCAGAGCCCTGCGCAACAAGCAGCGCAACTGTTGGCATGATGAGTAACTTGGCAGAATATCTCACTTATGTATTCACCATGCACACGGTAGACAACAGCTGGAAGTCTCCTTCTCGGGGGGCTTTTGGACATACACCATCTGAGGCTGGGCCTGAGGTTGTTGAGAGTAGAAAGCTGGTGCCCCTTGTGTAGCTACGTATACCACGTCAGACGTTTTGAAGGGTTGTCAGGGAGAATGAAAGGGACTTGCGTTGTGGGTGCGACTGCCACCCTGGCACATACGCTGGGGCTGGTTTCTCTGTGTGGTGCTGGCCGTAGTACTCCTGTGCAGACATCGCAGAGACTGAGGGGAATAAGGGGGAAGCAGGATCTGAGCGCCCCGCAGTCCACTGATAACTGCATTATATACTGCGTCTATGAATTAGGCTCCATCAAGGCTGTCCCGCTAGCCCCTGTGCGGACAAGCGCCCTGCAGAACGAGCGCGCAATACTCGGCGTCTATTGCATTCCTTTCTTCGTAACCAACATCTTCACTCACCGTTCTCGTTGACACACTCGTTGTATACACACTCTCTTTCAAGAATCCACACAAAATGATGTTCTCCACGTTTGCTTCCAAAACCCTCCTCCCCGTTGCCCTCGCCTCTTTCGCTGCTGCTTTGTCAGGAACAAGCAACACGAATCCTCCAAGCTATGTCAGTGGAGAAGTGCTCAAGCTACAGGCTATCCAGGCCCACTTCAAGAACGCGGGCATAGTACCTGATGGTCTGCCCTCTTTTGATCCCAAGGCTGAACTCGTGGCGAATTATGCTGGCGAGTCATGCTCTGTTAGCTCTCGTCTTGTTTTATTGACCGATCTTGGCTCATAGGCGTCGGGGAGACTAGCCCTGGTCAATCACTGACGAGAGCTCGTAAGATATGTTATCAGCTCGGAGGATGTCACTGACTGATGCTCTACAGAGGTCGCATCTGCACCTACATTCACCGTGACGCCAGGAAGCGGATCCCTGTCGGGGACTTACACTCTGGCTATGGTCGATTTTGGGCCTGTTGGCTCCGATCAATCCAAAGGCGTTACGCGTCATTGGCTTGTCAATGGCCTTACCATCACTAGTGAGTTTTCGACATCTAACCTTACCACCCAGGCCTGAAACAATGTCGATAGACTCGGCCTTTTCGAACACATCAGCAGTCGCCATCACACAGTATGCTGGACCAGCCCCTCCTGCTGGATCCGGACCCCACCGGTACGCCTTCCTTCTTTTGTTCAAAAAGACGGGTCTAGATGTGTTGCGGTCGCAGATATGCATTCCTCCTCTGGGAACAGCCTTCCACTTTCACCGCACCCGCCGCGTTCTCTCAACCGAATATGGGTGTTTCGACATTTGACGTCAACGCGTATGCCACGGTATGTCTGATTGACCTGCGCTCTAGAGCGCTGACGATCCATGTTCAATACAGGACGCCAAATTAGGTGCTGTCATCGCCGTACGTTACCCCCTAGCATCTTTATTTCGCTCATATACTCACATCACGATAGGGCAACTACATCACGGTCGAGGAAGGCACAGCGACGGCTACGCCGTCGCCCACGGCTGCGGTCGAAACATCGACGTTGCCAGCTGCGTCGGTGCCTACGATCTCCATCCGCGCGAGCGCTACACCGTTGGGAAGCGGCAACGGAGCGCACGCGCTTTCTGCACAAGGGGCTGGCACTTACGGATTGTTGGCCCTCGGTGCTATTGTTTTTACTGTGTTCGCTTGATGAAGCGATGGCGATATGCTTATGCTTAATGCCTATCTACCTATATTTTCTTGGTTTAGTCTCGCGTCAATGCTACTCAGTTAACGCTCATTGAACAAACTCACGATGAGATTTGTCCAATCACCCTGCGCGGCCGTGCAGTTACTTTAGACTTGCGCGACAGAAAGTGAAGGCCAGCTGCATGATTTCCACCGTTTCCTTGTGACACTCGTAGCTAGTTCTGTATATATACCCAGCAACGACTGTACACGCCTCCAAGCTCTGAGGCTAGCGCTGAAGGGGTTGCTCCCACGCTGGGCACCTTCGCAGTGATCATGCAACCACCGCTCCCCCTCGAACTAATCATCAGTATCGTCTCGTTCCTCGTTGAACCCCGGACTCGCAAGGACGCAGAGATCAACGTTATCAACCGTTCAACGCCAAACATTCGTGGTCAGGCCTCTCGTGATCTCCTTACTTGCTCCCTCGTATGCCGTACGTGGAAGGATGTGTGCCAGGCTCTCATCTTTCGCTGGATTCGCATATTTTGCTACGAGGACATGGTCGACGGGTTCTCGTTCTTCCATTTCACAGTGCCCCGTCTATGCAAACACGTACTCGAGTTCAGTCTGGTGTTCAGCGGGGACATTGAATCGATCCCGAGATGGATGGATGAATGCCTTGGCCGGTTCACGAATCTCCGTAAACTGGAGCTGATATACTGGTCGGATATGGATGCGGCAGTCAGTTTTCAATTGGCGCAAGGGATTGCGTCTTTACTTGACACTATCAACCTTAAACATCTTTCCCTATTATTTTGCGACAATTTCGATGATCTACTTCGCATCCTACCCGCTTGCTCGGCGACGCTTGAGCGTCTTACGATCCAGGGACATGATGGATATACTCCTACGACTGTGTTGACCACCCCTTTGGCCGTACGTTTAGAAGCCCTTCGCAGTGCGGAGCTATACGGCCTTCTCAATCCATTCACCCAAACGAACACCATTGAATGTCCAAACCTGGAGTCTGTCACCATCCTTCATTACCGGCGTGGCCCTTGGGGGCTACCGCCATGGATCCCAGCGAGCATCACCAAGCTCATCCTACAAGGTACATCTCACCCCAATGCTATTCTGACTTCATATGACACTCTTTCTAGTTTCGTCTACCTCTGGTCGTCTTCAGTTCAGCCGAGCCGTTTATCCCGCCAGCCTGAAGATTGAACTGAACTCACTCATTGGTGACGTCGCGTGGGTGACGGAATGCATTAATCACCTTCCCTTTCTCAACTATCTCCAACAGCTTGAGATAAAGATCTCGAGCGCAAGGAACAAGTTTATCCTGCCACCATCTGCACACTACGAGGCGCTATGCCGTCTCCTGCAACCCCTTCAACGTCCTACGCTCCTGTTGCATATCATTTTCTCGGTGGACGTCAGACGGTGCGTGGATATCGGGGTCGGTGAGTTGGAGGATGTCAGAGTGGGACAGGAGGGGAGGTTGGAAGAGGCGTTTGCACCGTTGATAAAAGCAGGCGGATTCTCGGCTCAACTGGTTGTTCGATATCGGGGTAGCGAGGAAACCCCGCCAGCGGTCATGCAATGTAGCGTTTAAAGAACTCGGAACGCGGGGTATGATGCCGTGGCATCTTAATGGAAGGGATGGGATTGGTGGTAGTGACAGGCTTTGACGAGTGCATGGTATGATGTCCACTATTAGGTGATTCCCTGATTTGATCTTGTATTCTGTAGAATGCATTACCCCACACTTGGGCTTATCCCTTCGTTGAGACGGTGTGCTCGATTTATAATACAACGACGTGTTGTTTTCGGGGATGTTTTGCTTTTGCAAGCCCCCGTGGCGAACTTTGCATTGACAAAGACGGCACAGCCTGAACGGGTGCCCATGGCTAGTAAGGCGCGCGCGGCGACATTGATATTAAATCACCAGCGTCAAAGATGCGAAGTACCTGCCAGCTACCCCGACTTCCCTCCATTCGCCCTCTCATAACTATCCGATGAGCGGTCGATAACGGTGTTTCGCGCTCATGGTACTCACACACTATGGTCCTGAACTCCATCTAACCATCCTTCCATACCTCTCGGGGCGACAGTCCGCATATTTCAAGAAGGAGGCTGTCAAGTGAACATACTTCTGAGCTCTAAGGATCCCATGTTCGGGACCACTATAGGCGACTGGTTCCGATCTACTTGGAATTCCGGCCAAACGCTAAAACGGAAGGAGGGGCTTTCTCCTCCTTCAGATCTCCACGCATAACATCGTTGCTCCTTGCGTGTGCCCCGGTACCAAAGCTATGCAGTTCATGTCTTCATGCTGGGTCGCCCTGGCCCTCTGCCTTTGCTCCTCCATGCATCTGTTGTTCCTCGGGACAATGCTGACAAGATAACGACTGATATTCTGGTAGCAGACGATATTCCCACCGTTGGGATGCTCGTCCTTGCTGCAGGCACAGTATCCGCTATGATAATCAAGCATATCGCCGACCACACCGGCGAAGACAGGGTCAGCCTAGTCGGAGAATACCCTCTGGCACAGTTGTAAGCCACTGCACACTGTGGCGATGATGGAAGAGAATAACTATGAGAGATGCTGTTGAATGGAGGTACTAGGCGTGCACCAGCAGTTTTCCGGAAGGCCTGAATATCGATTATTGAATGGCGCAATCGTTCCAGAATCCGCGTATATTCGCTTTATCCTTCGGAATCGTATACTCACCGGTGATAAATGAGGCGAAGCCTCTAAATCATTTACTTTCCTTCTCAGCTTCTCCACTTCTCCAACTCATTCAAATATGACGTACGCAGCCTGCCGTTCTGAAATCCGACAGTTGCGATGCTAGGCGCAACACTGCTCGGAAGCTTGCCTGAATGTCAAGCTTGTCAGGTGCGCATCCCTTTCTCTCAGATTCGCAAGCGAAATGAACCTGACCCTATCGATGGCATCGGTCTGGTCCCTTCTATGAATACGATGTTCGGAGAGACTTCGTCGCCGGAACCAAGCTCAGCCCAATCCAGCCATGCTTTGATTTGACAGATTGACCAGACAAGGTACTTCTGTCCAGTGTTACCTCATTTTAGCTATATGTAGTGCATACCGCCGGAGACAAAGCCATCTACACACAAGTGAGCTTCTATATGTCAGGAGAACTCGGCCACCGTTGTTCGACCATGGCTGCGGTATGATGCATGTCGTGGCGCTATAGGTCGAACTTTGAAGTAAGAGCTGCCGCTGGGTTCTAATCGGAGGAGTGGCAAAACACCGTCTCAGCCAGCGAACATCTAGGTAGTAAGTATCTGACTCCAGAATCATCGCCACCTGTTGGTTTGAATCATATAAATAGTTTGCGTTCATATGCCCAACCCTCACCAACAGAGCCTTTCCTTCTACCTCCCTTCAGAAAATGTCTCGTACGAAAACCACTTGGGAAGACCTCGCTCACCTCGGCTGGTACAGATATGGGATCTTTCTGGCTCTCAACCCTGTACGCGGCAACACCATGAAAGGGAGTGAGGATGTTACACTCAACGATGACAATGCCAACCCTGGGCGAGTCTCGCTATCATGGCCGTTCAACGTAACAACTAACGTGCACACACACACATTTAGTTTCTACTGCTACAATACGTACAAAGGAGCACCGAAGATGCAAGCTCCCAGCTACTCTGAATCGACCACCCAAACGGTCGTTTGGGAGTATAATAACCGTACACATGAGGTCTTCAAGGATTCATGGCGTGAAAGTTGGCAGAATACGGAGCATGTCTCTGCCACTGTTACGAAAGGCGGTAAGGATGACAATTCATGTGTTGAACTGCAAAGTGATCCTTAATCGAATGACTACGATAGCAACTATCCGTATCAACAGCAGTGTGCACATCGAAGGTCTCTTTGACCTACCAGTAGGCTTTGACTTCTCGCAAGACTCTGAACAAACAAAGTCTCGCGACAAATCCTATGAATTTACGTATGTCTGGAACTTAATGTGGGATGTCTTTTAACTTCATGTGCTACGCACTGCTAACCCCAACATTTCTCAGCGTCGAGCCCGGTCAGCATGGGCGCCTTGTACGTACCACAACTACCAAAGTTGGAACTCAAGAGTGCCTGGTAGTGCGTAACACTTTTGTTACTTTGTCCGTGCTTGAGCCAGCCTGACAACGTGTTAACATCCAAGACATTCGGGTTGGAGGATTATCCAAACGACCAGATCGGGAGTAAGCAACCCATTATCACTGTCTTTCTTCTATGTTCTACTGAAGATGGCCACCGTAGCCAAAGGGGCAATGTAAGTATGTGTGTTTAATTGCTACGCAATGAATAACATGTGTTTTGCAGGTGGAATGGATACACCAACTGGGTAATATCCCTTTCTACAGACCCAGATCTGGCTTGCTAACCTGATAAACTAGGGCTATTCCGCGCATAGTTACCTCACTAAGCATCCCCTTTCGGGGACGATGGTTATTTCTGCCAGTCTCAACAAGGTGGATCATAGCTATTTCTTCGAATATCTCGACTCCAAGGGGGAAGTTGTCAGCAAGGAACTGGTGTCAATGCCGACTCATGGGATGCTCTCCCTGAATGGCGGAGAGGCCACCGCTGTCGCGTTTGCCGTTGGGAGGAACATAGACGATGGGAAGGCTGTTGCATAGGTGATGATACGTAGAGGTCGAGTGTTGTACTCGTTCTACAAATTGCGATCTGTATAAGCGCTTTTTGATTGATTTTGAAGTTTGACGGACAATTTGGCCGCCGCGACCGATGCCCTTATTTAACGCGTATGGTGGATCTTGTAAGCAGTTGCTCGATGGAGTCGTTTTGTTTCTCAGCGCGTCTTTGGTACGGCGGTCTTCCATACGTCAGTAGCAACGTCGGTTTGAGAGGCTGCAATTCGAATTTCGCGCGCCGTGTTGATGAATCGGTGAATCGGCAGACTTTGGGGCTGGCGTGGGGGTGCGGCTTGAGTTTGCAGACGCGAGGGGTAGTGCTTGGTTTGGTTGGGGGTTGGATGCGTCGCTGGTGTGAGGGTAAGTTGCATCGTGGCGGTAACAATATAACGATGTAGTTGTAGAACGAAGGAATGTGTTTAGGGCCTCTGGTGGAAGATACTGAGATAGAGAGGCGCACTGGGATGCGGGCCAGCGCCAGGCGAGCGCTATCTATGATAGTCGACTATTAGACGGTTCACGTACCTTCTGTACAACGGCGTTGACCAAAGGGAGTCGGAGGGACCCATCACAGGCATAGAGCAAGGGAGGGCTGTATATTCTGCCATACGTGCCCGTTCACATTCAGACATTCAGAGATACACCCGGTAATTCCCATTCTCAGCTACCAGGCGCACACCTGCGGAGTGAGCCCACTGTATTGATTACAACCAGGCCGTCAGCTTTTTACAGAAAACGAGCCGCTAGGCCATCACGGTGGGGAGAAAGACATACATCAGCACTGGCTGGGTTATGGACGGTCACAAACCTGCCGCGGTGTTTGGACCACCAGACCACGAACCTATGTACGGATAGAGTGAGGAATGAGATGGTGACAGAGAGGTGGCTCGATACACACGTTTCGGCTTCAGTGAGCGAGGTTTGTACGGGAATCCAAACGGAGCCCCAATCGTGGCCGAGAATGCCCAGGGATTCTTGGCCTGTCACGGGGACAAATGCCTTGACTGCGACCAGCACCAACGAGGGGTCTCTGCTGTGGGCGTCGTTGATGATGTTTTCAATTACCGAGTGTGGGTTCTGGGCACGGTCAGCTGGATGATGCGGTTGCGAAGGAGGGGCTCTCACGTCTCTTGTGGAAACATACTTGCCGATGTTCTTGTTCTCGCCGATGCCGCTGTGGATGAGGTCGAGGATCAAAGCAGATGCGACGTTGGCAGCTACGGCCACAAGCCCGCCGATGGCGATGGCGGCCAGTGGGCCGAGGTCGTCGGTGGTGTCCTCGGCGTCGCTGCGGGGAGCCAGGACGGACGCCTGTAGGAGCAAAGGTAGCAGGCTGCCCAGGATCAGTACGGAGGAGAGCTTGAGCTGCATGGCTGGTTAGGGCGAACGGTGAAAGACGGTGCGGTGCTTGCTCAGACTTTATACGGAGCGTTGGGCGTGATTCGGGGCCGGCTGTCAGCTGGGAGGTGCCAGTATGGGACACTATATACTAGGCTTCTACGGTAGGAAGTGCTGAGGACCCGCAAGGATGTCATCGCGTTTCTAAAACGCGTGTAGGCTGGTGTCACGGAGGGCATGGAAGAATCGTAGTGTGATGTTCTTCTCCGACCGCTGTTCAAACAGCTGGTTCTTGGTTTTTGGTTCTTGACACGGCGATTAGTGTGCGAAGCGAGCGGATTGGAATTTGCAGGATTTGTGGGCGGGTTGAGATGCATGTGATAAGAGTGCAAAGCGGAGATGGATTGTCACATGTTCCGTGTCACGCTCCCCGCTCGCTATAGCCGACTGAGGTTGTTGACGACTACGACGATGTCTGCAGGATTCCGGATCACGCCTGCGCTATGGGACAAGATCCACCACTTTGCATCCTTCCCCCAGACCGGTGTCTCGCTGCAGCAGATGGTCCTCTTTGGCCAGAATCCCAGCCAGGGCACCCTCCTCCGTGCTTCCCAGTTCCTGGCAGAGGAGCTGCCTGTCCGTCTGGCGCATCGCTGCAAAGAGCTCGATGAGCTGCCGCACAATCTCAGCGCCATGCCCTCCATCAAGCGCGTCAAGAACTGGTACGCACAGTCCTTCCAGGAACTCATCACCTTCCCCCCTATCACCCTCCCCCACAAAATACGCCGCGCGCTCATGGACTCGCGCTCAGAAGACCACCTCCCCGAGTCCCACCCCAATCCCTCTCTCACGAGCTTCCTCGACGACTCCTACAACCCCCACGCGCCACATACCCAAGAGCCCTATGCCGGCAATGGCTATAACAAGCTCAGGCTGAGGGTTCCCATGGAACGCAGGTGCGTCGCAGCGTTCTTGCATAACTGACATAATATATAACAAGAGCGCGACGCAGATACTACGCATCCACAAACGACATCGCCTGGCCCCCAGAGGTCCACGCATACAACACCGCCTTCACAAAGCTCCTCCACGCCATCAAGGCCCGCCACGACCCCACCGTCACCACCGTCGCACAGGGCGTCCTCGAGTGGAAGAAGCGCGAGAACGCACGCCACATCGGCCTCGACATCCAGAGCTGGCTCGACCGCTTCTACATGTCCCGCATCGGCATCCGCTTCCTCATCGGCCAGCGTGAGTCCCCTCTATCTCACCTAAACCGCTCAATCCTCATCATTCATGTCCCCCAGACGTTGCCCTCAACAACCAGTCCCCCCACCAGGACTACGTCGGCATCATCTGCACAAAGGCAAACGTACACGACATCGTCCAAGAGGCCATCGAGAACGCCCGCTTCGTCTGTGAGGAGCACTACGCCATGTTCAAGGGGCCCCCCGTGCAGCTCATCTGCCCAAACGACCTCGAGTTCCCCTACGTACCAGGTCACCTCTCACACATATGCTTCGAGCTCCTCAAGAACTCCCTCCGTGCGGTCGTCGAGCGCTACGGCGTCGACAGCGACGCCTTTCCCGCCATCAAGGTCTGTCTCCCGTCCCTCACCGCGATACTACCCTAATGCGCCCCCAGGTCATCGTCGTCGAGGGCTCAGAGGACATCACCATCAAGATCTCAGACGAGGGCGGCGGCATCCCCCGCTCAGCCATCCCCCTCATCTGGACCTACATGTACACAACCATGGAGACAAAGGCCGTCATCGACCAGGACTTTCGCGCATCAGACTTCAAGGCCCCCATGGCCGGCTTCGGCTACGGCCTCCCCCTCTCACGCCTCTATGCCAGGTATTTTGGCGGCGATCTAAGGCTCATTAGTATGGACGGCTTCGGCACGGATGTCTATATCCACTTGAATCGCCTCAGTAGTTCCAGGGAACCCCTGCAGTAGCCACACACACTCAAGCAGAATGTATTCTAGTGTAGTATTGTCAAAGTGCTGAGGTCTGCATCCACTCACTTTGTTCACATATATTGTTGGAGATTTCCTATCACACTTTTATTAAAAGCAGGGAAATATGTGGTTTGAGCCAAAATACTTTATCAGGAATTGAAGTATCTGCTCTGACAAATATGGCATAGGTACACACTCATTTGCTCCAGCAGTTACACAGCGTGCAGGATCAAATGAGATTGTTACGTGGGAATTATCATTGAAGAAGATCCCATACCAGGCACTTACTTGGGCTTGAAGGGCTGATGCTGGGAGCATGGCATGTACAAGACCATTGAAGACTGGGGCATACTCAACACTTGGGCCACATATGTTTGGGTCATGTTCAGAATCTCCAACTTGCACAGGGTGCAGGATCAAATAATACTGGGCCTTGTATGAGATTGTTATGTGGGAATTATCGTTGGTAAAGATCCCATATCAGGCCCCGTAATATGCAATCAATATTATGGAGTTGGATCTGTCCAAAAACCCTATCCCGACTAATCCGGCCAAACTTGAGTGCCTGAAACATTTTTTGGTGCCGAAACATTTTGCTGGCTACCGAACATTTGACTCAATGGCAAGCAACAGTTTATTGCTCCTTATGCGACACTTTCTAAGATGTTGCCCGAACTTTCATTCATTTCCCGAACAATTCCATATGTTTGCACGGACACTTTTTCCTAGCGAACACTTTTCTTTTGAATTGATGCCGAAGGCGCTTATGAGCTGTACTGACCGTGAAATAGCTGTACACTGACTGTGGGAAAATGGGCCATTAACATGCCCTGTGCCCTTACGTTTGCTATTGCCTCGCTGTGATCGTTTCTTCTGGCAGGCCACTATGACAATAGTCACCCCAGGTATGTGTATTCATTTACACTGTTATACCACTGTCTGACACCCCATGTTGTCGGATTGATATCGTCGGCCTCCCTCTCTTGCTGGCTCCACGACAGTCAATAGTAGTAGGTGTGTACATTCACATTCTGTTGCCACAGGCTGACCTCTCCCGCTGGCTGTAGCAGCACTTCCATGGTCGCCTCGTTGCCGCCTCCATGGCCTCGTCATCGTCGCTTCGATGCTCGCCTCATCGTTGTCACCTCCATGCTGTCGTTGTTGTCGCCCCACTGTCGCTTTGATGCTCGCCTCGCTGTCGCCTCGTTGTCGCCTCCATGCCCTCGTTGTTGTCGCCTCGCCGTTGCTTTCGATGCCCCCGTCATCGCCTCGCCATTGCTTCGATGTCCTCGTTGCCTCGATGTCCTCATCGCCGCTTCCATGCCCTCGCCGCCGCCTTGCCGTCGCTTCCATGCCCTCATCGCTGCCTTGTCGTTGCTTCCATGCTCGCCTCTATGCTCGCCTCTTCTGTCCTCACCCCTTTGTTTTATTTACAATGAAACAGATGTATTAGGTGTTAAAAATGATAACTAACATATTTAATATGAACAGTTTAAATATTAACCAGTGAAATAAGTTAAGCGACTGAATCAGATGAATGAGTGTCGTGGTATGTGGGTATATGGGGCCGATATTGAGAAGTCTAGGAGTTATCTGAGTATCACAATTAGAAGTAATAGTTTGATCCACTAGCCCAAGGATCGTCAAGTAAAGCTGGTTCATCACTAAAGGAGGATCGAGCCTGTACTATCGGGGTGGTCTCCTCCATCTCATTGTCAGTGTCGGTCAGATCAATAGCAGCAGTGGGGGGGCATGGCCGCAATGAAGTAGGGGTAGATCCACGACGAGTCCATCGGTTTTCAGGTTCTATTATCAGATGAAATCACTGCCATATATTTCTGAGATCCTCAACCATACCTTTACCCTTTCTTGCTTTCTTCGCCTTCGGCCCTTCATATTTGCCATCATCACTAGGCTCAGGTTCATCTACTATACTTGAGTGTTCGCTCTTGTGCTAAGACGACATAAATCACCCATCATCACCAGTTCCATCCAGCTTGAACTTGAGGCCAGTGGTCGCTGCTGCATTCTGTTTCCAAGAAGCCAGCAGGGAAGATGGTACGGGGTCCACAGTTACTGTCATGACAATAAAACCACCAGTGAGTTACAGGCAAAGTGACAATTCTGACAACTTACCCAAATACACTGCAGGAAGCCATCAGTATTTCCGTAGATAAAGTAATTAATTCAAATGTACAATTTTCCAATTGATTCATCCATGAATATATTTATTATTCGACTGTTAACAAAGTGTTGGATAGCTAAATTATTTAACAGCATATTTTTCCTGTGACAAATGAAAAATGAAAGCAAAGATAAAGTGAACAACAAAGATAACATTTGGCCATTGCTTTACCTGCTGGTAAACCTTTCCTATAGGCCATGTTTTATCTCTGGACAAAGCAATCCCTTTGTTCAAACAATAGAAAAGTTTGACTTTGGAAGAACCAATTGACAAAGCATCTCTTTGCTTAAATCTAAAGAGATTGACAAAATGATGATTTGTATGTCTACTTTGACCACAGACATATTTTTTACATTCCAGAAGATGTTCCATTTGTTGGATAAATAATTTCACTGCAACTTTACATGAAGGCGAAGAAAAGGAATATCAGGGGACAAATATAGGAGTAATAGGGTACATTTATGTCAGTTGGTTTTTCTTGCGACAAAGTAATGGTGATCCGCAGTGATAGAGCACCATGTCTGACAATTTGGTCCGCTTCGGGACTGCAACAAGCCATTGAATATCGTTTCCTGTCATCATCGACCTTGCTGGAATCAACTGTAACTTGGTGTAGCTCCTAACAAGAGGAAGCATATAAGGGGGATGCGAGCCAGGGATACTATCAAAATACAAGTAAAGGTCAGGAAAGAGATTACTGAGAATCTCTCCCACTTCCCCGCTTGTTGCCTGAGCATGGAACTCGAAACCCTGTTCAAAGTCACAGGCGAGTAACTGGGGGGGGGTGGTCAAGCATATCGTATTTCTTTGGAGCAGCCTCAACATTGAGACCAACAATGTAAGGGGACACTCCTATTTTCTCTCCTTTCCTTCATCCCATGGACTCTTACCTACATTCCCTTCATTCCCCTTCGTTCCTTTTCGCTCCCTTTCCTTTCCACTTCCTTTCCGCCCACTCCTTTCGCATCCGAGCCACGTCCGGTGACTCCGGAGTCCTCCCGCACTTCGGACACTTCGGACTCGCTCGGACTCGCTCGGACTCGTTTCGGACACTTCGGACTCGCTCGGACTTGTCTATACTCTTCGGGGCTCATCCGGGTTACCTCTATCCTTTTCCCCCACTTCATTACTCTTCGCCCTTACTTCCCCAAGTCGCTGGCACGACTCCTGTGCATTTACCCTCCACTTCATTATCACATGTTTCCTTGTACCTTGTGATATTCGTTCGGACTTGTGGCTGGTGTACTGTACAGTTATCCTGCATTCCTCTCATGCTACTACAGTATATACTTCGCTTCCTAGCATGGAGAATCCTTATCCTGTTCTCTTTGGATTCTCCCTCTGCTAGGTGAGCAGCCCTCTCATGTACTGTAATTAGTCTTATTCATTATCTTTGGATTCTCCCTCTGCTAGGCCTGCGCTGTCGGCCATCTTGAGGTTGCCCTTACAAACAATATCATCATCTTGCTATAGAATTGAGGTAAGTGTAGGTTAGCCAAAGTTCAGAAGTGTGCCTGTAAATGAGGACATACTTTCTGAGTTCCATGGGGATTGATATAAATACAACCGATATGTGTAGCAGGGGTTTCGTCGCTGTCATCAGCTCTCTAGTATATGCCAGTTAAAGAGAGGAGCACTGATTCAAGAATGACATACCTTTCGCTTTCCCCCTTTCTTCGTCGAGGTAGCGAGTAGCCCCCTGTTGGCCTCTTCGTTTGCTTTTCTGAAAGCAAAACCAGGCTTACGACTACTGACAGAAGAAGTCGAATTTGAACTAGCTGACACAATCTGCCTCAGTATATTTGAGACAGCTGATGACGACGATGACATTGTTATGACAAAAAGAAGGACAGAAGCTGGAGATTATAAGGAGTGGTGAAACAGTTGATGTGGTTCAGGTGAAAAGCAGCAAAGTGTCGGTGAACATCAAACAAACAAACATGCTGACGAATAGGAGCCATCACCAGGGGTCACAAACTCCACTACTTCTTCGTCACCACATAATTTCCACTGTGCCAACTCATCAATTTGACAGTAGGCATCAGCGACACGCTGGGAATATGTGAAAACAGTTCCGATATTGGGTATGCCATTATAAGCACATGTGGAGCCATGAAGATTGGTAGGAACCCAGGCAGTGACGGTACCTGCAGCACCACGGACAGAGACTCGCAATGTAACATCCACAAAAGATGAACCCAACACTGGGCTGATGTCTTCTGTGGCATCACTTTCACGGTTGACTGTCCATGACACTGAGTACCGGCACGCCGATCTATCCACATGTGCTGGACTACAGCTAACATGAGTTCAAAATAGAAGAATAAGATACTATCACATACACTGCATAACAAAGAGCAAAGTATGCCTCTGGTGGTGCTCTGGAAGCTGATGGGAAGTTATACAACTTCTTGTTGAAGTGATGTGCACACTTGTTGTACAAATGTATAACAAAGTTGCGCTATACCAAGCGCCTGGTTCCCACGCATTGGGGACCACCCATAGACACTGCCAACACACATGGGAACGACCCAGGTCATCATGGGATGACTGGTGTTGACAGTATTGCTAAAAGTGCGCAAGCACTGTTTAGCAATCTGTACATACATTACAAGCGCACGACTCCCACGGTCAATGCAACGTTCCCACGTTCAGCGCCCCATTAGTAGGTCTGTTGACCTCTATTGTGACGGCCGGAACAGGCTGTTAAACTATAGGCTATTATAGTTTGATCAGAAGCTTGTAGAAGCGTCCTAATGCACTCTAATTGCCTTGGTAACAATCACTAATGATGTTGATGCAATCAATCAATAATATGTAATGATTTGCGCTCTATTGACTCTTTGTGTCTATTACTCTAGACATGTATGGAAAATGACCATCCCAGGTTCCCACGGGTACTGTTCTGCGCGAGGCGTGAATATAGGTGTCCACTAAATCGCGTCCGAATTTGATTAGCTCCGGAGCAGCTTGGGAACATGCCAGACATCATTCTAATGATGGCTCCATGTTTCATTTTCGCTCCTTTTGCTTCCCTGCTGAGACCGAGGCGTTCCGGTGCCTGTTCCGGCCGTCACAATAGAGGTCAACAGACCTACTAATGGGGCGCTGAACGTGGGAACGTTGCATTGACCGTGGGAGTCGTGCGCTTGTAATGTATGTACAGATTGCTAAACAGTGCTTGCGCACTTTTAGCAATGCTGTCAACACCAGTCATCCCATGATGACCTGGGTTGTCCCAATGGGTGTTGGCAGTGTCTATGGGTGGTCCCCAATGCGTGGGAACCGGGCGCTTATGTAGCGCAACTTTGTTATACATTTGTACAACAAGTGTGCACATCACTTCAACACAACCCCCTGATGCAACACTTGGTGGACCCACGTATTGGGGCACCCACAAACAACCCCCTGGCCCAATACGTCCTCCTATCCCACCAATCCCATCATCTCCCTCAACCTTTCCACTTGTGGTTTGGCCAGTGCTTTGGTGAGCAGGTCTGCCGGCATTTCCTCTGTTTGAAGATAGACTGGCTGGATGCGCTTGCAATCAACTTGATCGCGTAACCAAAAGAAGCTCAAGTCTAGTTGCTTCATTCTGCCATGGTGTTCGGGGTTCTTTGCCACTCTAATCGCTGACTGGTTGTCCATGTACAGCGTGGATGGTGCAGTTGGCTTGTAACCAATTTCTGAGAGGAGGTTCTTCATCCAGCATATCTCTTTACCAGCAGCAACCCCAGCAACATACTCGGCTTCAGTGGTTGATAGAACAACCATCTGTTGCGCTTTACTGCTCCAGCAGACCGCTCCCAGCCCAATCTTAACCAAGTAACCACTTGTAGACCGCCCTGTCCCTTTATCACCGCCGTAGTCTGCATCACTGTATGTGACGAAGATTTCATCTCCTATGGCGGGATCAGGTCCATATACCAACTTCATATCCATTGTGCCCTTCACATAACGTAGCAGGTGCTTTACAGCCTTCCAGTGGATCATGCCTGGGTTCGAGTTGAACCTAGCCAGTGCACTCGCAGCAAAGGCTATATCAGGCCGGGACATTGTAGCCAAGTACAATAAGGAGCCGACAGCACTCATGTAGGGTATATCCACCATCTCTTGTGCCTCTTCATACGTCTTGGGACAGTCATCTGTGGTCAACTTCATACCCGGAGCCATGGGAGTCCCCACTGGTTTGCAATCAGACATATTAAACTGTGCAAGCTTGTTGACAATGTACTGACGCTGCGAGATGTAGAGTTTGTGGTTGTCCCAGTCTCGTGTTATTTCCATGCCCAGCAGATACGAAGTCTCCCCCAAGTCCCGCAACTTGAAATGCTTTTCCAGCTCAATCACAAACTTGTCCAGAGCATCCTTTGATTTCGAAGCAAGAGTGATATCATCCACCCACACTGGGACTATGATTCTGACAGTGCCATCATCATAGATGTAGAGTGAGGGGTCAGAGTAAATCTTCTTGAAGCCCATTGAATGTAGTGCTTCACCCAGCTTCTCACTCCACAACCGAGGTGACTGCTTCAACCCATACAGAGACTTGTTCAATTTGCAGACTATCCTTCCTTGACCCTTGGTTACACCTTGCTTAAATCCCTCAGGCTGCTCCATATACACCTCAGCATCAATATCACTGTTTATGAATGCCTGCGAAATGTCAACTGAGCGCAAGTGCAGATGATCTCTAGCAGCTAGAGCGAGCACAGTCCTGATGGTAGCGTGTCTAGATGGCGAAGCAAAGGTCTCATTATAGTCAAATCCGGGTCGTTGACTAAATCCTTTAGCAACAATCCGACCCTTGAACCGTTCAATGCTTCCGTCTGCATGATATTTGACCCGAAAGACCCATCTGACTCCAATTGCCACTTTTCCTTCTGGCAGAGGTTCCAGTGTCCAAGTCCCATTAGCAAGCAGCATATTGTATTCAGCTAGTGCAGCCTCATGCCATTGTGCAGCGTGAGGCGACCTCATTGCCTGAGCATAAGTCTCTGGCTCTACTAGTTTGCCAACAGGACCAGCCTCCAAAGCTTCTTCTTCAGACTGAGAATCATCATCATCTAAAGCAGGAGTTGGATCTCGCATTTCCCAGACGTCCGGAGTTGCCTCCCTGGCCTTTGGAGGTGCAGCAGGAACCTTCCACCATTCCCCTGGAGGTCTGATGTCGCGTTTTGGTCTTCTAACAGCCACAGGTCTATCATCGACTTCAGCTTCATCATCACTGTCATCCACACGAGGTGCAGCTCTTCTGCGACGAGGACGAGGTGGGGGTATCTCCTCTGGCTCTGGTGTCTCCTGTTGCGCTTCACCCTCCACCTGTTCTTCTTCTTTCACATTATCATCATCAACAGTGTCATTCTCACTGCTATTGTCCTCATCGTCATTATCATCAACTGCAGGCAAGTCTATAACCCTTTGCTGAGCATCATTGTTATCCTTGGATGGTGCCTCTGGTGCGCTCTGCTGACTGGTTTTCGGAGGGACTGGTTCGGAGAGATCGTGCTCATCAATGCCTTTTAGAAGTTGGCCACTGTAAGTGTAGCGCTCATCAAAGTCTGCGCGTTCACAGATGATGACCTTCTTCGTCTTGGGATTGTAGAATTTCCAACCCTTGTACCCATCAGGATACCCAATGAATATGCACTTCTCCATATGCGAACCCAAATGCTCCCTCTTGTCCTTCTGGACATGCACATAAGCAACACATCCCCATACCCGCAAATGCCCAACATCAGGTTTTCGTCTGTGCCACACCTCATATGGCGTAGCATGAGCTACTGAAGACGTGATGCATCGGTTCAAGACATGAACAAGTGCAGCCAAACACTCAGCCCAAAAGGCCTTTGACAATCCAGCCTCATCTAGCATTGCAGTGATCCGTTCACTAAGAAGTCTGTTTGCACGCTCAGCCACCCCATTCTGCTGTGGTCTGTTTCGCACTGAGAAGTGCCTTTCTATCCCATGCTCCTCCAAATACTTGTCAAACTCTTTGCTCATGAATTCACCACCCTGGTCGCATCTGAAGACTTTGATATGCTTGCCAGTCTGATTCTCAGCCCATGCTTTGAACCGCTTAAAGGCAGCAAAGACTTCGCTCTTCAGCTTCAGGGGGACTACCACCTTCAGCTTGGAGTAGTCATCAATGAATGTGACCCAATATTTCTGACCAGAGTGGGAATCAATGCCAACATAGTGAACATCAGAGTGTACCAATGCCAACAGCTCATCAGCTCTGTTGGTTGACGAAGGAAATGGATTTGCATGCATCTTCCCAGTCAGACAGGGAATACAAACAGGATCTGGCTTTGCAGAAGAGTCCAGTGTCAGTCCAACCACCATTTCATCCTTAATCATCTGCTTAATTCCGTCATGGTGTTGGTGGCCAAGCCGTCTATGCCATAGAGTCAGATCCAAAGGCAGAGTGGACGCAACATGAACAAATTCATTTGTATCTATAGTACTACCATCCAAATAGCCTATACCAGCATCATTGATTGTAGCACAGAACAAAAGAACATCATTACGAACAAACTCCATTTTCTCCTTTGTGATATGAACATTAAAGCCTTTATTGCGAGTCAAATACAAAACAGCAAGCAGATTATTGCACAATGCAGGAACATAGAGTACTCTAGTGATCTCCACATCTCTAACTTGTCTACCATTAACTACAGGTCTGAAGAGCACATTTCCGACGCCCTCACTATATACAATGGTGTGATCCGCTAGCCTGATTGGCACTCTATATGTGGTATAATTGCGAATCCATTCTTTGTGAGGTGTCATATGAGAAGTGGCCCCTGTATCTGTATTCCAATGGGTATCATTAGAAAATGCAGCGCAAGCTTCATTCATAGAACGAGCACTTGCCTGACCAGCAAACTCCGTCGCAGCATCTGCCTTTTCCACTGCCACTTTGGCATTGCTCCCCCCTGATCCACTTTCTTTGTTGCTAGCAATGACCTTCTTCAATGCTTCGCAATCCTTCTTCCAATGACCCTTGCCCTTGCAGAATGAGCAGGTGTCTGCATCAACTGTGGGGTGACCTCTGCCCTTTCCATTATATGCCCCACCCTTCTTTCCATAACCCTTGTGACTGGCTCTATTTGCTTGCTCAGTCTGGCGCTGACGATTAAGCTCTTCGCTTCGGAATGCTTGGAGTATAGTATCCTTGTCCAGCTTTTCCATTAGCAACAAAGAAGCTGACAAGTGCTTGTATTCATCAGGCAGAGCCCGAATCAATGCCATGCACTGTAGTTCCTCGTCTAACTGCTCAATGGTAAAGCCTGTTGGACGCAGATTTTGGATATTAGCCATGGCTTTGCTAATCCTGACTCCCAAATCGATGAGACCTTCGTTGTCCTCCTTGTGGATTGAGAACAGGTCGTCATATGCATTGAAGCGTGCGCCGGGCTTCTTGGACAGGTGTGCCTTCTCTATGGCAGCCCACATTCCCACTGGATCATCCTCTAGACCTCGGAAATGAATCCTTTGGTCCGCTTCAACCAACAGGTAAATCTCCCCAGCAGCCTTTTCA